GCTCCGCCCCAACAACCACCTCAGCTCTCCTCCAAACGCCTGTCAGCCGCCTGTCCGTCCGTCTGTCTGCCTGTCTTTCCGTGCCATACAAGCGCAACAAGCGAATACGGCCAGGCCCGGCCCGGCCCGGCCCGCCCGGCACCGGCACCGTACAGCCGGTCCGGTCCGGCCGTCCCCCATCGGTGTCGTCGTTGTCGTTGGCGTTGGCCCGTCAGTCTTGAAAATTTCGTGGAGCGATTAACACACACAGAACGCTGACGACGGTGAACGCACCACCGCATCCGCATCCGTTCCACAGGAGCCAGTCGCCGCCGCAGCCGTAAAAACAAATTAAAACAAAAAACCCGATGCAGGCTCTAAAAATAAATCACTTAAATTAAGAAAGAACTTTGCCAAAATTACGCTTTTCTTATTGCTCAACGTGTGGATTTTTTGATTTTTTGTTGCGTGTGTTCTTGTTTAATTTATATATATATATTTTTTTTCGGGGTTTTGTAAATTACAACACGCTCCCCCACCCCCCAACTCACGTCGCTCGTCTCGTACGTTGACCGAGTTCTTTGACAACAACAACACAAAAAAAAACACGCAGCAGCAAGCAGTGCAGCAGCAGCAGCAGCAGCAACAACAGAATGGATGCAGAGGTGTGTAGAGTGCAGTAATTGTAAGCGTTAAAATTAAGAGCAAGATATTGGATACCCTTTGATCGAATATTGGATACCCTTTCAATAGCACAAACATTTCTGTCCTAAACTATCTAAAAGCAGAAAACAAAATTGGCTTCAAAAGCTGACGCTTGTATACCCTTACAAAGTCAGCTCTGGGATGTCATTTAACGCATTGGGAATGGAATTTCACAGGATTAAGCAGACTTAAACTAAGTTATTCATCATATATTTACATACATGTATTTACTAAGCTTGGTTGTTGCTGATGCATAATAAATACTGCCTACCAAACAGCTCTGCAAGCCAATAATACCCTTCTACCCTAACAAAAAAAATGTGTACAAATTAAGAAGAAAGCGTAAGACAAAGCAAAAACGAAAAAAGTGAAACCCAAATTAAACAACAGCAACAAGTGTTTGGTGGGTAGGGTAGGTAAGAGGGTTACGAGAAGGGCAGGAAATAAGAGAGGAGTGGAGTGAAGTGGAGTGGAGTGCCAGAAGAAATCACAACGTGCTTGCGAGTTTTTGTTATTGTTTTGTTTTGGTTTTCAACACAACGCAAAGCAAAAGCACAAACTTCTTTTGCGATAACAAATATAAATACATATTCAAGTGCAAAGTCAGCCGGCAATAGCAGCAGCAGCTGCGCAGCAGCAGTGCAGTCAGAACAAGAACAGCTTCAGATCCACAACATTTGTGTGTTTGTGTGTGTGTATGTGTGTGTTCGTGTTTACGACAGCTGTTGCACATGTCAAGCAGAGGCGTCCCAATGGAGAGGGATAGTGAAGGGGTTGCAGAGGGTGTCTAAGTATTTGGAAATAATTTACATAAATATGAACAAGCATGAATGCGTGTGAATAATTGAATATGAACGAGTATGAATGAATAAAAACGCTGGCACCGAATTAAGGGAATTCTAGGTTCGGAAAGCTGCCGCTTTTGATACCCTTAACAATTATAGGATTTAAATAAAAATATAAATTGTAAGTATAATTCGCTTAGGGGAGCATTGGCCAGAGAGAGAGAACATTTTTCGAAGAACAGAACATATGATTACCAGATGATTAAATACTATGATTATCATAATTTTGTATCAAACAGTTAGCCCGACCCCCAAGGCAAATATTTTATGAAATATTCTGTACAGTGTACACACAAAATCCATTCCGAATCCCATTGGAATGGCAGTAAATAGTATACGAGTAATATATATACTAGATCAACGTACAATTACGATTGGATTATTGATTAAGTGGAAATTTTTGTATATATTTCTTATCTTACCACTGGGGCTTTGAATTTATGGTCTGAGTTCTTTTCAGTGTCAGTTAAGTGACGATTATGAATAGATAGTGTTTGATTTATGAGCCCCTTCCGCAGGGGCGGCGCGCGCCACTGACTTTTGCATAGTTACGCCTGAGAGAACGGTTATTAAAAATGCAAATGATGGAAAGGAATGGAATGGAATGGAATGGCATGGAAATTCTCACACTTTAATGCACTTTGCTTTTGATCAAGGTCAGAGCTCTGATTCTCCAGAAATTGTAAAGATATATTGTATGGATGGCACAGTATGTGCCACACCGCAAGGGGGGGTGGGGGTGGGGGTTGGACAATACAAAAGCTTTGCCAATAAAAGCCAATCAAGGTTCTCCCTCTCTCTCCCTCGCTCTCAGATTTCCGGCAACACTTAATAAACGCGGCAAAAATTATCATTTTGTTGTTGTTGCTGTTGTTGCTGTGCCTTTGTAGTGCAGTGAACCCTCGAGAATGGGAACCCCCCCTATAAGCATGCCCCATGCCCCATGCCACTGCCACTGACCGTCGACCAGCGTCAAGAAACTTGTCGTGGCATGGAAAATTTTCCACTCAAATCAATGTCTTTGAGTTTAAAATGAAAGAAAAAAAAAAAAAAGAGCAACAAATAAAACGCAGAAAGAGCAGAAAGACCACAAATAAACTTCAGGGCATTTTGCCAAAGGCCAGCCATGGGTTAAGAGTTGCCGGAATGGGATGAATATAGCCACGTACCCGAAGGCTGCTCTATCTATCCATCTATCTGGTGTTATCTATCATTAACTAAACCCAGTCCCATTCATTTACTTTAGAGTACTACTACAACAAAACGACTAATGAGAGTTGTACACGCAATTTTCATGCCCTACCCTAGCCATGCCAGCCATTTAAGAATGTCAATAGAAGATCTCTATTTAAAATAAATAACACCCAAAATACATACAAAATAAATACCAGAGATTTGAGGTTTTCACGAATTAAGGTAGTAAAATATGTTTTAAAAAAGTATTCGATTGCATTTGGCTAGCATAATATTCGAATACGTCCAATCCTAGATGCATGTGTTTTTATTGATTTTATTTTCTTCAGTAGGAGACCAAAGATAAGTTAACAATCGTCTTTAAACACCGAACAAATGTGCTTAAAATTAAATTGATATTTCCTTAGGAATTTAATGGAACAAATTCATGGGAAATGGAATGGCAATCTAGATATTGGGGTAACCTTTCGCTTAGGGGAAGTGAACGCTGTGCCCTAATCGTAATACCTTAGCTTGCCTATAGAGCACAACAATTAACAATTTACGAGCATTCTTTGTTTAAACTTTAGGCTTTAGTTGCCGATACGATAAGCGCCACAAGCCAAATCGTTGTCTAGATTTACACAAGGTTGTTCGCATGGGAAGCACTACTCCGGGCACGGGGGAGTATCCGCTGAGCACTCTGGCACGTCAGGGGCGCCTCCACGCGTGAGATTGCGTATACGACAGGCGGGGACGTAATCTCAATGAGCACCTCTCTAATCGGATGGAGGGTTGGCAGCGGGAGTGGGGGGAGTGGGAAACAGCTCTCTAATGATATGAAGCCAAAAAGTAAATCAGTTTGCGATAATTCTGTCATTATTTATGATTCCGAAAATGCACATATAGATTCGCGATTCCCGATTCCCGATTCCCAATTTCCGATCCTGGCAACAGAGATGCCACACGAATTGACATTCTGCCGTGTGGCAGCAGTATCTGGAGAGCTCATTGAAATCTGACGAGTGGGAGTTTATGGTCAAATATATATCCCCCCCCCCCATATCGCTGTCGCAATTTCTTTCCTACTTTTGGCTTTATTTCATTATTTCAAATGGGTTGAATGAACAGCAGTGGGGACTAACGGGGTACTGGGATATCAAAGGGCTGCTTTGGCGTTTGATTTTATTTGGATATCCAAATTTCAGCGCAAATTGTTCCAAAGCAAAGTGGGAAGAAAATGCCTTTGTTCAGGCATTCGGGCCTTTCATTTCTGTGGCCACTTTCTTAGCAAATAGGCACCCAATCACTTATCCAATGATACATGAAACATTTCACACATTTCTGTGACTGTTTTCCGCCAGCAATTACCGAAAGTGCGTAATGATTCACGATTCACGCATCGATAATCGCTGAAGAGCGAAACGTGTTGCATGCCGAGGTTCCTCATGTTACTCCAAATGATTGGAAGCTGACATTGAAACGCTGCACAAGCGCCCGATCAGGGCAATTTCTATAGCTATATTTACAGCTATAAATGAATTAATTAATAAATGGAGAAATGGAGAAATGAGTCCCATTGTATGGCACAGGCATGTGCTAGGGTAACCGGTGCCCCATATCTGTAGCTATATCTGTATCTATATCTGTACAGTGTCCGCAGTCTGGCTGATGTTTTTGGCACTCGTTTGAGTATCATTGAAAGGGTAACAGCACTCGACGTGCATACATACATATGTACATACATATACGACGGGTTTATTGATAGCGTTCAGTTTGTGCCTTCGATTTTCGCTTTTATGAATCCATTTAATTGGCTCTGATTTGATTTAGTCTCTCTCTCCCACTCTCTCTCCCCCTCCCTCTTCTTATTAGAGCAACCATTTGGGCAATCAGTTTGAGGTCTAAATCAACACAAAAGCAAAGCAATATAATTATAATGGAATGCTGGGAATTCCCTTTTGTTTTGTTTCGTTTATATTTTAATTTATTACATCAATTGTTTTTGCGTTGAGAGGAAAAATACCTAATGGAAATAATATGCCACGATTTGTGTTGTCTGAAGTTATCTCTTGGGATTCCCCGTAGATTGGATCGTCGTGCCTTTAGAGCAGAATTAAATCTCAAAATAAACAATTGTCAGCCAAGCACAACACTGAAAAGCAGCAAACGAAAAAACCAATTAAACATTGAACTAAAGCTTAAGTTTTCCCTTCTTCTTCTTCTTCTTCTTCTTTCCCTTATTTTATTGTACATATTCCTTTTGTTTGCCTACGAAACCGAGCAGTCCACGTTCCAACAGAATCCAAACCAGAACCAGAACCAGAACCAGAACATGACAGGACCCAGACAGGAGGCTGTGGAGACAGCGGCCAGAGCTGGAGCTGCAGTTGGAGCCGTGGAAGTGGCTGGCAAATCCACACGAAAGCAGCCCCAAGATGAGAACGAAGAGGAGTACCATCCGCCCACAAGGTATGGACAGCACAAGAATGATGAAGTCAAATCCCCAAAAGCTAATCCTCTGCGGAATCCTCTCCCACAACTAATTCCCACCACCGAAAAACCGAAAATAACCAACCGCTCCCTCCACAATAAACCCAAAAACCAAAATAAATCCCAAAACTAAAACCAAAACTAACCTCAGAACCTATTACAAACACGCAAAAATAAAAACTAACAAAAAAGCCATCAAAAGTTCTGCAAAAACCAAAAAGAAAAACCCAACCCCACCCTCAGCTCAGTGACTGTTTCATTAACAGCAGATTTATGCACACCGGGGACACAGATTTAATCCCACAACTCCCATAAAAAAATCAAGTAACTTTGCTGCTAAGCGACCAATTAACCTTTGAGACACGCTTCTATGACCATGACTAACCCCCCAACTCGAGTGAATGCCACGCCAAACTTTGATCCTAAGCACCGTCATCACTTATCATGTACTAATCCTGAGGCAACTAATGGAACCACAACCTATGTGGGTTCTCGCACTTCCCCAAACTGTCAGCAGAAATATGCAAAATCAAAATCGAAGAAATAACAAAAGTAACTTGGAAATCGAACTGCAGCGAAATTCATCCGAAATATTCCTCTTCTTTGCTTTATAATTACTATCAGACTTGTAAAAATATTAAAACAGAATAGCCACTAACCGAACCAGCACTAATCCTCCACAATCCACTAGCCCTCAAGTGCCAGCTAATAGTCCCGCTTATACCTTGAGAAATATGATCTAGCTGCCCACCCAAAACCAAACTTCATTCAGCGGTGGGAATCATAGCTTATGGGTGAATCGATCTGTGGGCAGCTCCTACCAAAATATTGCATAAAGTAAAAATCTATTAACACATAGAATGGATGCAAAGATTGCTGCATGTACCTACAAATATGGATGAGCCGCATCTTCTGCCACTTTTTGGCCAGATTAAAATTAAATTAAAGCTCGCTTTTGGTGTCCATCCTTGGGGAATGAATGTGCCTTGGTTTCTCTTTCCCAAGTGCGAGCAATCGGGCGTGGGATGTCTGTATTCATAGGATATCTAAAATATATCCCAAAGATATCAGTAGCTGCTCCTCCAGCTCCAGAGGCTTAAGGCTTCCCACTCAAAGAGGAACCAGCAGCAAAAAAGATCTACTAAAGCGCGCAACTAACACGAAATATCATCGATAGCCGAAAAGGAATAAACTAACCAAAAACTCCAAACCAACCCAACCCCACACAACCCCACCCAATCCCCGCTTGTAGTCCTGTCGACTGCAGGCCCTCGAAGTGGCGTTAATGTCTGATGTATTTTCTGAAGCTACCTGGAGACGATTGTGCACCTGTTCAAGGGCAACATTGGGCCCGGTCTGTTTGCCATGGGCGATGCCTTCAAGAATGGCGGCCTGCTTGTGGCGCCGCTGCTGACGGTGGTGATTGCCGTCGTGTCCATCCACTGCCAGCATGTGCTCATCGCCTGCTCCAAGAAGATGCGCGATCTGCGCGGCGACGCTGTCTGCGCCGACTATGCCCAGACGGTGGAGATGTGCTTCGAGAGTGGGCCCGTGAAGCTGCGGGGCTGGTCGCGCACCATGGGACGGCTGGTGGACATTTTCATATGCGTGACACAGCTGGGCTTCTGCTGCATCTACTTTGTGTTCATCAGCACGAATGTGAAGCAGGTGAGTTGCGTTGAATGCAGTCAGCAGCCAGCAGTAGGCGGAGGAGGAGGAGGAGCAGTATGAACAATGTCCCGTCATTTCCCGAAGATCCTGCAAGCGTACAGCATCGACTTGGATGTGCATCTGGTGATGCTGCTGGCCTTTGTGCCCGTTCTGCTGAGCTCCCTGATCACGAACCTCAAGTGGCTGACGCCCGTCTCGATGATTGCCAATGTGTGCATGGTCCTGGGCCTGGCCATCACCCTCTACTATGCCCTGAAGGATGGACTGCCGGAGGTTAGGGAGCGCGCCTATTGGACAAGCGGCTCCCAGTTGGCCCTCTTCTTTGGCACCGCCATCTTTGCGTTCGAGGGCATTGCCCTGGTGATGCCCCTGAAGAACGCCATGCGCAAGCCGGGCCAATTCGAGAGCCAACTGGGCGTCCTCAATGTGGGCATGTTTCTGGTCTCCGTCATGTTCATGTTTGCCGGCTCCGTTGGCTACATGAAGTGGGGCGAAGATGTTGGCGGCAGTCTCACACTCAATCTGGGCGATTCAATGTGAGTGGCTGTGCCTGTGGCTGTGCCCTGACTCCTTCCTTCCTTCCTTTCTCCATTCCTTGACTGCTTCCTTCTGCTTTCACAGTCTGGCCCAGGCCGTCAAGCTGATGGTGTCCACGGGCGTACTCTTGGGCTATCCCCTGCAGTTTTTTGTGGCCATTCAGATCATGTGGCCGAGTGCCAAGCAACTGTGTGGCATCTCCGGCCGCTCGCTGCTCGGTGAGCTCTCCTTTCGCACCATCATGGTGATTATTACGCGTAAGTATCGCCGCCCCCAATCTCCCTTTGTCCCCTTTCTGCAGCACTAATCCCTCCCCACTCATTAGTGGCCATTGCTGAGATGGTGCCCGCATTGGGCTTGTTCATCTCGCTGATTGGCGCCTTGTGCTCCACGGCATTGGCCCTGGTTTTTCCGCCTGTGATCGAGCTGATTGCCAGCAGTGAGCCAAACAAGGGACCCGGCCTCTTTGTCAGCACCAAGAATCTCATTATACTGGTGGTGGCCATGCTGGGCTTCTTCACCGGCTCCTACGAGAGTCTCAAGCAGATTGTCAATCACTTTGGCGAGATGAATGGTTGACGGAGGACGCCCAGCACAGCAGCATCAAGTACGGATCAGCACAGTATCCTACCCAAGAAGAGGAGATATCAGAGGAGGACCTCATCACGGGATCATCACAGAATATTTATACAATACAACAAATGCTCATCTGCAAAAAGCATCAGCAAGCAATCATCACAGTATCTTGGCAGCGATATCCACCTTATACATACATACGTAATCGAAACATAGCACACACACACACACACACACACACACACACAAAATATCTACTATTAAATATATATAAATTTGCATGCGCATTTTTTCTGGCCAAAATGGAACGAAAAAAAAAGGGCAACTGGTCGAAAGAACCAAAAAAACAAACAAACAAACAAACTATACGGGAAATACTCCTTCCTGTAGCAAGAGAAGTGCCTTAGCCTAGTGCCACCCACCCCTCTCCCACTTTTGTGTCATTTTTGTGAGCGTGCTGCGCATTTTACTTATTATAATTGATTCTTTAATTCGTTTTTTTTTTTTTTTTTTTATTTTTATTTTAAATATATATTTTTAATAGATGTTAAGTGAAAATAAACGATGCGACGTTTTGTTTTGACGTCATCGCAAATGACAAATGTGTTGGACTTGCTCTTAATATGAATATGAATATATATATTATTTATACATACATATATAAATTTACTTGGCTTTTGGTTTGGAATTGTGGAATATTTGCTATGCATTTAGAAAAGTGAAAAGATTTTTAACGTGTATCCGTTCGCTTATGAGCAATTTGTGCAGCGAATATCTGTACAAAATATGCCCACAAAATATATAAAAAACAGCAGATTAAATTTACGAGTTTATCCTCTTGCTTATGGGAAATTTTGTGCACCGAATGGGCCCTAAGGACCGAAGCATCTGAGGCATCTCTAAGCGTAAGCAGTTGCCAAGACCTCTACCATAACTACATATGTCCCTGATAAACGTTTTCTTCGATGCACAACATTATCTCAGATGCTAGCCATCCATCAAATATATCAAAGAGCAATTGAATCTGCTACCAGTGACTCAGAAAGCGTTACCCCGAACAGGTTACGCGCGACGAATACTAAACAAGCAGCGGAACGGGTTCAACGGGCGAAAATGAATTTAATTTGACAGAGATTATGTCCAAATATTATTTGATGTTTAGCATTAACATTGACCCCGATACGCGCCATCCAGAGAGAGGAGAGGGGAGAGAAAACGTGTGAAAAATTAACAAATTTCGAGCAAATGATCGACAGATGTGCCATAGTATAGTTCTAGCTGCTAGCTTTCGCTTTCCGTCTGGTATGGGTAGGCGTGGGTACGGCCTCTCTCCCTCTCTCTCTCTCTCTCTCTCTGTGTATGCTTCAAGGAATTAATACTAATCTAATCCGAATCAAACCGAATCCAAATTAAATCTAATCGAAAATCGAAAACTGTTTTGCCATTGTCCCCAAAGGCGGCGACCTTCAACCTTCAAAACCGATTCATGAAACAATGAATGGAACTGCAGTCGATGCCGTTAGATATGCACAGCCGGAAGTCAGGGGCGTCGATGGGAGGGGTACTGTACGTAGGTACAGTTATGTGAATTATGCTAATGTTTCCCCTGCCTCAGAGCACAAAACTAAGATCATTATTATATTTATTATATATTATCAGCTGTTTTTTTTTTATATATTTTGTATAATATTTAAATATTTCCTATCTATATTTGAGTTTTATATCCGTTCGCTTATGGGAAATTGTTGCAATAAATCGAAGTCATTCAAACATGTCCTAGAATGGAACAGGGGCATTGGATCAGTCAGTGACAGACGAGGGTTACGAGGTAACCCCCTTGACTGGGTCTGTTCGTTGTTATGCATTTGGTTAGATGTCTTATATAATCCAATTGCTGAATTCCGTAAACATCGATCGCATCGATGGCTCGATTGATTGGAACAAGTGAGAACGATAGAAAGAGATGCAGCTACGAGCAGAGCAGTGCACGGCAGAGCAGAGCACGGCAGAGCAGAGCACGGCAAAGCAGAGCACTCTGATGCTCGTACAATATGCAATTAATTTAACTGGCGCTTGCACCGGAATCCAAAATAGAACGTTTCCTCCAATCAATTCGGTTAAATTTCCATGCACTGTACATTGTATGTGAGAAGAGAGGAGCAGCAGCAGGTGTAACAGCAACAGCAACAATAACAATCTTGAAACGTGCACTGGGCCGACCCGACCGACGATCGATCATCGAAAAGCGAACAGCGAAAAACGAACAAGAATTCAATATTTGCAAATGCGACAATGGGCACGTGCAGTCGATACGACCTACCGATTCGGCTAACGAATTCCGGTACGCAGGGCGGATCCTTGAACCTGATCGAACCACTTCCTGCTGGACCCGGACTGCTTGCTGTTCCAATTCAGTGTCCCAATGCCGTGACGTGCCGTTCCGTGCCGTGACGCAATCAACGTTATGGATCGTAGCCGCGTACTCGTACGCGTACCTATCGTACCTATTTTAAAGTTAACTTTAAATGCCTGAGCTGACACACAAGCAATTCCTAGATTTTATTTGCCCATTAGTGTGTGCTCCCCGGCAAGAGTTATTTGAAATATGGTGTAATTCAGTACAAAAAACAATAATAGTAATGCACGTTTACGAGTCGTAATAAAATTAACCACTTGGCCGAGTTGCAGGCCAGCAAGCAATTAATTTTTTTTTTTTTTTGCACTGCCAAAGCTGCGGGGGATTTTTCCATGTCTATTGATCTTTGTCGGCGGAGCTTTGCATGCAAACTACTTTCAGAAATTAGCATATTCCTAATGGGTACAATTAAAATTAAATCAAAATGTTGTGGGAGTAATTTTCCTATAGACTCCAAAGATATACGACTGCATCTGGGGGTCTGAGTAATTGGAAGAAAAAAACGTGATTTGCTGTAACAATTAATAGCCGAGGGAATACATTCGTTACGACTGCTAAAAAAAAGGATTGGGTTCCATGTATTGGAAAGTTAAATGCATTTATAATAAATTTCATTTTGAGTAATTTTTTGTTTAATATTTGAGCATAAATAATAAAAATTTATCCAGCGCAGTGGTGTTTCTTTCAGTGTATATTAATCATATTTTCAGTGAAAATTTCTAAGAGCTATTAAAAACCTTGATCCATATCGATTTGCTGATCGTTAATCGATTGACTGCATCCATGATATTGCCAAGCTCTTCCTTTCCTTTCCTTTCCTTTCCCTTCCGTTCCCTTCCTTTCTCTTCCCTTCGTAAGAGAATGCACCACATAAATCTCTCCGCTTTTTCGATTAACAGTTTAAGGGAAGAGAATATTTGGGATTGTTTGTGTGTAGCTCCCTTTCTAGCTGGCCCTTCCCTTTACACATTAACCGTTAAGTGCATTTTTGCATTGCCTAGACACACACACACACACACTGAGAGAAAACAACAAAGTTAGGCGGACAGACACACACACACACGCACACACAATGGCATTTGTCGAGTGCTGCTGTTCCGCTTTTGTTTTGTTTGCTTGGCGCCGGGGGCCCCAGCCCGATTCTGTTGGCCAAATCGAGCATTGAGTCTGGTTTGAGTTCTTGCCGCGCACGGTCCTACAATCGCCGGAGGAAAACCCCCTCTACATATGTACATACATTGGTCTAATTGTTTGTACTCTACGTAATCGTCAGTTGTCGTTATTCCCCTTCATTGATCGAGCAATTGAAAGGTGAAAATTGAATTCGAATCAAGTATGAGAGACTTCGATTCCGATCGATGCTTATCGGTGATACTCGTGCTACCTACTATGCATTGCAGAGGCTATCGCTTATCATAATGGCATAGCACGATATTGATTCATTATGTGATTTGGATTGGATTGGCACAGTTGTTAGTGATTTACGACAGCCAGCCCACCCCCCCCCCTGTGAATAAGTGCGAATTGCGTCATTGTGCATTAGAGCAACAATTAAATCAGCGTGAATTTTTGGGGGAGTTAAATAACCGGAATTCGCTCAAAACTTTTAATTAATTTGGAATGACTTGGCACAAGCAACCTTGAGTGGCTCCGAGTCACAGTTAATGAGCGCGAGCCTTCCTTCCTGCTCACCTCACCATTTTTGTTTGATTTGATTTCAAATTTATTTGTGTGTTTTAATGATTCCACTTCCACCCACTTGTCTTGCTTAGGGTTAATGGATAGTGCAAGAAAAAGATGCAAGGGGTTAAGTGCATAAGAGAGAGAGAGAGAGAGAGCTTACTCACTCATTAGGAGCATCAAATAAATCCTCTCTTAACAGCTTTCCTTCTCTCTCACGCTTGTGAGACATGTGCTTTAAAGAACCGTTAGATCTCACACAACAGCCGATGCAGAAGCACAAGCAGCAGAGGAAGAAGAGGGCGGAATAGAAATTGAACAAAAAAAAAACTTTCAATTGCATTTAAAACGTCGTCCGTCTCCGTCTCCTTTCCGCACACAGCAAGATCAGCAGAAGCAGCAGCAGACCGTCAGCGAACAGAAGGCCATCGAAGCTGGCGAAATGGGCAGAACACTGGAGATAACACGGGTAACGGGAACTGCAACGGCAACGGCAGCGGCAACGGCAACGACAAATGGAGACCATCAGATGGAGAAACAGGCAACGGATGTGGAGGGCAATAGTAGCCAGGTGAAGAGGCGTCATGCCACCAGCAATTTGGAGGCAGCCACACACCTGTTTAAGGGCAGCGTGGGCGCTGGGCTCTTTGCGATGGGCGATTGTTTCAAGAATGGCGGACTGGCGGGTGCCACCATCTTGCTGCCGATCATTGCCGTAATGTGTGTCCACTGCGAACGGATGCTGATACGCGGCTCCGTTCTGGCCGTAGAGCGGACGCCAGGCGCCACCTTTTTCGACTACCCAGAGACGGTGGAAAAGTGCTTCGAGTATGGGCCGCGTCCCCTGCGGCGCATGTCGCGCATCATGAAGCTCATTGTCGAAATGTTCCTGTGCGTCACCCAATTTGGTTTCTGCGCCATTTACTTTGTCTTCATCACCGAGAATTTGCATCAGGTGAGTCCCGCCCCCCCACTACAGGCTGCGATAATTGCATCGATTCAGGTGGCTCTCGATGGTGAATTAATCCCTAACCCTAATCGCTCTTTGTTACAGGTGCTACAGCAGAATGGAGTGGACATTGGCATGAGCATGGTGATGCTGATCACCCTGCTGCCCGCCATGATCCCCTCACTGATGACCAATCTCAAGTACATCTCACCGGTGTCGGCCTTTGCAAATGTGGCCCTGCTGTTTGGCCTGATTGCCACGCTGTCCATTGCCTTCTCGGACGGACCGATGCCATCGGTGGGCGATCGGCATCTGTTCACCAGCGGGTCCCAGCTTTCGCTATTCTTTGGCACCGCTCTCTTCTCGTATGAGGGCATTGCACTCATCCTACCGCTGCGCAACTCAATGCGAAAGCCGGAGAACTTTAGCAGCCGCTTTGGCGTGCTCAACTCCACCATGTTCTTCACTACGGGCCTGTTCATCTTCACGGGCTTCGTTAGCTATGTGCGCTGGGGCGAGGATGTGGCCGGCAGCATTACGCTCAATCTCGTTGTGGAGGATGTGTAAGTTCTGCTCAAGGCAGCTGGGAAGCTGTAACCTCATTTATAACGTATGTTCTTCGTGCAGCTTGTCGCAGGTGGTGAAGGTTGTGGCCGCGTTGGGCGTATTCCTTGGCTATCCCATACAGTTCTTTGTCATGATGAAGATACTCTGGCCGCCACTGAAGCGCTCCAATAGCTGTGCCCAAAAGTATCCCATCACCATGCAGGTGGTCCTGCGCTTCGTTATGGTCATGATGACATGTAAGTAATTTCCTACTGTCCAACTGATTCCCGCTAAGGTTTATTTTCATGTTTCTTTTCGTTTTATTTGATCAGTTGGCGTTGCTCTGGTGGTGCCCCAACTGAATCTATTCATCTCGCTCATCGGAGCACTCTGCTCGACGTGCCTGGCCTTTGTTATACCAGTTCTCATTGATTTTGTAGTACGTGCCCAGGTGCCCAAGGGCCTGGGGCACTGGTCATATGCAAAGAATTTATTTATTTTGGCAGTGGCACTGCTGGGCATTGTCACTGGCACCTATCAAAGCATCGTCGAGATTATAAGAGAATTTAAGTAGGTAAAATTCCAGTTGTCAAGTATTTTTTTTGTTGGTGTAAATAATGCTGTAATGTAATTTGTATCTGTATTATGCGAATGCGCTGTATTGTTGTAAAGTTCGTTTAGTCTTAAGTCTTATATGTAACTATACAATGTATTTTTTTCCATTTTTTTTTTGTTTATTTATAGTTTTAAGCTGTGTATTTTTTTTTTTTTAATTTTGTATGCATGGAACGTCAATTGGCTTCTAGAAGGGGAGAAAAAACAAAATGATCTGCAACACAAAATAATTTTAATAAATGATTACAAATCGTGCATTGTTAGCTTGTCTCTCTCTCTTGAATTTGGCGCCATGTTTTACAGCACTGGAAACCGCCCCACGCTTATCGGAAAGTATCGAAATATTTGGTATTTTATTAGTATTTTAACAAGTCTCAAATCTAACAGTCAAGATCATCGAATGACGTCTCTGCTTCTTACGTACCGGTCCCGTCCTACCTACATTCCTGCCGCTGATAAGCTCTTATCCATGAAGCGCCTCTTGGCAAAGCATATCCACCATTTGCTCGGCTTATCGTCGGGCGTGTCAAAGACCTTTTCCAGCAACCGATTGCCCGTCTCCTGACGCAACTGCAGCAGGTACTGACGCATCAGCTCCGGCTCATTCGTCTTGACAAATACCGAGTTTAGCGGAAAACCAGCCTCCCCCGGCAGATCAAATTTTGCGATGGCCAGACTGTAGAGCTCCTGCTGGCCCTGGCTCTTGCTGGTGCATCGCGCCAATCGCTTCAGGCATTCGGTTATGTACAGCGTTACATAGATAAGAACCCGGTCCACTTCCGACTGCGATTAGATATGAATTAGTATTAATGTTTCTGTCCCATGTGGGTATGGGTATGGGTATGCACAAACCTTCACTTCGTATTCCCGAAAGAAAACGTTCGATTTGAAGTAATATAGTGACTCATCAATGATGTCGTTATCATCCGAAAAATTGGGCGCTGGTCCTCGCACTTGGGTGCGTAGCGGCAATATGGCCATATTCCCCACCGTCTTTTGAAATTCTACGATCTCTGAGTGATATGCCTTGTAAAATAAATGTAAACAAAGAGGTTTGGTTGTAAAGTTATCAAATTTAAGTGGAAATTTCTGTAAATTCCAGTTTACACGCTAGCGAGCTTGAAGCCTGCCCTGGAAAATCTACAGCCTGGCCAAGTGCTTACCATTTAAAGACGGTAGTGACTGCACAAACAAGTATAAATAATGTCTTGCGAAATTAAAAGTTATTTTTACCAATGTCAGTAATCGCTAGTGCTGTGAAGCGAGCCAATTTTCAAAGATAAGGTATTTTAACTGATAGGTTGGTATTTTTTAGGCCTTTTGGATGGTATTCTTTTTTGAGTGAGCTCCCATCTCTAGGTCACACACGTTGCAACTTTGTCAGATATATATCGGTAGACATTTTGAATAAATGGTCGCTGCTAAGTTTTGGCGCCACGCACATTATGTGATATCTTAAATTAAATATATGTAAAAGATAGGCTTGCTTTCACTCCCTTTAATTGGGTTTTTGTTATAAAATAAAAAGTCAACATTTTGAAACAATTTTGTAGGATGGCAACTGCGCAAATCAATCGATCTTTCCTCGGCATCGCACTGGGCCTTGACCTCGCTGTTGTACCTGATTGCAATGCTTGCCGTCTCCAGCGCCATCGTTCGGACCACACGAAGGGCCCTGCGTCATGTCAGGGACAGTTTCCCAACGGTACTGCTCGAAATGCATCATCGAATTGTGCTGGCCGTCTCCAGCTCCTCCTTGCTTCAGCCCGCCCTTGACTACGAAAGTGTCGCTAATGAACTGCTCAAATTCCTCCTTCGATTTGAACTGGCATAAAGAAAGCAAAAGGAAATGAAGGTAAATGTTAGTTGTGACTGTCCCAGAGGGGACAGGGAATCCGTGCAACACTTACGTGGCGCTCGTTGCCGAATTCATAATCCGACTTGGACTCGTGTTTCTTGTAGGCTTCGTTCACGTTTCGCTCTGCGTATTTCATCTCGCTGCGCACCATTCGGACCTGCTGCTGCTGCTGCCGCTGCGCCTTCTGCTGTTCCTCGAAATGGCTGAACTGAAACTCGGTGCGCGGAGTCATTGCCGGGGTGGTGGCGGAGCTGTTGAATAGTCCGCTAAACAGCGTCTGGCCATATTTCTGTGATCTGTGGTGCACAACAATCAGGCAGAGGACAGGGATAAACAATGCACAGACAAGAAAATACAAGACATACTCTATGGGGTCCTTTTCCTTCATTTCCAGATATTCGTTGAGCATGTGGGAGGGGAAGGGCAGGGAAGCATCCATCATTGACTGCAGCTCCGATTGGCTATAGTGTTCCCCCTCCATTTGGCTTGAGTACAGCTGTTCCTCTTCCACTCTGGAGCTGGAGATCATTGCTTGGTCTTCCTTTTCAGAGCCCACGGGGCTCTCAATGCTCATTAGCTGATCGCTGAGCTTATGTTCAGCTTTTCAGCCCTCTGGCGCAGTGTGCGCTCGAAGGACAGCCGCTGCTCAAGCATCTCGTTGTTCGAGCGCAGCTCGGTAAGAGTGAACTTCATGCCCTTGGGCAGACTCTGCAGCCCGTCGAAGAAGCTGACATCGTACGCTGGCTCCTGCTCCGCTTCGGCGTCCGGAGTGCCCAGCTGGTCGCAAATGCTGCGGTGCGATGGCTGGCTGATTCCCTCGTTGTTTCGCAAATTGAACTCCATGATGGTCTGGTTCAGGGCCAGGCAGTCGAGTATGATATTGGCCCCAATGTCAGTCAGGCCACAGCCCTGCAGGTCGACGACTGCAGGCATCGGAGGAGATTTGAGTGTGGACTGGCAGGGGCCATGCATGCTTCATCGCACTTACCCTTTATCCAGGCATCCTCCTTCAGCACATCGCAAATCAATTTGAGTCCTTGGTCCCCAATATCGGGATTGTTGGCGAGAAGGAGCGTGCGCAAGCCCAAGTGGGAGCCGCCCGTGTATCGGGAAATCTTCTGCATCTGTGGGGGATACCAAGGATTCCGGTTACCATTCATCCGATGCACCTTCAGCGCCGCTATACCGATACCTTGACCATATCGGCCACGTGAACGGCTCCCTTTGCGGTGATGCGACACTCGGAGAGATCGAATAGTGCGATTCGGTTGAGGTACTTGGCCGAGTTGCACACCAGCTCGCACCCCTTGTCCCCGATGATGGACTTGCGGAAGCTCAAGGTCTCCAGGCAATCGTTGGCAGCCAGCGACTAGAAGCAGAGAAGCACAATAACAGCTAGTGCCTAGAATGGATGACGGGTACGCGTCCTACCTTGGCAATGCAGTCAATGTAGCCGCCATAAAGGGGCAGACCCTCCAGCTGCAGCACTGTCAGATTCTTATTGCTGGCCACACAGTTGGCGATGGACTGGACGAGGCCGCGGAAAATAAAGCGCGTGTATACCACCGGACGCTGTGTGAAGAGTCGGGCCCGATTCTCCGTGTCGATGGGATCGATTGTATCTGCATTGGAAAAGTCCCTTAGTCCCTTAGTATTCCAACGACTCTTTCTACTCACTGTGTTGATGGGAGCGCCGCATGCGCAGCACCAGGCTCTTTAGGCACAGATCATTTTGCAGCGACTCGTTGACCAGCAGCCAGTCGCTCACGCTCAGCTTGTCGGCGTAGAACTCCAGGGAGCTCTTGTCCAGTGACTGCTTTCGAATATCCGGAACGGGTGTGAGGTTTTTCGAACGACAAAGCTCCAAATACCGAAAGTAGAACGAGCGGCTCTTGCTCGACTTCTTAGCTGGTGCCGGCACCGTTACCTTCTTGGCTGCCAACGCTCGCAGCGTTCCATTCCGTATTCCCGACACACGGCCGAGCGACATGTTCTGTTTGGGTTCTGATCTGTTAGCCAATTTTCTTCCAGCTAGTTTTCTTATAATATTGACTATGTTTGGAGTATAAGCGTCTATCGAGTAGTGGACATTATGTTCAATTGCTTGCTTTGTTCATCATCTTTCATGTTTATGTGCGCCAAGCCTCAGTCAGATCAGAAACATTTTCTTTTGCTGTACAAAATTTTGTCTAGCAGCCGCCATTGCACCTCCCTCTCTAGGTCACACACCTTGCTACGTTTTTAGATATAAATCGATATTTTTGTTGTGATAGTAAAATATTCGTAAAATATCAATTAATATTTAAATTATATCATACGATAGCATCGATGTTTTTCGATTCATTCAATGTTTTATGTGTCCGGCCAGGGCGGCCGAAAATGTCAAACAGCTGACTACTATCGACTTTGACTTTGACTATCGATAGACAAAAGTTCATGCAAAACAACTGCGTAGAATAACGTTTCGATATGTCAAAAGTGAGATAAATAAAAGCCACATACAAATTAAAATTTACACAAAGTAACAAAATTACCAAGTACATATTGTACTTTTTCTCGAAATCGTGCCATTCTATAGAGATAATACCACAACTCAGACGCAAGAATTGTAAGTACCAGCATAGCATATCAGGAGTGGAGTGGGGGGGCAGCAGCGACAATTCAATTTTCATTGCCAATGATTTTTACGCATTTGCAGTAGCTTATGATATAATATAATAATGTCGCGTACACTGATTCGCGCACTCGAAAGCGTCGGCCGCAACTGCCACATACCGACAACAATCGGCATCCATGTCCGGAATGCGTTGCTCAACGTCGAGATGCCAATGGCGGCCATGAGGATTAGTGCAGTAAACTACTCAAAGCGCGGATCGGGATCGCCCTCGGACGCAGGCAGTCCGTTTAAGATTGTCAGCAGGACGCGTGAGCTTGCCGACGATGATCTCAACAGCATTGAGTCCGAACTGAACTGGGAGCTGACCGCCCCAAAGAGCAATCGCTTCTACTTGCCGAACGGCTATGGCCCAGCCTGGCAGGGCTATAACTCCACGATTGAGCTGATGACTCCGCTCTCGCAGCTAGTGAATTTCAAAAAGGACGCCAATGCGGACAAGTCCAGTCTCGAGGTCTCCTGCTGCCAGTGTCCCATTCTGATACGTGACACCCTCATCGAGCTGTTCCCAGTGCGCGCCGTTGCCAACAAGGAGACGGCCATCACATTGCTCACCCTGAGCTATGAGGGCGACATCGAAATAGGCGCCACCAAGGTAGGGCTGCTCAAACGAATTCCGTTTTAATGCAATTCATTAATTTGTATTTATCCGTTTAAAGTTTGTGCTGGCCGCCAGAGACATCAGCGATCGTCTGTTATCGCTGGGCTATTGGTCAGACTTCCTCAATCCGTTCAGCGGACGACCCTACTTTATGCCCAAAGATGATGACAAATTGTACAAGCAGGATTGGCGCTTCCGCGGACTGAACATGAATCTAACTGTTAAGAACCATTGCATGGTGATTTCGGCCGAGGAGAATGACAATACCCACTTCTCAGGGACCATTTACTGTACGGCGCCCAGCAACTACGATGTGCTGGTGCAGCTGCTGGCGCCCAACGAAGAACAGCTGAAACATAACCGGCTCTTTTAACACAAAAACAAACAAAAAAGAGACCGGGACACCCCTTAGCACAATTAGCTGCCCACCACAGGATAGTAGAGAATGCTGCTAAACGACGATGACGAAGACAAAGCCTATTTGTGATGAATACTGTGGTAACTGTGGTTAGGTTAATAGTTCCGGCTTTGTATATGGCTTACAAAGACAGTGACAACTTGTTATTTACTGCGAGAAAATACATTATAAGATTGTTTTGTTCCTACTATCTAATGGCCATCTGATTGCAATGCCTCTCGATCTCCTTCAGCCGATTGATCAGCGAATGCAGCTCTTCGGCATTGCACACAAACTCCACAATGGTTATCCGCTCGCCGCTGCTCTGCTTGAACCGGCCAAGATTAATGCAAAACTGGGCAACGCCCGTACTGCTGTCCGACGTGGAGGACTTGACGTCGCACACTATGCGCCACTGGACATCGGTGATGTGTGGAAAATTGTGTCCCACTTGCAGTTGACGCAGCACCAGATCCTTTCGATTGTCCTCATAGACGCGTGTCAACTCGTCCACGGCGCTGCTGTGCAGCGCAAGGCCCTCCAGTTGCTGGCGCAGTGTCAGTCCGTCCCAGGCATGTTTGGTGGCCAGGGCGTACAGGGTAACGACGGCATATTCGCTTTGCTTGGCGCTGGCCGCATTGTTCGCATAGATTTCAGGCACTGGCGCAATGGCTACAAGGGGGGGAATGAGGATGATATGCATTAGCTTTAAATCACTTCAATCTTTTTGGTTTACTTACTAGCATCCGGATGCAGCGTCAACTTGAGGGAATTCGCAATGAGAATCTTGGTGATGGTTGGCGTCAGAATTGTGCCCAGGTTTTTGAGGCCCGCCACCACGGTGGGCGATATCAGGCTGCTGGCATCTGTGTCCGCCTCCGCCGCGGGGTCGCAACGCGCTGCTGTAGTCGTGGCCATTGGTTAGGTCGCGTTATCCATTAATATAAACAATGCACAACAATAATAATGACTGCAAGACACAATTGCGCTTAACAGCACAAAAATAGCAGCAACCATGCAAATGAACCGGATCCAGCGCTGTTAACAGAGCGGAGCGGAACTGGAACCAGTAAGGCGAACCAGCGCTGTAGTGTATGTAATTTCGATTTATTACAAATAAAGTAAAATATTTACACGACCACTTGTTGCGTTGTGCCTAGATTACATTACATTACACCCTGTAGAAGCACTCCTTGGCCCGCGAGGAACAGTTGTCGTATGTCTTGAACATGGCATCGCCATGAGCCGCCTTGCCGCCGTCGGTGTCTATTTGGTCTAGTTCCGATTCGGGTACACAGGCGCAATTGAAATTTGTATTGCCGCGGCTATACAACTTTCGTGGATAGCCCGTCCAGGCGCGCTCCTTGCCATCGCCGCTCGTGTTGGTGCACCACACACGCGTCCCCTTGGCCTCCGACCACTCGATGTTGCAGCCGGGATACTTTGAGCGCAGCTCGTCCACCTCAGCCTTCGCTATCTGAGCCTGCTCCAAGAGCGCCAAATACTTTTGGTAATATGTCGTCGGTTCGCCCTGCTCATCGTAGAATCGTCCAATCAGCTTCCCCTTGTAGATGTATTCCTTCTCGTAGAAATCCCTCCAATTGGCCAGGCCAAGCAGATCGTTGGGCTTCAGGCTGAGCACATCGTCCGCTGTCTGCGGATCATACTCCTCAAACTCGCCGCTTATGAACGCCACAGAGGCGTCGCGTCCCACAAAGAAGCTATAGCTGCAGCCGGTGCCATAGTGCTTTATGCCGCGTGTGACATCGAACACGGATCCCAGCAGTGCCAGATAGATGGGCTGTCCATCCTCCCCATTGTATTTGGAAAGTTCTGCAGGCGTTAGGAGCGTGGCTTCGTTGGCAGCTTTGAACTGGAGCGAAACGGTCTCGCCATTGGCATCGGCATTGTCCACATAGTTGGCCGCATGTCTGCTTGCAAACTGTTTTATTTCCGTGCGATAGAGGCCAGCCAGCACAGCTGCCAATATGAAAAGAAACTGCAATTTAAATAGATATTTCACAAACCCAAACATTTCTGTTTTTCCTTTGTTTTGTATTTCTTTTTTTTTTGCGGATTTATGCCTAGCACGCCTTTTCAACGGTACGCTGGATATTGCCAAGTCAAGGAGTGGTCACGTTGCTTATTATTTGAGTTTTTATTTTATTTTTTTTTAATTTCGTCGGTGAAATCTTGTTTGGGTACGAGCTGTTGTTTGGGATATATCGATAGGTCAGATATGCTCTCTCTCCTGTCAGCGATGCGCGCCGCTGTTAGTTTTCCGACTTCCCAAAACATGTTAAAATGAATGGCTTTCAACGTAAAACGGCGCTTTCTGGCCGCCGCCTCATTATAATGAGTAAAGTCTAAAATTCATTTTTAGCAATGATAATATTTAAGTTTTTTGTCATTAACCTACACTACACACATATATACACATATTTACAAACGAGGGGAGGACGTTATCACACTCGTTCACACCTGCTCCAAATTCGTGGGGGGCCGTAGAGTGACCATTACTTGGTTTCTTTTATTCACAGAGACCCGGAATCGTTGCCCCTCATGGACTTCTATTCGCCGCCGCGGCAGCCGTGGGGCAGTGGGGTCGATGATGAGATCCAGATATTGCTTCAGGTTGGCTATTAGCCCCGGGGGTAGACGGCGTGTCGGTGCAATAATTCGCCATTCTTTCGGTGGCTCTTCCCAGAGTTCTTCCCCTTTAACGGTGTCTAATGGATCAGGTCGCACGTTCTCGTCATGGATAGGTAGCGAGAGCCGAAGTTTCTTCAGTGGCGGCACGTTAAAGTCGGTTTCTGCTGCCGTCGACGGCGAAGGGACGACGGTGTCGTCGTTAGAGGCCATGTCTAGGGATCGAGACGAGGCGGCTTGTAATTTCCTTGGAGACAACTGCAAGACGGAACTTCCACATACGATCCTCGCTTTGATGCGGCAGAGAAAATCGAGCCCCAGTATGACCTCGTCGCGGATCATCGGCAGTACTAAAAAGGTCAATTCCGTTTCCTGTAAGTCGAGGCGTACCTTGGTTATCACCGTTTTCGTCACTTCTATGTTTGAGCCGTCAGCCAGGCTGATTTGGGTACTTGTGTTTTGCATGTTTCCAACCGGTAGCGCCTGCGCGGTTTTCTCGCTCAAAAATGACAATGAGGCGCCAGTATCGAGGGTGGCCCACACCGTAAACTTTCCCGCGATGGTCACTAGCGCGGCAATTCGACCGCGGCGATTGTCCAGACTCAAGGGATGTGTTACACCTGGCGGTCCCTCGGATATGTCGTCTATGTGCCGACTAGGCGGAAACGTCATGGTTTCTGTTTTATTGTTTAATTTCTTGGCTAGCGTCGGTTTTGTTTATACTATCTCGCTAAAGCTTCTGCGACGGCTAAAACCATAGATGGCACTATCGATAATATGGTTTTGGAACTGTGCGATAGAGCGCATTCGATACATCGTTTGAGAGAAAATATTGGTATTGCCAAATTTGTTTAGCACGTACAATTTTGTGGTGTGCTGAAACAAAAAATAAATAACGGGCTGAATTGTTTCTTTTTACCTTAATCTTTAATATAAAAAAAAAACATCGTGGGCATCATAAACATCGACTTTCGCAAATATCGATGTTTTCGCATTGGCGTACGATAGCTATCGGGCTCAATTTCGCGCGGTAAAATATTTAAGTATTTCTTTAATTTGCTTTGAAAATGTTTATTTGTTTCTCGGTGAACTTCTATTATAATATCAATTATGTATACAACTAAGTACATCTACTGGCACTGGCTCAGAGCGTGGGTGTAGACTGTTTTCTCCTCGGTTCCCCGCTTGATCACATGCGGAATTTTCTTGGGTTCCATGCTAAAAACAAAAAAGGAGAGAAAACCATTTAACAAATGAATACAATTTGTGTGTGAGATATTGGCATACGTGATGCAATCAATGATGGGGCATACGGAGACGCAGAGCGTGCAGCCCGTGCAGTCATCGTTGACGCTGGGCAAGTGCGTGTCCTTGTCGAATTCGATGGCCTGGTAACCGGAGTCCGCACACGTCATGTAGCACTTGCCGCAGTTGATGCACATGTCCTGCAATTAAACGGAGATATGTAAATGCCAGGTGAGACAACTGGGGATGTCATCCACTCACATCGTTGATCAGGGCCACCTTCTGTTGCTTGTTGTCCAGTTGGTTGTAGGTTCCAATGCGTGGCAGGGCAGCGCCGATGATATCGGCCACCTTGGGCGCCTCATTTGGCCCGCCATTGGAGGGGCAAATGGCTACAGCACCCTGCTGGGCATCCCACAAGGCTCCCTTCTTGCTGCGCAGCTCGGCCATCGCGATGTCACGCTCCCGCTGGTAGGGCCCGAAGAAACCCAGCGTGCTGTTGCCCTCGCCCGTGAGACGCAACACGGGCTTGCCCTTCTGGTGGACGGGCGTCGGCGGGGACTGGCCGTCCCAGAAGGCGCCATTCTCTGGCGGGGGATTGGCCCGCAAATACAGCAACGCCCTCAGACCGGTGCAGTAGTCATCGATGAGGGTAAAGTCCTGGTTCTGCACGGACGAGCAGATCTGCAGCACTGAGGCGCCGGCATGGAGGAACTGCAGGGCCACTTCGCCGGAATCGATGCCGCCAATGCCCAGAATGGGAAAATCGGGAACTTTGTTGGCAATTTCCGAGATGGCACGCAGTGCCATGGGACGTGTAGCATTGCCGGAAACGCCGCCGTATGTGGTGCGCTTCTCCTTGCCGACGGACGGCCAGGCTGTGGCATCCGCCTTGAGGCTCATCAGCCCCTGGACTGTGTTGATGGCCGAACAGCCGTCGGCGCCGCCCAGCTTGGCTGCCATGGCAATGGCCGTGATGTCCGTAATGTTGGGCGTCAGCTTAATGAAGAACGGCAGCTTGACGGCGTGGCGCACCCAGCGGGAGATCTGTTCGACCATATCGGGTATCTGGCCGCAGGCCAGACCCATGCCGCGCTCGCCCATGCCATGGGGACAGGACAGATTCAGTTCGAGAGCATCGGCGCCGGCTGCCTCGGCCTTGATGGACAGTTCCGTCCAGTCGGGCTCGTTGTAGCTGCACATGATGCTGGCAATCACGATCTTCTCGGGAAAGTCGCGCTTCAGCTCGGCGATGGAGCGCAGCCAGTACTCGGCCCGCTTCTCCGAGATGAGCTCGATGTTGAGGAAGCATCCCTGCTGCGGTCCGTACTTGTAGCCGGAGGTGGTGCCCCGGACAATGCGCGGCGAGACATTCGTGACCAGATCCTTGTCCAGGCCGAAGGTCTTTGTGACCACAAAGCCCCAGCCCTGCTCGAAGGCGCGTCGTATCATGGCAGCGCTGGTGGTGGGCGGTGCCGAGGCCAGTCCGAACGGATTCTCAAACTTCAGGCCGCACATCTCCACGGATATGTCGACGCTGTCGATGTCCGTGTAGAAGAGCGGCAGGGCGGCGGGCGTGTCCAGGGGCAGACCCTGCAGCTGGCAGTGAATGCCCCAGGCGGCCACCTTGCCATCGTTCACCGACTCCACTGTGGTGTTGGCCACTCCGGCCAGATCTCCGCCAATGAACACCTGCGGCAGACTGCTCTGCATTGTGGTCCTGTCCACCACGGGCAGCTCGCCGCGGAACTGCAGCGGCGCCAGAGCGTCGCGAACGTCCGGATCCTGCAGGCCCGAGCCGAAGGCGGAGATCACAAAGTTCGCCTTGAGGCGCACCGTCTGATCCTCATCCTCCACCCACTCGTCCTGCTCGTTCTGCTCGGTGCGACAGAACTCCATGCCCGTGATCAGGCCATCGCGGAGGCACACCTTGCGTGGACTCAGATAGGGCAGCATCTCGCAGCGCTCCTCGCGCGCCAGCTCCACCTCCTCGGGCACGGCTCGGATGCCCGACGAGCCCTTGCGGAAGACGACAAAGACGCGACGGGCACCGCAGCGCAGCGCGGATGTGGCACAATCGAAGGCCGTGTCGCCGGCACCCAGAACGATGACATTGCCATGCAGCTTGGGCAGACTCTGCGCGGCCTTGCAGGCGCACAGGCCCGGCTTGGAGCCATCCGACACCAAAGGCAGGAAGTTCTTGGAGGTGTAGAAGCCCGCTTCCACGTCCAGACCCTTAAAGATCGGATTCAGCTTGGGCTCGGGCAGGCCAATGCCCACGAAGAGCGCATCCAGGCCGCTATCGAGCAGACCCTACACAGAGACAGAGACAGAGAGGGAGAGGGAGAGTTGCTGCATCGTTGTGCTGGAATATTGGGAGGCCCCTGGAAGACCAACTACCTGCCACCTACCTGCACTGTCAGATCCTTGGTGCTGAGCGAACGATTCGTCTCGATGCATACGCCCAAGTCCTGCACCAGCTGGATCTCAAAGTTGACCACATCGATGGGCAGGCGATACTGCGGTATCTCGGCAGCACTCAGTCCGCCCAGGTAGCTGCGACGCTCGTAGATTTTGATGTCCTCGTAGCCGAGTCGAGCCAGAAAGGTGGCGCACGACAGGGAGGCGGGACCGCCGCCCAGCAGGGCGATCTTCTTGCCCAGCGGCTTGGTCTGCGGCGGCAGCCGCTGGCGTATGCCCATCCGCTTGAACATCTCGGTGGCGAACTGCTGCAGTCCACCGATGTTGATGGGTCCGGCCTCGGAGGCCTGCAGATTGCAGCCACCCACGCACAGGTCGCTGGTGGGGCAGACCATGCCGCAGGTCAGACCCAGCGGATTGTCCGAGAAGATGGCCTTGGCAGCGCCATAGTAATTTTTGTTGGCAATGCTCGTGATGAAGCTCTTGATGTCCAGCTGCGTCGGGCAGGACTTCTGGCACGGCGCATCGGCACACTTTAGGCAGCGGGCAGCCTCCTCGAGGGCCGCCCGCTCCGACAGTGTCGTGTGCTTAATGTCCTCGAAATTATTCGACAGCGTGGTGCATGGCGGTGCCGTGTGATCATTGTTGCGCTTCCAGTGCTTCTTGTTCTCCTTGGTCTGCTTGGTGGGCACCACCGTGCATTGGGTTTTCACGCGCGGATTCAGCGACAGCAGATCCTGCAATCAAAATTGCGGATTCAAGTGCTGATTGGCTGTGGGAGTGGGTGTGGGTGTGGGAGTGGGTGTGGGAACCTACCTCAATGTCGGGTGAATCTCTGCTCAGCATCTTGCGGGTGCACTCACTCCTCCTGGCTGGGGGTATGTCAGATCTGCAGAGGCAGAACAAAACGTACTTCAATTATCGATCACAAGCAACGGGCGCGGCGCTGGTGGCGGCGTTGGGGGGCGCCACTTATCTTTGCTAATCTACGGCTACGGCTACATTCCTTATCACTTCTTACCCAACGAACAAGTGTCTTTGGACAGCCCGTCCGGCCCTGAACAGCGCTGCTGTATCTAAGCGCATATATATATACAATAGTGCCATATTGGCAGAGAGCTCTTATCGTTTTATCAGTCAAGGTTGGAACGAGCGACACAGAGAGAGAGTGAGAGAGATTAGGGGGCAGCTGGGCTGGGCTGGTCTCGGCTGGTCTGGGCTGGCAGTGGAACGACGTCTTACAATGCCCGAAAATAGCCACAAAAATGGGGCCACAACCCCTTGCCGAGAAGGCAAGGTTAGGGGAAGGTCGTTAAAAGAGGGGGGCCGGGCCGGGCCTGCGCTGGGCCGAGCCGAGCCAATGGGTGGGATGATGTCACGAAGCCAGCCGGCGTATGCCTCACGCCAGATCTTTGGTCGTTCAATTGATTTCTGATCCAGATTTTGAGGCAATTTGACGCGTTGCACGCGTGCCCGTGCAACAGTTAAACAATTTAATTAAATGTCATACGAGTTTCATTTATAAATTGCAACTTCAACTTTCAGTGCCGTCTGATAGCCGTCTGCAATTTTGACTCTGACGCTGACTCTCCTCTCTGTGCCGTTTAATATTTAACTGTTTGTGTTAATGTACTTTGACGTGTTTACTTTTAACAAAAAACGTTTCGTTATGACATAAAACTCGTAAGTTAGTTGAACTGCTTAAATGCTGAAATTACTTGTAAAGCAGTGCTAAGCAGCAGTAAGCAGTATCGCCACAATCGCTCCATTCACAGTTGCATTAAGTACATGCATGTAAGTGCGTACTCGCATGACTCGCATATTGTGCACATGCATTCATATGTATGTACATACATGTGGGCAGCAGTCAAAGCAGATTACAATTTGTAACACTCGACTAGCCTTGTCTGCCTGGGCAGATCTCCATCTGCTTTGACTGCTGATTCTTTCCTCAGATTCAGATTCATAATGTATTCATTGTATTCATAATATTCGTTTAACAAACAGCTGCCTCAGCATCATGTTGGCACCCCCCTCCATCCCCCTGCCCCCTGGCCTGGGCTGGTCCCATTATCAAAATCGTTTTGGGTTCGGGCAAGTGTTTTTTAAATGTCGCTCGCATATGCTAATAATGTCGATGCGAAAAACAAGTTCAGATTAAAAACTACCTTATTAGAGTGGAGACTATTCTCACTCAACGATCAATGGGTCTGATTCGATTGGAAGGAACAAAACAATACAAAAAAAAACAAACCTTATTATTTGTATGGAAACACTCCACTGAGAATTGGATTGTGGAATTCCCCGATTTCGATACACACTACAAAAAAATATATTTTATTGCGAGATACAATATATGTATATGTATATGTACTCTCCACTGATCGGCAGTGGAACTGTTTGTTTCGATGGAAAGCACGCGGAAACGGAGACGATACGCGAGACAGACGGCGGAATTGGTCTTCACACTGGAAACGCCAAATTAATAATGAAAATCGTAAATAGTTTCAAAACCGTTGTTGGCTTCGAGATGGCCCGATCGTCGAAGCCGCGGGTCGCTGGCGAATTCTGATTACCAGCGCAGCACCCACTGTCCACCCCACCCCACCCCAGGCAGATTCTTTGTGTTCTAGAGTTAATTTATGACTGTAGATAAATATTATGGTGTATGTGTATGTGTATGTGTAACGGGCAGCTGTTTGTTCACATTTTAAGGCGTGCCCCTGTTGTACGTTGTACACTCTTTTCAGTAACAGTGATAGCTAACAGAAAAGCAGAAAAAGCAATAAAACAGGCTGCTGAAAGCTGCATTTTAACATGCCCATGTTAGTTTACAGTCGCTGATCTTACAGCGGAAAGCTAATCGAATCTGAGCTTTGCTAGACATGCTAGAAAAAGCGATAAAACGCAAAGCAAAAGCTACCCGAAAGCTTAGCTATCTACGAAATCTACCAGTCAGTAATGAGTAAAAACATAAAAAAATGCCTAGAATCGAAATGAATTCGAATGTGGAGAGCTTTGAATGTGTGACGTTGGAAGAGCAAGGGCTTCTTCTTCTTCGACGAGCTAAGCCAAACGGGTCTTCGAACTCCGAGTTCTCTGTGGGCAGAAGACAGTAGCCTGGAACGCACTGCTTCCTTAAGAGTAGCTACTATACGCCTTTTAGATCCTTAGATTGGCGCTGTGAAAGAAACCAATGCATGAGAGCCTGAACTGATCTCTCATCAATTAATTCTTCTCATTAATGGAATATTGAGATAGCCTACGGCTCCTGTCATATTTCACTTTATTTTGGGAGTACTTCGATATGTGAGAGAATTAAGGGAAATAATATCGAAGCAGGTGTGCTCTGCTTGTGGGTGTTAAGTCCATTACATATTATGCGATAAAGCGATGCGCGTTCTGAGAGTAAATGTTCCAAATTAGTTTCGAAGCTATAGCCAGTCTATCAGTGTTTATAGACGTTACTCCTAGACAGATACAATACATAGACACACTCACACTCCTTATCTTCTTGGATCTGGTAGAGATCTTCCGACTGCAATGATGCGAGTAATATCCAGATTCTAGAAAATGAATCAGAAATGGAATGATCATGTGGGTCTGTGGGTCTGGTCTGTGGCATATGGATTAAGAATTATTATTTTGTAAATATTATAGCCCACGATTATAGCTGTAGACATTGTGCCTATGGCCAGTGGCTGCCACATGACATTGGCTATAAACTTGAAATGATGCCATCAAAAATGGACACTAACTGGATGCAGCGCCAGCGCACCGGATGGGATGCCAAAATGCAGATGCATTCCTGGCCGATGGGAGATGGGCTAATAACTAAATTTATGGGCACACTTTTCATTCATTCACTGACCACAGGCCACTGGCCACTGGCCACTGGCAACTGGCTGTTCATTAAAAGTGCATAAATAACACAACGGATGGGGAAAGGGGTTCGGGCTTCTGGCTGGTGCTGGTGCTGGTGCTGGTTCTGGTTCTGGGCCTGGGGGTTTTTCTCAAGGAAACGTGCCCGACACTGAGAAAGTAAATCAAAGCGTTTAATTAATATGCACTGCAGGCAGTCTGGCCATAAATTACATTGGAAATGTATGCCAAAACAAGGAAACGCCACCGACAAGACTTACCTGCACTTGCCGGTCCCCCTCCGACACTCCGCAACAACAAAAAAACAACACAGTATTTCACTTTCGATTCGCTGCAAAGAGTCGTTCGATTTGGCCCGACAGCCTCGCTGGGCCTGGGGTTTGGGGCTTGGGGCTTGGGGCATCGGGGGGATTTGGGCCTGAAGAGACTGAAGAGACACTACCCAAAAAGAACGAAGAACCGAAAATGACGGCGCCAACGCAATTAAGATTGTTTCACTTTGCAGCCAACTGACACGCACTGCGAGCAGGGGTCGACCCTGGGCATGCCCTGTAGCTGGAATGGACGGCTTCAATGGCGCGTTGCAGTAGGTAGGAATCCTGATAGATAAGTTTGTAATAGATCGTAGCTTTGAGGTGATTTGATTGAAACTAATTGAACTGAAGAAAGCATGCAGCAGATCTATCAGCACAAATGTCTTCTCACTGGGATTGGTCATGGATGTACCGCGGTACCCATATGCCGCGGGGAGTGTGAGTGTCCCACTGTCCCACTGTGTGCTCTGGCCAGGGTATGCGGCAGACAAATGTCGTGTATGCGAATGGGAATTGCGTGCAATTAATCAAATTTGAACCGAGTGCAGGCACCCCATACACATCTTTGCCACCAGTTGAAGACGATCCACTGGGGCACCCCCCACCCCCACCCAGGCACCAGAGTCGTCTCGTTCCCCGTTGCTCTATATCCTGGCTGCGTGTGCGTGTGTGTTTGTCTGTGTCTGTGGCACAAGTTAAAAGCAATTTGTGATTAGAACATACACATGCGACAGAGCAGAGAGTTGCTCTTTCATCTAACGACAGATGGATATAGTCGATGGAACGGAATGCTCCCTCCATCTAGATATGTATGTAGATCGGTTCGATAGATAGATACACGACGGATGGTCATTATTTTTGTTGTTCATCTACATCTAAATCTACTCGTATATGCAGCATAATTTATTACGATTTTTATTATAATTTTATTTATGATTTCTGAGTTTTCAAATTTGTTTGTTTGGCTCTCTGGCTGCAGGGGCAGGGGCTTGCCATTATTGTTATTGTTATTACTGCATATACTCTCTATATAATTTTAGGGTATATATTTAGTAGCTATCTGATGCCCACAGTGGGTATATTTTCGTTTCGCACATATCCCATATATCCTCGCCATGAGCCACTCGACGACACCGAAAGAAGCAAAAAATTCATCGAATAAATTGATCGGACAGGTGGAGCTGAACCGTGGGTTTGGCCAACAGTGGAAACACTCACCTAACGCATAGTTCGCATTTCACTGGCTGTACTTTCCCCCTGCGACAGTCATCACTGTATACAGTGTACACATGTCCATGCTAGAGTATTTCGATATTCGCGAAATTTCTTTTCAATAGTTTGGCAGAGAGACAGAGAGAGAGAGAGCAATGGATTTGCTTTTAATAATTATTTTTTATGCAGACATTTTCTTGCGATTTAATGAGCAAATTTACTGAGGCGGCACACAACTGAATCAAATATCGAAAGAGGCAAATAACAAATTTATATTAGACATGCTACACTTACATACATATGTATGTATATCTATCTATTCATGGTATAGCCAAACAAAACAAAAAACAACTTATAAGTATATACATATATTTAATCGTAAAACGTGCCTGGCCCTCCCTCGTGTGACTCGCCAAACTGTCGCTTGGTCATTTGGTCGCTTGGTCGCTTGCGAAGGCGTCAGTGGCCGCCTGGCCTGGCCTGACACAAAAATAGATCCAGCCCCCCCCCCCAACTTTAACGTTCGCCCCCAAGTCCACTGCAACTTTTAATGGCAAATAAAACAAATGCTAACAACCAAATCGAATCAAATGGTATTGAAATTTATTGCGCCGCTGCATACATATAAAATATGCCGTATACCCGTAGTAGCGCAGGAAATGCCTGTCCATATCTTCCTATAATAGCTCTTTGATAGCCAGGAACTAGAGAGACTAGAGAGTCACTTCAAGTGAAAACGAAAACCTTTAACCGTCTCAAGCTGCCAAGTTGGCTGCTCTGTTTGTAATCCTCCTCTGTCTGGGGTATTTTTTTGGGAGATTATTTCAAAATGTGTCTGCCGTGTAGCGCCTCGGGGGCTGCAGGGATTAAAAATCATTTTGACAAAACGTTGCCAAAGCCCCCATAAGCCCCCTCCCAGACACACACACACACACACACACACACACAGACACACACAGACATAGGCGGCGTACTCATCGTTCGTGGAGTAAAGTTTTTAATTTATTATAAATAAATAAATACAAATACAAATAGAAATAGAAATAGAAATACAATTATTAAGTTTAGTACACACAACACAACAAATTTGAGGGGAGGGTGACTACTTGGAGATGGGTGACAGTTGGGGGAGAGCTGGGCCTGCTGGGCCAACTTGAATCTTGTCCTTGCCCGCCCAACCATTACATTTAAGCCGTCTCAGTGGCAGCTGGAGCGGAGGTGGGGGCAGGGGCAGGAGCGGTAGAAGCTGGCGCGGCTGCTTCCTGCTCGACCCGTGCAGCCTCCTCCAGGGCGGCCAGCAGCTGGTCCGCCTCGGCTGCCTTGGCCTGGAGTTCGGCCAGCTTGCGCTGCTTCTCGGCCTCCTCGGCCAGCCGCTTGGCGCGGCGCTCCTCCTCGCGGCGCAGCAGCTCCTGCATCTGGGTGCGCACCAGAGAGTCGCCGAGGCCCAGCTGGTCCATCACCTGGATGACGTCGCGACTGTAGCGGAGGCGCGTGTTGGCCGCCAGCTCCTCGCTGCAGTCCTCACGGCCCTGGCCGAGGCGCTGCAGCACCGACAGCTTCGCATCGATCACCATGTAGTTGCTGTTGGGTATGAAGTTGTCGCTCTTCTCGTTCAGGTACTGGACCAGGGTGCGCAGCGAGTTCGAGTTGGCCTTGGCGTTGATGGCGCCGCTGGCAAAGTCCTGCGACTTCATCATCTGGGCATGCGTGGACTTCTGCTTGCACTCCAGGCAATTGTAGTTGGGATGCGGCAGACCGGTGATCTCTGGCACCACCAGGCCCGAGCAGTTCATGTCGCGGCAATACAGGCCCGAAATATAGGCGCCTTTCTCCTGCAATGGCAAAAGAAGAGACCAAACCATTCCGATTAATGATCGATAGGTGCAACAACGGCAAGGAGGAGTCGATAAGTGCAACAGTGAGCCAGTCAATAAGTGATCGATTAAAGCAGCAGAGAGCATTCGATTAATGATCGATTGCAGCAACAGAGAGCATTCGATTAATGATCGATTAAAGCAGCAGAGAGCATTCGATTAATGATCGATTGCAGCAACAGAGAGCATTCGATTAATGATCGATTAAAGCAGCAGAGAGCATTCGATTAATGATCGATTAAAGCAACAGAGAGCATTCGATTAATGATCGATTAAAGCAGCAGAGAGCATTCGATTAATGATCGATTGAAGCAACAGAGGATTGATTAAGATCGATTAAAGCAGCAGAGGCATTCGATTAATGGTCGATATGATGTGAAACAGAGCGAAAACTATTAGTAATCAAATAGAAGGATCAAATCGAAGCAATTCAATGAAAGAAACAGGTGTCAAACAGGCAAAAAAAAAAATTTTTAAATAATAAATTAAGTATAGAAGAATATTATAAATTTATTCATTGAAGATTCATTGATAATCCGTTAAGGAAAAGTAGTGGCCAAGAACGAATGAAAATGAAACTGCGCAAAGATTAAAGAGATAATACGTCAATCATTTACAAGAAAAGAAGGAATGGGAAGGAATTCAAAGACAAAGCAAGGGCTCAAGATCATTTGGGAAGAATATAACTGAAACGAGCCAAAAGGGACAGACTCCCTTCTGCTTATTATAATGAATAATGAAGAGGCACTCCAAGAGGCATTTCCAGTGTGAAGAAAACAAATCATTTAATGATTCAGAAATCACTTGAGCTTACAGCAATTGGAACACTTCAAAAGCCAAACAAAAATTTGATCATTAGCATCCGCCGATCTGCGGCGGATCACTTGAGATATATTCGATGTGAGTCATGGGCATTCAGATTCGTTCGGTCCGCACACAGATAATGTTGTTCGCATTGTTAGGATTCCGATTGCAGCTAAAAATAATCCATAACGGATTGAACAAGTTCAACGTGTGATCTCTATATCTCATAACTATATCTGCCATATAAATACATATTCATGTTCAGCGAAGAAGCGTTTGCCTGCATATACATACATATGTACAAATGTGTTTGTGTGTCTCTACGCAGATCTAAAAAATTGACACATAAATAAAAAATACAAAAAAACATTTAAAAAAAATGTCGCTACGTGTGCGTTTTAATATTCGCTCGTGCGATCGATATATATATGTACTATATCTACGCGCATAGTCACAAAGTAAATAATTCAGTTGAGTCTGCAAAATACGGAATTCGGTATGCAGGGAGGGACAATGATGATGATGATTTTAGCATGGAATCCGTTTCAGTCTCAGGTTGTGAAGGGAAAGCCACACACAGACAACAGCCAGCCACGTCATGTCTATTAAATATTTGAATCGCTTGGCCAATTTGCTTGTCCATAAATTAAACTCGATAATTAATGGATCCGATCCGCAGATCGGTTGCAAGCTAAAGCGGATAGCGGATGGTAGAAAGGAAGCCACCTCAACCTCAATCTCAACGATTGGCGTGCCATGTTAATCCCACTTCATAGACAGACAGACAGACAGACAGACAGACACCCCGAGAGAGACCCCGTGAGAGTTCACTGAACCAATTTCACGCAGTGAGATCTGTGCAACCGGAACCGTAGCGGAGGAGGATCGTGCCATTACAACCGTGCCGCACCACAAAGCAAAACAATCCCAAAAGGCAAGGTCACAGAGCAGTGAACAAGCAACCACAAAATGTGGTTAATCCACAGGAATAATATTCAAAGTAAAATCAATGGCGAAGACTCTCCACATAACAGGATGCCAGTTGGCCAGGTTTGTTTTGCCATCTTTTAGCTTCATTGATTGTTGTAAACCATACAAAGTATGCATCATAGTTTTCGTTTTTCCTGCATTAAACAGTTTTAGTTTTGTTCATTATTCGACAATGGCCTCTCGCATTCAAAATGCGAATGTCAAACGGGTAATTACGACTCGACGGCGCTATACTCGTATGTGTGAGTGACCCTGGCCAAGAAAACAAAAATCTGTTTCTTTATGTTTTATACGTGTGTGTGTGTGTGTGTGTGTGTGTATAGAAGCCAAAACAAAAACGATTAAAAAACATATAGCAACAATTAAAAGAAAAAGAAAAAGAAAAAGAAAAAGAGAATGAATAGGTGAAAAATGCGACAAAAATGAATTTAGGAATCTTTAAAAATCAAATTCAAATCAATATGAGCGCAGAAAATTCCGGCAAGCAGAAAATCAGCAGAAAATATGTGTGTCCATATAGAAATCGAGGCGCGAAAAACATATAGATAGATATAGAAATCGAGATTCAGCCGCCAGCCGCCAGCCACCTCAGCTACCTCTGAGGCATTTTGCAGGCCGAAAATATATTGAATAGAATCAAGCAAATTAAAAAGCTTTTTGGAATCACATCTATTTATTTGTGATTTAATTGAATTGTTTTCAGCTCGTTCAAAAATAAACCAACAATTGTTGCTTGTTGTTGTAGCTGCCAAAAGGCCGTCGCTGTTGCCGCCGCCACTTGTTGCGCCTGGAAATGTGTGGACTGGGAATGGGAATGGGCATGGGCATGGGCATGCCCACGGCGTGCGGGAGGAAATCAATTTACGGCCAAAAATAACAAGACTCAACCAGCCTGTAATAATACAAGTGGGGCGGAGATATGAGGATGATGATGATGATGGGAATGGGAATGGGAATGGGGCTGGGGATGGGTGTGTGTGTGTGTTATTCTGTTGGTTTAATTGTTTTCGGATGAGTTTTTGATGTGCACAGGAAATCCTTAATGAAAGTATTCCCCTCGCTCTGCCACCAACAACAAACAGAACTAAAAAGGCGGCAAAAATCAAAAAGAATTCATCCGCAAAGTACGGGAGGATTATTCGATATTGGTATTGTGATCCGATCGATCTCGATGCGAGTTATATTTTAGAAAATTAATTTACAAAAATATATTAGGGCTTTTTTTTTTATTTCATGAAAGTTGATGGCGTTTTTTGGGTTAGTTTTAGAGAGTTGCCAATTAATTGCAGACAGATCTTTTAGCTGCATTCATTATGAGTATTTTGACAAAAAAAATTACTAAAATCGGACAACATTTGAGCTGTCCAACAAAGGTACCCTTCGATACACTGTGCCCTAGGTCCCTGGCCCCTAGGCCCCAATGGTCTCAAATATGCGACCCGACCCAGCCCATCGGATGGATTAAATTCGTTGGTTAATTGGCTCAAATAGTTTATACAGCTGGCAGATCGCTCATCAGTTGGCGTCGGAGTGGGGAAACAATTGGTGTTCGAAGCACTTAAGAACTGCCGCGAAATGGAGCGATCTTCGAGTTGGCTCGGCCAGTGGCTGCTCAAAAGTAGCGCGAGTAAAACGTTGAAAAATATCCATAAAATGCTCCTAGATATTTGCAATATTTATGCCAATCCCCATCGTTGATCTGCCATAAAGAATCTAATAAAATAACATTGATAGGCGATCAAATTCTATTGCTTCTACTGGTAATGATCCGCAGAAACTTAATTGCCGATCTCCAACAAAATAGTGTCCCAAAGAGAGCTAATTGTGGGGTCTTTTGCTTCTGCAAATCCCTGATAACAATCACGATGTAATCTGCCAACTTGCGGCAGAGAAACTTGGAATTACTACCCATTGGAGGTTTGAAAAATAGTACGAGAATAAACTGCTAACGATCGATGCCAATAGATATTGATCACTCAATAAATTTGTTTAAGTGTTCGCATTAAATTAAATACCAGAAAAATCCAATGGTATGAATAAAAAAAGAGTTCCTTTTATTTATCCCAAGTATCTACTCGAATGAGAGGTACATTAAGGAAAAGTGAGATCTTCTAACGATCTTTCCACTATCGAAAATATGCCTGAGTAAAGAAACAACAGCTGGAACAACAAGTGATTCGAAAACAAATATTCTGCCAGTAACTTAACCTGAATGCAATGCCAAAAATGCATTAAAAACTGATCGAGTGGGATCTATGCTAAAGTTGGTTTATATGCTCACCGTGGGATCGGAGCAGCGGGAGCACTTGCAGGTGAATCCCTTCTTCATTTTGAGGAATAAATGTCGCGCAATGTTGCCCGTGAATAGTTTGGTGTAAGTGGTGGTGATCTCGAAGCCCTCGGGTATATCGACGGCGGCGCGAACGATCATTACGTTGGTCTTCTCCTCGAAGGTGTAGTACGAGTTGGGGATGCAGTCATGGTTCATGACGGCGAACAGGGGATAGAGGGCGCGATAGTTGAACTCCTGATTGTCGTTGGTGCGATCGGTGGTCTTGTCAAAGCCGTTCGTTCGCAGTACGGCCACGGTGCGGTTCATGATCTCGAAGACCTTTTTGTCGGTGGGGAAATTCTTGAATAGCTTGGCCGCATTGCGCACCTCCACGCGATGGTTGTTATCCAGATTCGCCTGCAGACAGTAGATCAGATCGCGCTGGTCCTTGTTCAGATTGAGGGCCCGGGCCACGCACAGCAGCCGTATGATCACCGAATTGGCCACCTCCGGCTCGTTGGGGCCCCACGACTTGAGCAGATCACAGTCGGTCTTGTGCTGTTTCTTCTTGGAGCAGAGATTGCAAACGGGCAGGCCGCAGCCCACGCGGCACATGAAGCGCGTATCCGGCAGCTCCCTCAGGCACACACTGCACGCATTCAGCGAGTCCTCCTCGAGGGCGGACAGGCCGATCAGCAGCGGCATGTCCTTCAAGATGATCTCGCCGCGCTTAATGCCGCGCGTGGCCATCAGGCCGCGGCCGGCTATCTTCGAGACGCCCACCTCCCAGGCGGGATCCTTGTCCTTGAACGGAGCCAGATGCAGGTCCAGCAGCTCCGAGGTACGTTTCGGGCAGATCATGGCGCGACTATTAACAAATTCCGCTCTCTCGTAGTGCACACACAAAAAAATTAACAAAACAAAACAAAATACGAGAACGAGTACGAGTGCGAGTATTCGATCCGATGCCAACTATCGTATCACAATTATCGCTGTTTATTTCTTGGGGAAAACTTCTGATCCACTGAGGAGATTTTTTTCTTTTCTTTTTCTTTTTTTCTTTTCTTTTGTTTTCTTGTGCTGGTGCGGAGTTCTTTTCGCGACTGCCGTTCGTAAACTGTCGCCGTTTTCCAGCCTTACATGATTTTTATGTGAAAAGTCGGACGGAAAATTCTTTTGCACAGCGAAAAAGCTGAAAAAAATTCGCTTTCAACGAGCGATCACGAGCCGAACGACGACAGCGCCGCTCGCTGTCCGATCTTGCCCAAAAACGATGCTGTAAATATACGAGTGTTCCCATCGCATTTTGTGGGTGGAGACGGAGACGGAGACGCACAGACTGAGGGACGAGCTAACATCATGTGGCATCATTATTCCCGATCCGATCCCAATTGCGATCCTTGTCCCCTTATGGATGGATTCGATGCACAGGCACTTGGTTCGTGATGCTCTGACAAAAGTGCACACAGGGGCCTCGCAGTTGAATGGGCGGTCGGTCGGATGGATGGATGGATGGATGGTTGGCTGGTTGGCTGGCTGGTTGGATATGGATGGGATAGATGGATGGGCAGACGGATGGATGGACGGATGACTTGTTCGCTGGCGGATGTACAGGCATACAAGGCAGCCCCTCCCATCCCGGGTACATTCTAGATGTATCCACGTTTGTTCATACAAATCGGGCATGGATTTGTGCTGTGCACTTCTGACAGCGCTCTGGAGTTGCGCCAAGAATGCTGCCACTGCCACTGCCGCAGCCGCTGCCTGTATGGAATGATGAACGATTCATCAGAGGACAGGACGGGGTGCTGGTGGTGGTGCTGGTGCTCCGCCTACGAGTGTGTCTGGGGCTGGGGATGGCTTAAATCACTCGACTTTTGCTGATGTTTTTGTACTTTGAAGCGATTCATTTTGATTAGTACACATCAAACCCTCGCATCGTGAGTGTGCGGAAGTAACGACCCCAAGGCAATGCCCCCACCCTTATTAACACGTAGCCACACCACAGATATGTATGGTACAGTGTTTACTGGTACTAGTAAACGGCTGCTGTACAATTTCCTGTGCAAAGATCTACCTCCAGCTGATCATGTCCAGCCAATGAAACCACTTATGACACGCACTGTACGCAAAACAAAACAAAACAAAGCAATAAATAATTTCTATTCCATTATCAAATTGATGATAGGCGGTGGTAAGCTGACCCCCAAAAGATCTGTGGCCAAACTCAATCTTGAGGGAGGGCGAGAGCGCGAGAGAGAGGTGAAGCTGGAGGTGGAGGTGGAGGTGCCTTGGCTGCCTATAAAGATCGACTCGTACGGCGGAGCACATATCAGTGTTTATTTTGAAAATCAAACGAAATGTTCAACCGTAAATTTTTGCTCATTTGCGTGGCATTTGCTGGCATTGCTGCTCTGGTCAGTGGCAGTCCTCACGGCGATGGCGATGGCGAAGTGCCGCCCCCAGCATTCGGTGGACTCGGTGCACCCAGGACGTTGAGTGGAGCGGAGCTGGAAAACGCTCATGCGACGCTGAAAGCCTCCCTGGACAGACTGGCCGCTGGCGAGGGACCCAGCTATCGGTAAGTCACCAAGGGACACCATCCATGGACCAAGCCATTCATTAATCCTAATTAATCCCTTTTTGTCTGTCTTTTAGAGTCTCGAAAATTCTGTCAGCCTCCGTGCAGGTGGTCGCTGGCTCGCTGAACTCGTACATTGTGGAGCTAATTGAGCCGAATGGCATCACCAAAGTGTGCGAAGTGCGGATCTGGTCCAGGCACTGGCTGCCCAATGGCATTGAGGTCACCTTCAACTGCCCCAACGAGCCGCAGGTGATCAAGTCCCACAATGCCCCACCACGAATTTGAATGCAATAAAGTTTGGCATTTTCTCTGAAACGATTTTGGAGTTTTTTCTATACCAAGTGCGATGCGAAATCCATCGAGATCCTAGCCAAATTTTGTATAATTTTTTGCATTTGCTGCTGCAGCAGATTTTGCAGGGCCAGGAGGCGTTTCTTAATGCTTCAGCTTCTAGGTAATAGTCTAGACTCCAGTCGCATTTGCAGAGAGAGAGAGTAACCTCCCCTTTCCCCTGGCACCGAACTCTGTTGCGTTTTGCTGCTGGCAATGCTGTATGTAAATTCAAGCCTGGCAAAAGCTAAATCTAAAGCTCCCCCATAAGAGAAGTGAGAGCTTTGAGCGAACGAACCGAACCGCCTCTCTGGCTTCGCTATCTGATGCATTTCGCTGCTGGCAGTGCCGCGCATATGCCAATTCCTTCCTTCCACCTTTCTAATGCAAATTGTCTACTTTCTGATCGTAATGTGATGGCAAGCAAATACTAGTCGAAGACAGGGAATAAATAAACCTAATACACTCGACAACTTGCAAATTGGCCACCGCCTGGTTGGCCGCTGCCTCCATCATCCGCGATCTGCGTCTGCCGTGCCGTGCCGTGCCGTCCCCCTCAACGCACCAGCACCAGGACGGGTGACGAAGACGACTCACGTGCATCAGAGTCAGTCGTCGTCAGGCCAAAATTTGGTCTGCAAATTGGCTCAAAATTCGCCTTCCGACAGCTAATGCCAACCGCAGAGAGGCGCAGTGGCTGTGTGGCACCAACAACAACAACTTTAATTTAATGATATGCAAAATAAACACACCCCAACACAACACAACACAACAGACCAACAACAAAAACAAAAACAAAATAAACTAAACCGAAAAATATTATAATATAATAATATTCGATGTATGCAAATGGCTTGCAAAATATGCGAATAGTGGCAACAGGAACCAAATCACATTTATTGGCGCTTTGACGCGTTTTTGCAACGCTCCGCTGGCAATGAGGAATTTGGCGCCCATCGCCCCGTGGTCGGTGGTGCGCGGTGTGCTCATTGCCATGTCGTCGTCCATGTCACACAAAGTTGCCACAGATCCGCCTGCCACACACATCAGCAGCAGCAGCAACAGCAGCAACAGCAGCAGCAGATCCAAAAAAAACCGCATGAAACTAATTTTGCCAGTTGTTGCTGTCAGCTGGCGCCACTCCAGGCGTTGCACCTAGGCGCTTCCGCTGCCAAACAGAGACAGACAGAGAGAGAGAGAGACGGCGGATGGATGAACGAACGGTGGATCGAAAGCTTGGCGGAGGGGGAACAAATAACTACAGTTAATCGACATGAAAGTACGAGAGCCCCTCCCACCAGAAAACCCAAAAATAATAATTTCAATTTTCAAAATTTACAACAAAATCGAAAGACAAATAAGTGATGGCGCAGAGGGGAGGCACTGTACTCACCGATGGCGTCAAGTCTCGCACAAGTACTACCCTTTTTACCCACACAAAAACCAAAGCACCTGTAGAGCCCATACCCCCCAATACCCCTTGATTCGTATTCCGCATCAAAATATCTATGAAAATTTGCTGAAAACCCAAAAATCTATGCCATGTTGTTGCTGTAGCTGATGTTTGTTTTTCCTCAGTTTTTCCTCAGTTTTGTGGTTTTTTTTAATGTTCAGAGTCAATTAAAAATTGTAAATTTTACTTATAATTTTAAGGTAGGGTAGGCAAAAATGCAATGCGACCAACGTACCCGACGACGACGACAAGCAAATAAAAAAAAAAATTTGCAATTAAAATTTTTCGCGTCTTTGTCACGGCAACATACTGGCCGGGGCAGGGTGGGGTGTCGTTTGCAGCATGGCAGCCGGAAGACGGAGCAGACGGAGGCGAGAGAAGGTTGAGAAGGTTGGGCCCCCGCTTGATGGCGGCAAATTTGGCGTTGAATGAACCTCACCCCCAGTCGCACCACGTTGCCCCCGGTCTCCCACACGTGGAGGATGGGATGGGATGGGATGCGATGCGATGCGATAGTTGCAGCAGCGGCAGAAGATCGGGTGAACTGTTTGCGTGGCCCATTGCAAGCATGAAGATGCACCCGTGCCGACATGGAAGGGTAATTGTGTTGATTGAAGATATGTAAATATGCACACACTCGTAGGTGCAACAGAGGCAAATGCGACTGCGTCTGTAGATTGCCGTGAACGGAAATGAACCCTCAGTTGAGTCTCGGCCACAGTTCATTTGAGTTTAATTGGTTTTCCAGTGCATATCATACTCGTGTCTATCACATATGTAGGTAGGTATATTAAAGCAAGTGAAAACCAAGCGTGAAGAAGGACATACGAAGGTTAATATTAATAATCAACACATGCTTATATTATTCAGTTGAAATTAATAAAAACAACCAGAGCTAATACTTATGGTAACCTCTCGAGGTGGAGGATCTGCTGCTGTATTGCTAAAGCTGTTTTTCAGAATACTTCCTAGAGGATGGAATAACACCCTTATACTCGAAGCTCGAGTTGAGCATCAATGGGGAATTTATGTTGTGTTTTACCATTCTCGGGCATTCTCTTTTGCCGCATTCACTTGTGCGTCTTGAGTTGAGAGCAGGGGCTTATACACGATATTTACTCCAAGGCTTAAGGATTTCTGCTATCTATCATTATGGATCGATTGTGGGGGTGATCTGTGAGTTAAAATTCCGACCAAATAATAAAAGTATTTACTCTCGAAGGTTTGCTCTTTTATTCGCTAAAAGTCTCTCTACTCGTAGCTCAAAAGTCCCTTCGTTTGGAAGCTAGCACGCTGCTCTTCTTGTTGTAGGATCAGCTGGAGAGCTGAATTTCCCATGGGGAAATTCCCCTTTGAAAGCCTCTCTTGGGCTTTCTTCACCCAACTTCATTTACCGCTATGCCTGCCTGCTCTACAGCTACAGCTACCAACCTGCCTTGGTTCGAGGCATTGAATCAACATACTTGTGGCGGGCGGGTAAATTTCGCATTTGATTTTAATACACTTAAACGCAATCAATTTTATTGCTCTCGTTGCGGTTGCCTGTCGAATCGAATTCGATTTGATTTGCTTTTGAATGTGGGATGTAGGATTGGCTATGCCGATGCCGATGGGGATGGGGATGTGGATTCGATTTGGATATGGATTTTGCCTTCTGCGCCATTCGCAAGGTCCCTGCCTGCCCACCTGAGACCGTGACTGTCCCCTCCTCCACCACATGCGAAAGAAATGAAAGAAAATTAAAAAAAGAAAATCTTGTTTACAACCAATATGCGAGTGTGGAATGTTACGAAAATGTTGGCGTTGCTGTTCCCATTCCCATTGCCGTTGCCGTTGCCGTTGCGTTCCATATGCACATGCTGATCTAGGCGATCCATATAGCCATGTCTGAACTGAACGAAGACCTGAACGAGACCACGACCACTCGGAATACAGATCTGCGACTTATGTGTTAACATAAAACAGATGACGAACGGCAGCTGCGACTGCCAATTTCGCTTCAAAAACTTTCGAGTGGAGAGGAGTGGAGGAAGAAGGCAAGATGTGGAAGTGGACGTGAACGTGAACGGCGAGCGAGGTCCCTGATAGAGGCGAAGGCTTCTGCTTGCTGCTTCTGTTTTCTATCGCAGCACGATTACTCCCACCCACCCCCCTGCACCCGACGCAACGGCACTGACATCATCACTAGCACATGGATATGGGATGGCGCTGATTTGATAATCTTCATAATCCAGATAAGCTTAAATTATTGTCCAGCGTCTATGACGACGACAACGACGGCGTCCGGCTTTCTACAGCTTAGTGCAGTTTTGCGCCTACAACGGAGACTACCAGACGAGACCTACAGAGATCGCAATGGGCCAACGGTCGCTGTTGCTGCTGCTGGCGCTGGTGCTGGTGCTGGGGGTGAGTAATCTCCATGATATGGAAATCGAGCAACAGATTCCACCCCTGCACAAACCGGTTGCACCTGCGGATTCCACTTAAAGTTTAAAATCCATGATTATACTATATCCAATAATAGCTTTTGGCGGGTAATAGGTGGGGTAGGTGTTTGCATAACTAACAGCAGGTTCCCTTGCCATAATCCAATTAGTTTTATCCAATCGATTTGGCCCTAACATTTCACTCTCATCATTGAAAAAGTAATAACATTATGTTATTAACATAATTAGCTTAAAGTCTGCAAAGCATTTAATTGTTTTCTTGATGCATTTGCAGATGCTGCAATGCGGCTCCCTGGCCGGACCCTCGCCCATACCAACAGCATCTCCACTGAGGAGAGACCCCCAATCGCTGGCACTGCTACGGGCCCGTGACCAGTGCAGTGTGCACCTGAGCCACGCCCAGCGAATGCGCATGGATCGGATGCAGTATGAGAATCTGCCGCATGTGCAGCGATATGTTCACTGTTTCTGGTCGCGCCTGCAGCTGTGGCACGACGCCACCGGCTTCGATGCCCTGCGCATTGTCCACAGTTTTGGGGGACCGCGGCGACTGAATGTGGAGCAGGCACTGCCTGCCATCAATGGCTGCAATGCGAAGGCGCGCAGGTTGTCCCATGGACTTGTCATGGACTGGTGCTACAGAGCCTTTGCCTGTGTGCTGAGGACGCCGGTGGGCGATTGGTATCGCCGGCACATGGCCGATGTCATCAATGGAAATGCCTAGGAGGAACCGAAGCGACCGACTCGTCGGTTCTTATGTAGTAGCCAGTAGGCTGTAGAGAAAAACTTCACGCATTTCGATAGGAGATAGCTGCCAAAATCACAAAAAAAAATGTATGTTCAAACGATTTGCAGTCACTTCACAACGAAGCCGTTTGCAAAAATGAAATCTTCAAAAGCACGCAACTTTCCGGCACTTCAGAACATCGAAGGGGAGACACAAGTGGCCACGATCAGCGATTCTAACGGCGTACAGCGGCGTGGACAGCCACTGGAGTCTGACCTGGGTCCCTGCATACTCGACAGCTCGGGCAAGTACCAATTGTGTCCGTTTTTGAGAGCGAACGAGCAAGAAATTCCGGAAACCCAGGCAACCGATCAGAATAGTAATAGTAATCCGAAGGCTGACAATAAAGAGGAGCAAAAGGATAAGAGTAAAGAGCCGCCGGAGGAGAAGAAGAATCGCTGTCACAAGTGTGGCAAGAAATTGGGTCTGACTGGGGCATTTCCATGCCGTTGTGGCGGCATTTACTGCGCCGTTCATCGCTACAGCGACCGGCATGAGTGCAGCTTCGACTACCGCGAAATGGGCGCCAGTGAGATCCGTCGTGACAATCCGGTTACTGTGGCCAAAAAGTTGCCAGAGATATAGTGTCCATACATAAAACATATCAATAAATAGCTATGTTATCCAAAAATGCATCTACGATGCACAATCCCAATCAGAAATAATCCTATGCTGTAAAATACCAACCACAAAATACCAACAATAAAATACCAGCTAATCTCCTATCATATAATATTTTTTGAGTTTTTTGCACTTGTAAAATGCGATCAGCAAAAGGACCGTGGCGGCATAATATCATTTCTTAGCATATTTTATTTATTTAAAATTAACTAATTAATCGGAAACACTAATTTATTGCATTAATCTATCGACTAGCTTGCTGACTATCGATATGTACAATTCATTTTGTGACATCTCTAAGAGCGTGCAACTTCAAGGCACCACGAGTAAAATGCAAAAAACTAAAACCAAAACAAAATCAAAACCGAAGCTACTGGTCCCAGCTGAACCTATGCACGTGGACAGTGATGCGGCTTCAGACGAGAAGGTCCAAGAGGAGGCAAGTGCATCGGAGGACGAGGATGAAATGGACTTGGCCAATTTCAAACCAAGCTCCGCCGCCACTGCTCAGAAAAAGAAACGCAAGAAAGGCATTATTTACATATCAAACATACCCAGGCACATGAACGTGACGCGCATGAGGGAGATCCTGGGGGAGTGCGGCAAGATTGGACGAGTCTACCTGCAGCCAGAGAAGCAGTCAAGTGAGTGGAAAGCACGTGCCTTGCCGGCCACAGGCAACTGATTATCCTCTTTTGGCTTTTCTTCCCTAGGTGACAGGGCAAAGAAGAACAAGCGTAAGCGATATAACATTCACTTCACCGAGGGCTGGGTGGAGTTCGAGTCGAAGCGTGTGGCCAAACAAATTGTACCTCTGCTGAACAACAAGCAGATCTCGACGCGCAAGAGCTCTCAGTTCTACGATTCGCTGTGGAGCATGAAGTACTTGCCGCGTTTCAAGTGGGTCCATCTCACCGAGCGCATGAACTATGAACAGGCGGTGCATAAGCAACGTCTGCAAACGGAGGTGTCCCAGGCCCGCAAGGAGACGACATTCTTCCAAAACAATTTGGACAAGAGCGAGTACCTTAAAAAGCAGGCCAAAAAGGCGAAAAAACTTGACCAAGGCACCAAGAATGAGGCGTAGCATTAGGAAAAAGATATTTTTTATGTAGAACTGAATTCAAATATACATAGTTTATGATTATCAATTACAGATTCGCCTTTCAACTTTATTATGGCTTTAAGCGATTACCGTAAATAATATAGCAATTTTCAAATTAAAACGCCGATAAGTTACGTGTATCGCACGAAAATATCAACATTTAACAAATTCCTACCCTGATCATCGATAAAACATGCCAATAATTAAGAGTCGCGAGTATATCTGATCTAAAATGACGTGAAACAGTGTCGATTTCCCTCGAGCTCTGAAAAGTAGTATTGTGTTTGGGATATACACTACAAAAACATCCATATTAATATGTTCATCAATTAAAATAAAATATCGCCTACAAATATATTACCAACAAAAATAGTACATACATCGATACATTGTTATTTCAATATATATTTAACATCCCTAGCATTCCGCCATTTTCCTTTGTTGCGCCCGTGTGGTATTCGTAAATTCTGTGATCAAAAACTTATTAATTACACATAGAAAATGGTAAATTTAAATCAAGCATCTATATTTTTTTAATTGTTTACAGTGCAAGTGACAAGTTGAAAGTATAATTTATTAGTTTTCATTGATAATTTCATACAAATTAGCATTTTCATTTGCCGGGTGTGTGACCCCGACAATGACTCGAGCTCCCCAGCAAGCCCAAGCCATTTTGACAGGCGGCCGCTTCGCTTCGCACGTGAGCGGGGAGCGCCTTGCCCTTCTAGAATGTTCTCAATATTGTACAAATTAGAATGGTTTTCTTACAAATGTAATGCAATTATTACAAAATGAGCAACAGTAGAACTTTCTAGAATGCAATCCACGCCGTTTTGCAGGTTTTCGAGCGATGAATCACATCACTCGCCGCTCTCTCGCCATTTTAGGGGTTAGGTCGAGGCGATGAGACAAACGGGAGAACGAAATTAGCTGAGACACTCTCAACAAGAAATGTTTACTTTTCCCCCCATACAGGAGATGTCTCTAAATCCCGTGCGCGTTCTCAAGAATGAGGCGCAGGAGGAGAAGGCCGAAATGGCACGTCTCTCCTCGTTCATTGGCGCCATTGCCATCGGTGATCTGGTGAAGAGCACACTGGGACCCAAGGGCATGGACAAAATCCTAGTGGCCAATGGCCGCAATGCCGGCCGGGTGGAGGTCACCAATGATGGTGCTACCATATTGCGTGCCGTGGGCGTTGACAATCCAGCAGCAAAGATTCTGGTCGACATGTCGCGTGTGCAAGACGAAGAGGTTGGCGATGGCACCACCTCGGTCACTGTACTGGCCGCCGAGCTGTTGCGCGAGGCCGAGAAGCTGGTCGAACAGAAGCTCCATCCACAGATCATTGTCTCCGGCTGGCGCATGGCCACCCAAGTGGCCCTCGAGGCCCTGACTGCCGTTGCCCAGGACAACTCTGCCAACGATGAGACTTTCAAGGCCGATCTACTTAACATTGCACGCACCACACTGTCCTCCAAGATCCTGCACCAGCACAAGGAGTTCTTTGCGAATCTCGCCGTTGAGGCTGTCCTACGTCTAAAGGGCTCCGGCGAGCTCAAGTCCATACAGATTATAAAGAAGTCTGGCGGCACATTGGATGATTCGTTCCTGGATGATGGTTTCCTGCTGGACAAGAAGCCAGGTGTGCATCAGCCACAGCGTGTAAGTGTGAATGACCCCCCCACTACCCCAACCCAAACCCAAACCAACAATGCTGCTGCTGCTGCTCTCTCTCTCTCTCTCGTTCGCTCTCTCGCTTTCTGTGACTGCTGTTGCTGCTGCTGCACATTAACGCGTCAAAATGACTGTGAGCTATGTTGTTTTTGATCTCATATCACAGCCATTTTGACGAGTTTGATGTGCAGTCCATCATCCCATCCATCAATTCAACGGCAGAGTACAGAGCTTTTCCAGTGTTGCACAGTACAATCGAAACGAACGCGCGTGACTTTGCAAAGAAACCAAAGAAAATCCAAACAAAAATTCAATTCAATTATTTAAAAAGTGTGAATAGAAATGGGAAATGCATTTATGAACTGCGATTTCGATTTTTTGTTTTTATCTTTAAGCATTGTGTTCTCTTCCCTCTCCCTCTCTGTGTAGATTAAGAATGCTAAAATTCTCATTGCCAATACGCCCATGGACACGGACAAGATCAAGGTGTTTGGTAGCAGCATTAAGGTCGATTCATTGGCCAAAATCGCCGACCTGGAGATGGCCGAAAAGGAGAAGATGAAGGAGAAAGTCAACAAGATTCTCAATCACAAATGCAATGTGTTTATCAATCGTCAGCTGATCTACAACTATCCGGAACAGCTCTTTGCCGATGCCAAGGTGATGGCCATCGAGCATGCCGACTTTGATGGCATCGAGCGTCTGGCATACTGCACTGGCGGTGAGATTGCCTCCACCTTTGAGAACCCAGCGCTGGTGAAGCTGGGCGAATGCGATCTGATCGAACAGGTTATGATCGGCGAGGACACACTGTTGCGTTTCAGTGGCGTTAAGCTGGGCGAGGCCTGCACGATTGTCATTCGCGGTGCCACTGAACAGATTTTGGATGAGGCCGATCGTTCGCTGCACGATGCCCTCTGTGTGCTGGCCGCCACGGTCAAGGAGTCGCGCATCATTTATGGTGGTGGCTGCTCAGAGGCCCTCATGGCCAATGCGGTGTTCAAGAAGGCCGCCCTGACGTCCGGCAAGGAAGCCATTGCCATTGAGGCCTTTGGACGTAAGTGTCCCCTAGCAGCCCGTTGGAAATTTTGGTCAGAGATTTATATATTGATTGCTTTCCCTCCCTTTTTCGTAGGTGCTCTGCTGTCGCTGCCCACAGCCATTGCCGACAATGCTGGCTACGATTCCGCTCAGCTGGTCTCCGAGCTGCGGGCTGGTCATGCCCAGGGCAAGAACCAGCTAGGTCTGGACATGGATCAGGGCAAGGTGGCCAATGTACGCGAATTGGGCATCACCGAGTCGTTCGCCGTCAAGCGACAGGTGCTCATGTCTGCCTCGGAGGCTGCCGAAATGATACTGCGTGTGGACAACATCATCAAGTGTGCGCCACGCCGTCGCGTGCCCGATCGTGGCTACTGCTAGACTACTCCTAAGTATTCTCTTGTTCTAGGATCATATGTTTTTTTTTAAAACACCACACCCCGCACCCCACCCCCCATACCCTCCTCTCGTTTAACATTTGTACGTTGTACGTGCCTTTTTTTTCGTTTGTTTATAAACAACGCAAATAACTTCTTTACACAAGCACGCGCAACATACCCCTCCATGCCCCTGCCCCTTCTCTCGCAAAACACGTTTTATTTTTCATTTAAACGCACTGCTCCACACCCTTTAATGATTGTTAAACAACAAACAAGCAAACAAACAAGATAAAGCCCAGCTTTCATAAACAACAGACTCTGGCATCGTAGGACGAAGGAGAGCGAACAAATTAAAGCATTTTAAAAATGTCTAGATAACTGCAACAAAACAAACGCCTCGCCACACCACAACACAACACAAACATGTAAATGAATACAATTTTTGTAAACATTTTTGATATGTGCAGCGAAGCGAAGAGTCGAACACTAAAACCACACACACACACACACCTACACACACAAAGAGAAAGACCACTAAGAAATGGAAATAAAAACGATAATATTTATATGCTTAACAAAACTAAATGAAAGAATTGTGCAGTTCATTTCGAATTATCTAAGAGGTGTTTGGGAATAAGTAGACGTACGTATACCCAATCCCCACTTGGGTGGAACTGTCTACTTTCGAATTTAGTTTATATTTTTTAAGATTTAAGGCAAAGCAAATTGGATGGATTTGTGGGTGACGGACGGTAATTAACGAGCGGCATTTGGTTGGGAAGACGCCGCTGCAGCTCCACAAACTGGGCCCAATAGTTGATCATCCTGATGGTGAAAGTGTACACAACCAAAACGATTTTATTGCTCGTGTTCGTGCGCTCCAGCGAATTCATGCCACAGTCGGAGAGCTTGTCTGCATGCTGATGCACATCTGGGGTCCACATGCCTGCTGCTGCAATGCTCTAGCTTTCTCTGGATCTTAGATTTGTAAGGTGTTTATTTCTGTTATTATTAACAGAAATGATGACAGAGCACGGGTTAAGGATATTCCCATTTTTGTGGGCACAGCTTAGGAATCATTTTCACTCTGCCATAATCAATCAAATTAAATAGAAATCTAAATAAATAAATGGACACATCACATTAACATTGCAAACACACATTTTTATTGTAAATCTTTCGCGTTCCTTCATTACAATCCAAACGTATCAAATGTGGGGGGTATGTGGCGGGGAGTCAGAGCATTTTTTCAAAATGAAAAGTTACAACAATTAATAAAAAAAATAGTTTTCGTCGTTTTGCGCACCCAAATCGGTAGCGGTAGCGGCAGGTCGGGCTAGGGGGGGTGGTGTTATATATGGCCTATGGATATAATATCCATAAAGTGGACAAGGTTATCGAAGAGGAGTACGAGGCATTGGGGGTCCTATAAGTTATATATGTGTCTCGTATAAAGCGATGAAGGGGTTACCGTTTTCGGAATTTTTGTTGGGTTAAAACAAGCACAGAGAAAACACACACAAAAATGAAAGGGCTTTAAATAGAGGTCTTTAAAATATATACAATTGGCCTCTGGACTAAAATTATCGTTGGGTTTAATACACACACACACGCACACACACACACAGACACACAAAAAGAGAAAACGGGGGGAGAGAGAGAGAGAGAGATGGATAGATAGCTAGATAGATAAAGGGGGTGAGTGACTGAGAGAGAGGACGTTTCCAAAGTTGCAAAAATTGGCATTAAGTGGGCGCAGATCCCTTCGCTTTCGGGGGTGGGATGGGGTGTGGATCCTTAGGAGATGGCGCACTCCATTTCACCGTGCTTGGGCAAACAGTCCAGTACGAGTGCCACGGCACGCGACATGTATGTCATGGTTCCATAGCTGCCGCTGGGAGCGCTGTCACCGCACATCGGAACATGAAAGTGAAAGAGAGGGAGAGAGAGAGAGTTAGCTTTAAGGCTGATAGATGTGTATCCTGTGGCGCTCGCCTACCTGTCGTACAGATGCTGACAAATATAGGCCGCACCGCCACACAGTAACATCCCCGAAGCGGCCTGCTGCTGCTCCTTGCCATCCTTGATCTTGGCACAGCACAGTGTGGCATCGCCTTGGACCTTGCGCTGATCCTCGAGGAACAACTGATTGGCCTTGTGCACCAGATGCTCCACATAAATGATGCCACCCAGTGTGGGCACCATATTGTGCTCGGTGACCAGGGTGAGCACCATTAGGGCCTCGACCACCAGCTGCCGATACTCGGGCTGTGGGATCTGATTGAGGGCCGTCTCCACTTCGAGGGCGAACTTAAGCTCGCCGGGCGTCATCTCCTGGGTGAGGCTCTGCTGCAGTACACGTCCCTCGATGGCCAGGCCCTGGCACTTCTCCAGCACCGTCCAGACGCGCGAGTAGAAATCACGCGGCACCCGATTGAGGGCGCCATCAAGACGACGACGACGGAGCCACTGGCCCTGCCGATCATCGATGGTCGCCATCAGGGCATCCTCGCCCTCCGGATCGCCCAGACCGATCTGGCTCTTCTTGCTGACGCGACTGCTCTTGCAGCTGACAATCGACAGATTGCCACGCGCCACTGCAACACAAAGCAAAAGCAATCGAACAAATGAGTGAATGGACGGAAGGAAAAATACCATGGGACATGGGACCATGGGACATGAACATACCACTGCTGACAGCGAACTCCTTGCCGCTGAGTATGTGATAGAGGAGATTCTTCATCTCGAAGGGCGAGAGGTTAAGTAAATGCTCCGATGCCGCCTCACCGTCACAGTTCAAGGTGCGCGACAGCTCTTTGGCCATCACCTGAATGATCAGGCCGACGCGCAGACGCAACATTTCGTGAAACAACTGCGGCTCGGTGCGTATGAACATGGCCAGGTAGACCATCAGCTCCTGTGTGAGCATTGCTGTGCTCTCATCATCTCCATAGGCCTGAAACACACAAAAACGAGTTAATATTGATAGTCTGATAATCCAAATTCTACTTTGTATATATATAGCAATCTATTCACATCGTGTATCAGTTGGCGCAGCTCTCCTTCGGGCAGGGGTGCCGTTATGGTGTGCTCATTATTGGGTGGCATGCCGACGGTGACCTGCTTCTGGCGCACCAGCAAATCGGTGACGGCCTTGGCCAGATCCTCGACACGTTTGCCCAACATCCCGGCCGTGTGACGCACCAGTCCCCAGAGCTTCTGCTGGCAGGCCTTCTCGTAGAGGCCCTTGAGCAGGTCTCGCACGGTGACCACGCGTCCCTCCTCCAGCATTCCTTCAGAGTGAGAAGAATCGTTGTTAGACGGATTCACATTCAGATTCAGATTGAGGCTGCTGTTGTTGCAGTTGTTAGTGGTGTTGGTGCTGCTGCTGCTGTTGCTATTGTTGCTATTGTTGCTGCTGTTGCTGATGTTGTGGCTGTGGCTGTTGATGTTGCTGCTGCTATTGCTGCTGCTGCTATTGGCGGTGGAGGCGGCAGCGGCGCCTCCTGGTGTCGGTGTCGAAGTCGTTTTGGGCGTCGAAGTGGCATTGGCCTTATCCTTGGCCGAATTCGGTGTGGCTGTAATTGAAGCAGTCGCATCATCGATGATCACTGTGGGCAGCTTAGCCCTCGCCTCATGCCCGTCCCCAGTAACCACCACCAGCCCCACCACCACCTGCAGCATTAGCATTAGCCAGTCCGAGCACCACCTCGTCCACGAATGCTTGCTCGAGCTCTTTTATTTGGTTATTTTGTGGTTATTTTTTGTTGGTTTGAGTTTGGGTTAGTTTCGGGTTGCGTTGGGAAACATATATATATATATATATGTAGTATATGTAGTATGGGAAGAATCGGTTGGATTTTGATTGGTTTTTTTTTTTTTGTTAATGCAACATGCGGCGGCATAAGCGGGACACACACAGAGCGCATGCGTGGAATGTGTGTGTGTGTGTGTGTGTGTGTGTGTGTGTGCGTGTGATGTGTGTGTGGCGTGGAATATAAAATAAAACGTAAAAGAAATACAAAAAAATTCGATTTAGAAAACATTCATCAAAGGAGTCCCAAGTAACAAGTAAAAATATAAAATGATGGATTTATGTTTAACATAATTTAATGCATTATAAAGCCATAACTTAAGCAGTAAAGAAAGCGTTTCAAATTGATGTGTATTATTAATGCTAAATGCTAAATAAATTGTAAATAAAGGCAATGCCGATTTGGGATGAAACAATTGACACAAATCACACACAAAAAAAAAACAAAACAAAGATACAAAAAGAGGGGAAAAATAGTTTAACAGAAAGTTGAAGGGATCTCTGAAGGCTAAAAGGGAAAAATAGTTAACAGAAAATTAAAGTTAATTATTGGACAATATCTGGGAGAAGTAGAAGGAAGAGAGTGGGAGAGTAAAGGCACACAAAGAGACAAAAAAAAAAAGAGAGGTAAAAGTGAACAGAAGGGTAAGGATTTCTTTGCCAATCTCTGGCTGTAAATCACAGAAAGTAGGACCATAAAAAGGATTAAAAAATATACACAGAAAGTTAAAAATAGTAAACGGAAAATTTAACGAAATTTTTGGACAATATTTGGGAAAAAATAGAAGGAAAAGCAGGAGGATTAAAAGGGGGATACAAAGAGAATTGGGAAAATAGTTTGTGTGAATGTTAAAGAAATTATCTGCCAATCTCTGGCTATAAATCACAAATCGCAGGAGAGTGGTGTGTGGTGTGTGGGAAAGGAGTGTAAACGACAGCCCTGGGTGGGTGGATTACAAGCCCCGTACCAGTTGGATGCTCTTACAAAACAACGACCACCAACAGTAGCAACGATCTACAACCATCAATATAGACAGACATCTGGGATGGAAAAGACAAACTTACCTCCAGCTCCGGCCATGGCAGAGGCATTATCATCCGATTTATTCTTAAATCCCAGGCCAGCTGTAGACGACCACAAATTACGAGCACGGAGAACGGAGCACGGAGTACGGAGTACGGAGTACGGAGAACAGAACGATGCACGATGCACGATGGACAAGAACAAGAATGTTCATTTTTGAAGGGGGGCACCACAGAGAACAATGAGTACAATAGACACGCATATAAAATGATTGAATGTACGGTTTAGATGCCAACAATTTCATGAATGTAGTAGATCAGACTTATACTTAGGCAAATGTTTGAAATATTCAACTCAACTAAAAAGAAAGGACAATCCAGGCTAAAGACAAAACTGTAGATACCCGTAATCGAAAGAGACTAAACGCATAAAGTACATATTTACATGTATGTATGTGGTACGTGGCATGGAAACAGTCAGACGGACGGATTACTAGAAAATTCTGATTTAACTGTTCACTTACATCTGCGCTCAAGCTTCATATCTCTCTCTCTCTCTCTTTCTGTCGCTTTTGTTCGCAGCTTTTCTAAGCTGCTCTCGCGCTCTCTTGCGCTTTCGCTCTCTTAATTCCAAGCCTCGCTTGAATAGGGCGAACCTAACCTACGTTTACGTTGGTACCTTTACAATGATTGCAACGATACACCTAAGAAACTTCTAGTTGTATCTGCATTTCATTAACATTTTTATCTGCATTTTTAATTCTAATCAATTCCCAAAAACTAAACAAAATATTGAGACAGAATATCTGCAGGACGAATCAAGTGTGTGTTGTGTGTGCTTATGCGTGTGTTTAGGCGTGTGTATGCTTGGCATGTGTGTGTGTGTGTGTGTGTGTGAGGCGTTTGCTTGTGTTTGTTCGTTGTCCTCTCGTTACAGAAGAAACTAAAAGCTTAAAGCTGATCTAAACCATATATTAAAGCAGGCTTGTTTTTCTTTCCATCTCTTGGCTTGACTTGGCACTTACCTGTATTAAAGTCCAGGCCCTGTGTATCGACCAGATACTGCAGTATGTCGCCCTGCTCCTCGAGATTCTCCGTCTCGCGCAACATGGCAATCAGCTCCTCCACCTCTGTGTCCGCAAAATTGGTTTCCGCCCGATGGCGTTGGATGAGAATTTTTGGCACCGTTACTATTATGCATTATTTACAAAATATTCGCACGAACAAAAACGCCAAAACAAATCATACGGCAACAAAGGGAAAAATGTAAAGAGAAAACATACGAAAATATATCAAATTAGGAAACTAAATACGAATTAAAAGAAATGGAAAAGAATGGTGGAATGGCGGGGGTGGGAAACTAACTCTCTTGCTGGCGCACAAACTCGCTGCGCCTATCGATGGCCGAACGATTCGGTCCGTGCGGATCCACGGGATAGATATTCTCGCGAATGACCAGCTCGTTGCCCAGAAGGAGATTCGGCGAGCTGGGCCCCTCCTCGGGCGTGGTGGCAAACACTGAGACATGGCTCTGCTTGTTGGCCTGCAGCCAGGGCGGCGGCACCACCGACGACAGTCGCCGTTCGGTGAGCGGTGAGGGCCCCTCCATGCCCAGGTTATCGGCTGGAAAACAAAAACAAGAAAAATATATGTAAATAAATATAACATAAATAAATACAAATATACAAATAAAAATCCCGCTTACAGTCGACATTTATGGAGCGCGTCTTCTTGATGGCTCCCTTGCAGGACATGCGCCGGCGTAGGGTGCGTGGCCTCAGCTGTGCGCCGCGTAGATTCATTGTACTGCGATTGCTGAACGAGCGCAGCAGATGCTCATCCAAATAGGTCTGCACATCGGGATGCAAACGGTCCGGATAGCCATCCTCGGTGCTGCCCAGAAAACTCAAGTCCGTGATGGCCGAGGTGTTGAGAAAGTCCTTCAGGCTGCCCAACATCACGCGGGTGCCATTGATGTAGCCCGACTTGAGTTTCCTCATCGTTTGGATCATGGCCAGCGGTATCTTGTCCTGGTCTGGATCGGTTATTGACAAAATGTTAGCTTTACTTCTGCTTCAATTTGGGCTCTTGTCTTATTTGTGATGTGTGGATGTGTGGATGTGGCTCATCTTATTTTCTTTGATCGATCGATTGATTGAATGGAATGGAATAGTTTCTGTGGTTGTGTTTGGTTATTAGGGCGCTGTGGCTTATAGCTATGATTTAGTCACACAATAAATACAACAATAACCGATATACGAGTATATAGTATATTATATACGGATCAAATTCTCATCCAAAATTCCAGCAGGGGGGGGGGGGGATTAGTCAAGTGCGCAGTTCAAACCAAGCCAAACAAAAAGGTAATACAAATTAGGAGCACAGCCGCCACACAAAGTAGTTACAGGAGGAAGGGATAATACTTTTGGATAGTAGATGGCATAGAATTTCATAAGCATAGGCATAGGCATAGGCATAGGTAGATTGGTGGATTGGTGGATTGGTGGATACTTAAAAATGAGCTATGGGACGCGTAGTTTGCAGCGACAATTTCAGCGATATCTGAGGCAATGTTTCAATATCATCATATCAATTTTTAAATGTTTTAATTTTACACAAAATTTAGCTATTCTTCAAGCCCATTCTTGGGCTTACACAAGTTAAGATTTTATCGATTTTAAAAGGGTTCATGAAATGATTTGTCAATTGTTTTTGGTTTTGCACACTAAATTTTGATTTTTTTTTTCAGATATCTTCAATACCTTCGGCGTTTGTGCGAATGTTCAAATTTCGCATAAGCGAACGGCCAAACTGTGGCATGTACGGGATGGGTATGCATGGGTAGGGTAGGGTAGGGTTGGATTGGGATGTATTTTGTCTGACTTTTGAGCCAACACAGCGCAGGGCAATTATAGAGCAGAGAGCACACATAAGAAAGAATAGCAATACATATTTTTGGCATTGTTGGTATTATATACATACTCGTGGGTTATATTAAAGTTTAGAGGCAGCATTAAGAGGACTAGAGTAGTAGTAGATAGCTAGAGAAAAGACTAGTTGCAGACACAAGCGAGAAGATTACAGATTGCAGATCACAGATCACAGAATCCATTAATGCTGGAGTTGAATATCAATTTGTTGTTGTTGGTTTTGTTGTGTGTGTGTGTGTGTGTGTGTGTTTGGGGGGTGTGTGTGGGAGGAGTGTTGCTGGAATATATGGATTTTTTCTTCTTTTTTTTTTTTGTTTTTTTTTTGGGATGCAGAATCGGGTTGAGGATTGGTTTTTTGGTTTTTGGTTTTTGGTTTTTGGAATAGTAATTACCTAGCATATAGTGGGTTGCCATTAGTGTGATTGTCGGCCTGCCCAACATGTGACGCCAATTGTTGGTCAAGAATGCTAAATTTGTGGTAAAATTGCTGGCAAGCAAATCGGGATCGCGTGTTGTATAGTATTCTTCATAGTCGATATGCTGTGTAAGTGTTTTATTGTTGTTTGATTGATTGATTGTTTTTGTTTTATTGTTTTCAGTGTTTTGTTTTGTTTTGTTGGTTGGTTGGTTGGTTGGTTGCATTTCGTATAAAATAAACAAGAGAAAGGTATTTTGATTGACTTTTTGTTCATCGATTTTCTATGGCCAATTTTCAATGGAGGAATTTAGGGGATAAACTCAAGAGTAAAGTTCAATCAGAGAGCGGGAAGTAGCGAATGGAAATGTCAACTAAAAACTAAGTAAAATCCATTACAAAAGTGTAAAAATATATGTATAGTATGTATGTATGTGTGGATGGTTTCTATAAGTAGATATGTATGTTTAAAAATTAAAATAGTATCAGGTGGTTCTTTTTTGTCAACTAATTTAAGTTACAGGCTCTACCATAACCAAGAACTAAAATAAAAATAATAATCATTAAGAACTAGTAGAATCGATTGCCCAATGGGCATGTGTGTCTGTCATTCATTTGGATCTAAGTTTTATAATCCAAGTATTACCATATCACACGGTTCAATAAGTTTCCCAAGCACAACTGATTACAAATTAATTAAATTAATTAATGACAAGAATGTGGGCGGCAACAGTGCTTCAAAAGAGCCCGAGAGTGAATGCGCTGAGTGCGGGCTCACGTAAGACTCGAATGCACTACATTTAAACGAAGTGAAACGAATTGAATGAGGAAAAGTCTTGCGTTGTTTCCCGAATATATTAGAATTTACATAAAACAGCATTTCAGCATTTCTCTGCATTAAATTGCGGGCACTTATTGAACCATGGCAAGTACTGGAAATACTGAAATTAGATCCGGCAATCACTCGAACCCACCATTTGACAATCAATATCCAATTGGATGAGAGTAAACAAAGGCCATTGGGGCAATCGAGTGGAATCATATAACAAATGGTTCTCTAATAAATAAATAAATTCAAGTGCGTAATTGTGTCTATGTGTGTCTATGTGTATGTGTATGTGTGTGTGTGTGCATGTGTGTCAATTAATTTATAAACAATACAGAAAGAAAACCAAACGCAAACCCTTGCAAATAAATTTCTTGAAAAAAATAGTAATAATAAAAACAGAAAGAGATTAGCAGATAAAGGAGATAGTAGGGAGGGGGAGAACCACACAGAGAGAGAGAGAGAGATACATGTTAAATGAAACAAAAATTAAAGAAAATTAAAGTACAGTAAAAATTGATGAAGAAGAAGAAACAGAAACAGAAACAAAAAATATTTGCTGTGTTCTGTGTGTTGTTTTTTTTGTTTTTGTTTGGAACCGACCTAAGTGGATGCGCTTCAGCACTAGGGTGACCAGTGGCCGGCCCAGCAGATCCCAAGCGGACTTGAGAAAATTGATTTCGCCCTTAAGGATGTCGATCATGAGTTCGTTATCGGAGGCTATATAGAAGCGCGACAAGTCGGCAAACTGATGCACATCATACAAATAATATAATAATAATAATAGTGATGAATAGTAAATAAAAAATCAAATAAATAATAGAGTAGAACAGAATAGAGCTTAAACAGAGCAAACAGAGTAGGAAGGAGGAAGGAGGGAGCTTTTCTGGGGGGCGGGGATTCAGGGACAAAAAACTGTGAACTCACCTGCGGCGTGAAGGCAAATATACGATCCTTTAGGGAGTACAACTTGCTGGTGCTGAGTATGCCCACATCGCGGGACTTGCGACCGCTGAGCCCCAGCTTGCGATTACGCCCCAGATACGTGTATAGGTGGCTAAGGACACGTGCGGGCTGCACCTCAATGGGCGCCACCTCGGCTATGGTCTGGACATGCAGATCATGCTCGGCCAGCTTGTCGCGTATCTCATTGTCCTCGGCAATGATCACCACTTGGACGACCACATCGGGTTTCTTTTGGGCACCCAGGCGACGATTCAATGGATCCAGTTCGCCCACAGCCAGGAAACCCTACAGGGGAAATGGAAATGAAATAGTTTTAAGTGCACAAATCTCCTGCCTCCACTATGCATACATTACCTCCTGCAATAGGCGGCCCAAAATGAAGAGCGATTGACCCCAAAGGAAGGGGCAACGGCCCACAACTTCGCGCAGCTGTGAGCCCGGTTTTTGGTACTCAAATCCAACCAGATCCTGGGGCACAGCATAGCTTTCGGGCACCAGCAGTGTGCCATCCTCGGAGCGGACCATTATCTTCTCCAAACGATCGGCATACTCCTGCACCGAGCGTTTGTCGTTTTGAAATGCATGGAACAGGATGAGGTAGCAGAAGAAGAGCGGCCATTCGCATTCGATGTTCTCGAACATGCGCAACTCCCAGCGCTCGTAGTAGAGCCTGGAGGGATCTTCCTTCGGTGTGCGATAGCCATCGCGCAGGAAACGCTTGCAGCCGTATTTGCCCTGCAGGCGGGACAGAATCGCATCTTTGGTTTTGTGTATCAGCTGGGCATCGTCCACGGCAAACGCGGGAAAGCCAATCACACACAGGAGGCCCGAGTCCAGCTCCTTGCTGTTGGATTCACGTGGCAGCATCGACTGCAGCACGGCCTGGCATTTGTGCGCCTCGTCGGCCAGCACATGAATGACGCTGGCCGGTCCGCCGCGTGCACCAAACAAATCCAATTCGTTCATGGCCTCCAAGGCGGCCTTGGCCATGCCAATGGAGCTGGCATTCAATTCCGGCTCACCTGGAACATAGAATTTCGATATTGAGATGCACAAAACGGGGCGGAGCATTCACCCACCGTGATTGGTCTTGTCGCCTCGCTCCCAGATGCCATAGTCGGGTATGGAGTAGGCCGACTCAATGTAAAAGACCAGGTTCTGTATGAACGACACCTCGTCCAGGGAGAAGACAATCTGCAGGCCAGAGGCCGTCATTTGGGCCAGGATCAGCAGATACAGAGAGACGGCATCGATCTGCAGATGACCCCACTCGCCATCCCCGACCACGGGCAGGCCATTCTTGCTGGAGTACTTGGCATGCAGCGAATCGTACGGGCTCTGCGTCATCTTGAACTTTTCGACCTTGTCCTTTTGGTTCATCATGGCCATGAGCAGGCCGCGCATTAGCTTCACACAGCTTTGCTCCAGCTCATAGCATTTGGCACGATCCTCGTCCTGGTCGGCGATCTTCTTGTAGGCCATCGACAAGCCCCAAACGGCCAGAATGCAGTACACATTGTCGCGTATCCATGCATGCGAGTTGACATTGGAGGCAGGAAATAGGCCGGTAACCGGCTCCTGGTGCGCCAATATCAGTCGGTGAACAATGCGCTGATAGTAGTCCAAGCGGACGCCCGAATTGCTACGGGAACGCATCTCGGAGATGTGTGCTATGTGCTGTGAGCTGTGGCTACTACACGTACAAAAAGAGCATGTCATGTGTGTGTTAATATCGTTGGATGCGTCTGCTGCTGCTGCTGCTGCTCTTGACATGATCACTTACATAATTTAGAATCGTTTGTTGTGGTCTGTGGGGCAGGCAGGGCACGCACGCATGCAATTGTTGTCTCACGGCCGTGAGAGGCGCCTCTCACACAGAGGCAGAGGATGACCGACCCGACCGACCACTGCGACCACACGCTTCCTCAACCTCTAGAACCCGCTAGAAACGTCGTCAGCACTTGCACTCCAGATCATTCTCGATGAGAAGTCGTATGTGAAGTTACGCGAGTGGCCACAATCAATAGCAATGTATTTTCTGTCCGTTCTTTGCAAATAAAATGTATTGTAATTAAAAAAACCAAACCAAAAGTCAACTCAATGTCATGCAGTGTGACCAGAGCTGGTCAAATAGTGCTGGTTCGTTCATGAACGAACCAAAAAAATAACTATAAATATATTGTTTTCTTGTTGATGATCAGAAATCATATTTCTCGATTTTCATATTCGGTTTAGTCTTGCCAATTAGCTAGAGCCCTCAGCACTGTACGTATAATTTTATGCGATGAAATAATCAATTTTCTACAATATTAGTTAACTGAAAGTACTCTCATTTATTTGATTGTTTTTAAAATGTGGCTTAAGAAAAAAAGAGCAACAAAAAATATAGTAAAACATAAGTGTTGAAAAGTTATTATTTTAGTTTAGTCTCACAATCATATTTTACTTTATATAATGAATATTGTTTAACCGATAGTTTAGGCGATAACTGAATATCGATGGGGTATGATCACTTGATTAAAAGAAAAGAGAGGACACGCGGGAAGAAATATAGTTTTAAGTTTGAAAATTGTAAAAGAAACTAAATAAACGCGCAAAGCGCAACGGAATGGACAATCAAAGAGTGTGACGGATAGCCAATCCAACGCTTTCGAGCCGGATAATACAGTTAACATTCCACAGGTACAACAACATGGCTTTCGAGCCGGATAATACAGTTAACATTCCACAGGTACAACAACATGGTCCTTCGTAGCCTTGTGAAACAGCATATGAAATATGCCACATCGCATTTGCTTTAGCACTTACGACACTAAGAGACGCTATTTCATCATCCGTTGTAAGTGTGTAGCTATGTATGGTTCTAAGTTGTCATTTAGACACGCATACCAGCAACAGACAGTTGCACCGACGCATACACACAACACACAGACCCAACGACATTATATGTATAAGCCCAGGCTTGGGTATACATAAAAATTTGCAGCAGCAATAAGGCAGATATCAGACAGCGATCATGCCACCAAAGCGCAAGCCGAAAACGCCTAAAACGGCAGACAAAGAAAAGATAGCTGCCGACACGACATACAGCATATTTCCGATTATGATGAAATTAACAACACAGTAGTTCCAGCTTCGACACCTTTCCTGCTACACAAAAGGAGGATAGGAACGTCAGAATGCTCTGAAATCGAATGGGAACCAAATTCAAATGGATTTTTTGATGACAACAAGTTGATCTTCAACAACAAATAGAACTGGAACGGGAGCGACCTCAGGAGCGTGCAAAACAACGATACATGAGACAAACACAGGCGGAATCCAGAACACGTAATTGGATCGACGGACTTCCACGTAAGTTCAGTTTGAGTGTAGCGCTGACATAGTAACAACGAAAGGCGAGTCCAAATTTAATTGCAGTTTTATGGCAGACAAACAATCGCGCAGGATTTACCAAATTTGAGGCGACCCTTTAGACTGGCCATTTTCACGCTAGTTTGTCAACAGCACAGCGAGTTGTAAATTTAATGATTACGAAAATATTATCGTTTAGAAAGGCTTTGCAGGTAGGCTAAGGAAGCAGTACAGTCGCTTTATTATGCCACAAAATGTTGATGTGTCATTGGGTTTTGAAGAACGATTTGGCGATGCAAATCATATTGTCGCAGTTAATTGATAAATAAGAAATATTCCTGTTTTAAAAGATGACAAGTGTGAAAGATTTATCAATTTAAATGACCAACTTACAAATTTAATTCATACTTTGTTGTCCCTTGAACAAATTGACCATATTCGAAATCCGATTTTGTTTAATGACATATTGGAAAAACTTCCAGTATCACAACGCATGTCCTTTATGCAGCATTATCAAGAAACAGATAAAGACGAACCACAACTTCTAGTGTTGCAGAGATGGATTGGCAAAAAAGTAAAGCTGCTCAATTATTAGGGTATGGACTGAACAAGCCAAAGAAACGACACTTACTATATCGGATGATAAATGGCCACTAAACAAATAACGACTAAATATTTAATTTTTGTAAACTGAATGATCACTATGTGTCATCATGTGCAAATTTAAAAGCCTAGACGTTGACAAACGCTGGGGACGTCTCAAAAATCATTTGTGTATTGCATGTTTATGTGAATCATGCAATGAAAATTGTAAACGCAAAAAGATTTGTAGTATTAATAAGTGTACATACAGCCATAATACATTATTACATAAAGATATGCCACCGAAAATCAAGAAGATCAACCCTGCATCTCAACGCCAGAGAGATCAAGTGAATAATGTCGCCAGTCTGACAAAAGAGATCTTGGCTAGACATCCTGGATTAGACGAGAACCTGGGAACTGATATCAACGAAGAATCCCTAGAGAAACAACAAGAGATGATTGAATCTATTGCCTCTAATTATCCTGGTCTGAGCGGTGCCAACCCTTCTGTTCAACCTTGTGGGATAGATGGGAAAGATTCCATTGCACTGTTAGATGCCAACCCCCCTATAGAGGATGATGGAGCAGATGACTTTGTCCAAGGTGAGAATATGGTATCCTATGATTTGGAGAAGAAGACCAGCCCGTCTAGTGATCTTCCGGGGACATCCGTCGGATCATTGCTATGTCTATTAATCTCCAAGATTAACGGATTAAACACTGGGGTCCAATTTGAATTAAAGGGGAATCCCTTAAATCTAGACGTTCAGATCAAACAAGCACCATCTGATGAGCTACTAAACCTCCCGTCTCTGACATCTCTCTTGAAGGATGTTGAGATCAATAAGAGCCCCCCGAGCGCTCCAGATGTATCTCAAAATGCATGTGACCTTCTCGGCATGAGATCGAGATGGCTCAAATTGATGGAGAAGGGTTATCAATTGAAATATTTGGACAAGACGTGCAGGAAGACTTATTGCATCCATCCGGATAACGAGGAGGTATCTTTTGATATTATGTCAAGGGCCTATGAGGGAATATCAGTATTCCCCTCAAGCGATTTCAACTTGGTGAAGAGATTGTTAATCTTCCAAAAGAATGGAATGATATAGCACTCATTGATTTTTCGCCACTCAGAGCTCCCAAGCAGTAATTCAAAAGAACAAGCTTAACAATAATCCACTGACAACATGAAAAAAAAAAAAAAAAAAAATTGGAAGTTTCTAAATGACTTTAAGGACTGTGCATATCAGAATGCAATGCCTAAGATACTTATTGGACAAGACAATTGGTCACTCATAGTCACGCGTAAAATTAAACATGAATCCTTTAGTGGCCCAGCGATTAGCAAAACACTCTTGGGATGGGTTGTTCACGGCAATGTAAATTTAAATGGTTCGGACAATAATTCAAATTATATGTTACACGTAACTGACTGTTCATATAGAGACGAAATAGACGATTTAAGTATTTTGCACAACCTTGTCAAGTCCTATTGGTCAATGGAGAATGAAATGACTTTTCCAAAAGATAATCCAATATCTCTGGACGACAAAAAATGCTTGGATATCATTGATAGACACTTGTAGAAAAGGAAATAGATTTGAGTGTGGGTTATTTTGGGAACGAGATACTGTATTGCCAGAAAGTTACAATAACGCATACAATCGACTAATTCTGTTAGAACGCAAAATGACAAAAACAAACTATATGGTTTAAAATATCACGAAGTGATAGAATCATATATAGACAAAGGATACTTAAAGAAATTAGTGAGATGAATCTTCAATTCAAACCCCCTTGACCTACTATTTACCACATTTTGGTGTTACAAATATCAATAAGCCAAACAAACTCCGGATTGTCTTTGATGCGGCTGCAAAAAGTCATGGTACTTGCTTAAATGATTATCTTCTGACAGGTCCCGACCTTTACAACGAGTTGACAACTGTTTTAATGAATTTTAGACGGTCTAAGATAGCATTTGTTGGTGATATTAAGGAAATGTTTTTGCAGATAAAAGTCAGACAGGAAGATAAACAAGCCAAAGATTTTGTGGCGAGGATATGATCGTCTAAAAACCCCTGACACATATCAGATACAAGTACTTTTCTTTGGTGCAAAATGCAGTCCGTGTATTGCCCAACAAACTAAAAACCGAAATGCCCTTGACTTTCAAGATCAGTTTCCACAAGCATGCCAGGAAATAGTTTCAAAACACTATATGGACGATTACTTAGGAGGAACTAAGATATTGCAAGCGCTGTTCAGATGATAAAAGACGTCTCGCATATCCACAAACAAGCAGGTTTTGAAATGTGTAATTGGAGTTGTAATTCATATGAAGTTTTGGAGCAACTCACGGACATAGACAAACGAAAACGGAACCAAAAACGAAAAGTTTGACTGAGGAACGCGTATTAGGATTGATATGGGATTATGAGAAGGATTTTTTTACGTTCAATCTAAAATTTCAATCAATTTACAGCGATATCTTGACTTTACTAGACGACCGACAAAGCGCGAAATTCTAAAACTCACCATGTCGATCTATGACCCTTTAGGATTTCTTTCTAATATTTTGATAGCAAATAAAATACTTTTACAAGCTATCTGGGAAAGTGGCATGAGTGGGATGACAAGATAACGACTGAAAACTGTTCTTTGTGGGAAAAATTATGCAAAATATAGCCAGGTTAAGTGAACTAAATATCTCAAGGAAAATGACTAATTTAAATATTGACGAATGTAATGTGCAGCTACACATATTTTGCGATGCCTCAAAATTGGCATATGCTTCGTGTGCATATTTGAGATTTGACGATGGAAAACATATAGACTGTTCGCTTGTCCTTGCTAAGTCGAGAGTCGCACCACTTAAGCCAATGTCCATACCAAGACTTGAGTTACAGGGTGCACTTCTCGCCGCACGACTGAGTAAGACAATTAAAGAAATGATAAATATCCACATTGACAAGACTTATTTATGGACGGATGCAGAGATAGTGTTGAATTGGCTTAAATCGAGTACCAAACGATTCAAAATCTTTGTTTCACAAAGATTAGGTGAGATTAAAGAATTGATAAACATTGGCGACTGGAGATATGTACCGACAAAGCTCAACCCCGCAGATGAAGCCACAAAGATTCGAGACATAGACTTTTCATCAACTAGTTCTTGGTTGAAAGGACCCACGTTTTTGAGTAAACATGCAAATGAATGGCCAAAGGGAAAGTTGTTTAACGAGATTCAGGTTCATGATGATCAGGTGACAGTAGAATATGTACACGTCACTACAATTATAAATGATGCCAATATTTTGCCAGATCCTGTACGATTTTCCAACTGGATGAGGTGTTTGAGAACAACTGCATGGGTCTTACGGTACATAAATAATTTAAAGCCTTTAAAATACAAGCGGACTAACAGCGAGCTGACTGGGACAGATATTGACAGTGCAGAGTATTTGATTTTTAAAAATGTTCAACCACAGAGCTATGGGACAGATTGACTGTCTCTTAGCCAATAAACCAATAGCAAACGCGAGCAAATTAAAAACATTACCAATATTTATCTCAGAAAATGGATTACTCAGACTCAAAGGACGGTTAGATAATGTTAGTGAAGGGAATTTGATTATGATTCAAAAAATCCAATCGTTTTATCCAAAGACAACCAAGTTACGATTCTAATTATTCAATTTTATCATTTTAAAAATTGTCACATCGGTACAGAAACAGTGATAGCTAATCTCCGACAAAGATTTTGGATAACCAACTGTCGAAATACAGTTAAAGGTAATTCGTAATTGCCAACTTTGTAAAAATAAGAGAGCCCTTCCACAGGTGCCAAGAATGGGCAACTGCCTGCATGTAGAGTGACGCCGACGGAACGACCTTTTTTAAAAATAGGAGTTGATTATTTTGGTCCCATTGAAGTTCTTGTCAATCGCAGCCATGTTAAACGATATGGAGTTATATTTACTTGTATGGCTACTCGTGCAGTTCATCTCGAGATAGCTGAGGACTTATCAGTAATGCTTTTATGCATGTCTTCCGACAATTTGCAGGACGACGCGGTATCCCCGAAGAAATATATTCAGACAATGGTACAATTTTACCAAAGCGAGCAAAGACATTAACATACTGACATCGCAATGGCCAGCTGATGAACTGATACAGTTTTTTGCCTCAAAAGATGCAGATGGATTTTCAACCCGCCACTAAGTCCCCACATGGGAGGAGCTTGGGAGAGACTTATTCAATCTACCAAAAAATATCTTTCCTTTATGTTAAAGAACGTTATCCCAAAGAGTATGTTTTGAGGACTTTATTTTGCGAATAGAATTTATCATGAATAGTGACCCTTTTATATATACCAGCAGATTCAATTGAATCAGCACCCTTGACGCCAAACAATATTTTGATAGGTCCCAATTTAGGGGTTCATTTTATGCTAATGTTTCTGACTCTGATATAATATGTTTAAACAACTGGAAGCGTCGCAACGATTAGCAGACGTATTCTGGCAGAAATGGAAAAAGTTAAGCAGTATCTTTTAGCAGCCGAAAATGGTCAAAAGATCAGACATTATACAAGAAGGTGACATTGTATTACTTATGGATTCTGACTTGCCGAAATTGTTGGCCAAAGGCATAGTGACTAAGATATATCCATCTAGTGATGGTCGTATAAGAATTGTGACATTAGACAAAACTGGCATTTATAGGACTGTTGTAAACTAATTAAGCTTCATGTATACAAATATTAAGTATTGCGTAGCAATACTTGGGGGGTTGAAAGTTATTATTTTAGTTTAGTCTCACAATCGATATTTTACTTTATATAATGAATATTGTTTAACCGATAGTTTATGGCGATAACTGAATATCGATGGGTGTGTATGATCACTTGATTAGGAGAGAACACGCGGAAGAAAGATATAGTTTTAAGTTTGAAAATTGTAAAAGAAATCTAATAAACGCGCAAATGCGCAACGGAATGGACAATCAAAGGAGTGTGACGGATAGCCAATCCAACGTCTTTCGAGCCGGATAATACAGTTAACATTCCACAGGTACAACAACAATAAGCTTATCGATTTACAAAAATACTAAAAAAAGCGATAGTAGTATGGCCTGAACCGATAAAATCTGAGAATGATGCAAGGTGTATGACCTACAGAGGGTACAAAATCGAATGAACTAGAAGAGCGACTTAGTTCCTTGAATTAAAACGATCGACAGGTTGGGCGCCAACTCAATATATTTACATTTGTATATATAAATGCTACCATTAAACTGCAGATTTCGAATGACAGTGCCAGCTACAACGTAAGGAAATGCAACAAAAACGTAAGCAGAAACGTGCTCTGGCTGAAACTGTGACCTTCCCCCTGGAAAGTACATAGAAAAACCGGGTTTAACCTGATTGCAAACGCTAGTTATTAGAACTAGTTTCCTTTCCTCCTCATTCAGTTGTAGAACAGCAAAACAAATACTTTGGTTTTGCAGCAACGCGCCATGATATACCCTTACAGCGTTGTGCTTGTGTGCTGCTGCCCAAAGGCCAACGTCAGTTGGGCCCATTGAAAATATGAATCCGAATTAAATCAATTATCATATATGCATGTAGTAAATATCTTTTACAATTTATTGAACTCTTTTTGATAGATTGGTGGCTTGTTTCTTTTACTGGCTGCCGCTAGTATTCGTTGGCTGGATAATAATCCTCCAAGAGGAAGCGAAATCTGCCATTGCTGTGGACAAACTTGTCCAGCGTGCCCCAAAATGAAAGCAGTGTGCCGCTGTGTGTGTACGGCTCTGCGAGATTCATTTCGAGGGGATTGACTTCCTTCGTTTCCAACAGCTTGACGAGATCCTGGTGCACGGGTGTGCCCTTCAAGTACATGTGAAAGGCGCACACATTGAGGAAGATAAACTTGGGATTACCCTTCCAGGGCCACCAGTTCTTGAACTGTTCGATGGGACCGCAAGCAAACACGGCCACAATGCGACGCCACTCATCGCACGACAATTTGCTGACATTATCGATGATTCTATATTTTCTATTGATGCCACCCTGAAATTAATAATTTATCAATCATTAAGCGGGAGGGGGGGGGGGTATTTGCTAATGGCTAATCAAAATCCAAGTCTTACCGCAAACCAGCGCTCTATAATGACCTGCTGGGGACGCTCCTCTACCGGACCCCAGGGCAGCTGCTGCTCTTTTGGCTGCGGCTTCTTGAACTTCAGATCCATTAGCATATCCCTGATATTATTCAAAGTGATCAGACCATTGGGGTCTGCTGGCACCACTATGATGGGCAAGCGCATAATGGCCAGTTCCGTGGGATGCAGCTGATCCAAGCTCTGGAGGCGATAGGGTCCCTTGGGAAAGTGACTGCCCAGCGTATTGATCACAAAGTCCGTTTGAGTGGCCAGCGGTTGGAGGAATTTCTCCTGTTCGTAGCGGCTGTACTTTGGCCAGCCAGCAATCGAAGCAGTCGCTGCCTGCGATGCACCACCTGCAGCACCTGCAGGCGTCTTGGGCGAGTCGGTAGTGGTATCGGTATCCTCGCTGGATGAGTCCGAAAAGCTAACCTCACTGCAGGAGGAAGTGGAGGAGCACGAAGTGGTGGTGGCGGACGAGGAGGAGGAGGAAGAGGAGAAGCATACGTCGGAATAGTCCTCACTGGTGAATGTCCCCACGTCCCCACCCAATGGAATCATGACGGCAGCTCCCTCCTTAGCACGAGGAGTCTTGGGCACTGGCTTCCAGTCCGTGCGTGTGGCCGCCTTCCGTTTGAGGAAGGGCGACGGAGACGGAGAGCAGAGTCTATCATACGGTATGCTGGAGGGATAGTCGGCATCGCTATCCTCGCTGGAACGAGCCTCCGCGCAGCAGCAGACTTTCCTTGGCGTGCTGCTGCCTTTTTGGCGGCGGCTTCTTTCTGACTCAAAAGCGAGGAGGAGGACGTGGACTGCGGATAAGGAGTGTACATTCCACGCAAGGGCTTGGCGATTTCATCTTTGTGAGCGTCTCCTGTCCAGCGTTTTGTGGCCTCCAGCCGCCTGCCCACCCTTGCCTTGTGCTCCTCCAGCGCTTCTATCGCCTCCCGCTGCTTGAGATTTTCGGCCAGGCACTGGCCAGACTCGGCGCAGTCAGCAGCTTCCTTTTTGCGCTCAACGGTCTCCAGAGATGGAGTCCTTTCAGTATTCAAAGTTTTTTCCTTCATTTTTTCTTTATTTGAGAGGACAGAACAAAAACAAACCGAACCCCCGGATGGATGAGCAACTGAGCGAACTATTACATAAAACGAATTTGTTTATATAAAAAAATGCCAATGCAGAAAAACGAAATTTAAGCCTTTGCGCTTTTTGAGCGGCAACAACAAAAAATACCAATACCAATAAGTGCCCGATAAACAGTATCTAGAAAATACTAATAGAAATTTTAAACTCCAGCCAGCCAACGGATGCCGCCTGAGCCGCCTCTGGGGGATGCCTGAGCCTGGGCAAGCAGCACAGCCACAACCACGCTGGGTGGTTCTGTACTAGGCAGAAGAGAGTTTTAACTACAGCTTTCAGCTTTATCTGATATGATTGGTCTGCTGATATGGATAGTGTACACTGTACAGCCTGTGTGGGCACAGGCCGGCCAGCGTGTGCCTGGCAGCAGCAAACCTTTAGCTTCTGTCGCTCCATTGCTCCTTTGTTATTCATGTTTTGAGGGATAACGAGGATAAATGCTAGCCCCCTATCCCCTGATCAAGTCGCGACTTGTGTTCGTCAGTATCGAGTGTGATTATTATTCAATTTGCACAAGGAGTTTGTATGTCTATTATCAATTATGAGGATGATGCTGTTGCTGTTGCTGATGCTGATCAATGATGGATGATTGGATGATGATTATTAATAATGCAGCTGCAGCTGCAGCTATGTATCGTAGGCGGCGTTCTAGTCGCGACGACTCCGTTTGCGCTCCGATTGGCTGTTGCGCTCGCTCTTCTCCTCGGCCCGTTTGGGCGCCTTCTTGGCCATGTTTAAGAACTGATCGAGACCGAAGGGATCCTCCTCCTTCTCGAATTCCACGGGTCCGCTGCGCTGGGCAGCGGCCGTTTCCCGCGATGCCCCCGAGAATTGTTTGTCCGGTACAAATCGTTTGGTATTCACAATGGCATCCAAGTCACCGCCATAATTGTCGCTGTCCGCCTGCTTGCTGGGCCTGTAGATGTGGTTGCCCAGGGTGTTGGCGTCGCGCCATGGCTTGTCGTACACATTGTAGGCCTCATCGTCACCGTAGCCCGAGTCCATGCCCTTGGTGGTGTTGAAGAGACGCTGATCGAAGAGCGTTTCGCCATTGCCGGCACTCTTGGCGGGCAGGCCGAGGGCTATCTGTTCGGAAATGTCGCGCTCTCGCTCCTTTTGCAGCTTGGAACGCTTTTCGGGCGCAGCACGCTGCAGATTTCTATCACGCTGTCGCTCCCTTTGCCGCTCCGCACGCAGATCGTTGCGTTCGCGAGCCTCGGCCCCATTGGCACCGCCTCCAATGGGATCGCTAGCTATTTCCGGATTACGCAGGCCGGCACGCTCTTCACGCGCCCGCTGTGCCATCATTCGCAGCATGTCCTCCTTCTTCTCCTTCTCCTTCTGGGCCAGCTTCTTCTCCAGCTGGGCGCGTGCCTCCACCGCCTCGCGGGCCTTGCGATCGGCTATGTACAGGGCCTCGGCCATCTTGGCGAACTTCTCGTTGATGTGCACCTGCTGCAGGCCCCTTCCATCGGCAGCCAGACGCTTGTCCAGCGGAATGGTGTAGCCTATGGCAGAGAGTTTCGATTAGAATTGATTTGGAATGGGGGGCTAGAGGGCTAGCTGGACTCACCTTTGGCGTTCTTCCAGTTGGATATGCAGGGCGGGATCTTCCACTCCTTTTGCTCCTTGACCGTCACTTTGCGCGACGGTGAGTGCAGGACTGGTGCCGGTGGCGACGGTGGACCACGCGGGATCTTCTTATTGATGCGAAACTTGGGCGGCTCCATGGGATCCAGCTGGGCCTCCACCATTCTGATGACACGCTGCTTGGCCCCCGAATTGAAGGCATCGCCCTGCTGGGACGGTGTGTAGCGAATATATTGGGCTGGTCCCGACTTCTGGGCATGACGGACGGGCAGTGCTGAGGTTATCTTTTGGTTGGTCAACTTCTCCAGGGCCAGGCGCGTCTCCTCCGTGGTCTCGGCGACGCTCTCCTCATCGGGACGCTGCAGCTCTTCGGCATCCTCGGCCAGCACCTCGGCGGGCAGAAGCTGCGAGATGGAAGAGTAGACAACTTTGTCCTTGCCATGTCCCTGTCGTGCTATAGCATCGTATTTGATTTTGCCCGAATCATCCAGCCGTACAGCCAAAGCATCGGACTTCTTGCCCGTAGTACCCGGGGCACCAAGACCTAATCGAGCGCCATACAAAAAACAAACAGATTGATAAGTAAATGCCCTGGAGAAAGGAGCTTGCGCCCAGAACTCACCCAGTGGGTATTGTGCCACATGAATTTCGGGGAATGCACCGCCATCGCCAAAGTCAGCCTCTGTGCGGGGCACCCAATCCTTGCGACAGCCGTAAGGTGGAGCTGCGATTTTGGCGGAGACCAGGGCCCCAATTTTCGGGGCACCCTTGGCGGCCAGGCGACGCTCGTCCTCGCGGTCCCAAACCGCATTGGTCGGCGTGGGCAGCAGACTCGACAGCGACATTACTTTGATTGCTTTTTGAATGCCTTATTAGTTTTGTTGTTGGACCACCACCTTTTTGCGTTGCGTTTAATTTTTGTGGCACAAAATGAAATGTTGGGAGAAAAAAAAACACGCACACACACACTTTCTCACAGCCAGTTGAGTAGGGTTTCCAGGTTACACGGTATGCTTCCACATGAATGCATATCGATATTGCAACAATTTCAAATCGATACTTTGATCTGGCAACGCCTGGGACTAATAAAAACAAAAATATTTTAAGTAGATTTTTTTCTTCGAATTATATTCATTACACGGATGAATCACAAGTCTGCTGGTCTGTCATGCAGGTTGGATGGCATATGCTATATTGCATTAATTATGCACTTTGCACAGCACTGCACTGCAATTTCAAGTTCGATGCAAGGGAAAAAATAGATAGCAATGCAACAAACAACAAAAGCATGTGTAGAAGCTTAGGGTTGCCGCCGTACTTTTTAGATGCCCAACAATGTAATCGATACTATCGAATAGGCCAATAGCTACGAACAAGAGGTGCGACAGAGGCAGGCAGCTGTGACGACAGAGACAACAAAATCAAAGTTAACAACAATAAATAAATAGAACAATATAAAATGTACACACTACTACACGGCTTCTACAAATACTTTACACAAAAGGATGAGTACTGTGTGGTGATCCTAGGCCTGGACAATGCTGGCAAAACGGTACGTCTCAGCCATCATAAGCCAGAACGACAGACACGTCTGCAAAACCCTCCTCTCTCTCCCTTTCAATTCCACCAACGCAACAGACGTACCTGGAGGCGGCCAAGACCAAGTTCACAAAGAACTACAAGGGTCTAAATCCAACGAAAATCACAACGACAGTTGGCCTTAACATTGGCACCATCGATGTGCAGGGTGTGCGACTGAACTTCTGGGACCTGGGCGGCCAGCAAGAGCTGCAATCGCTGTGGGACAAATACTATCAAGAGTCTCACGGCGTCATCTATGTGATAGACTCGAACGATCGGGAACGCATGGACGAGTCAAAGATCATTTTCGGTATGTCCGTAGATCCGTTCTAAGCATTCGATATAAGTGTGATTTCTCTCCCTTCCACAAAACAGATAAAATGATCAAGAATGAGCTGCTCTCGGGTGTGCCACTGCTTATACTGGCCAACAAACAGGATCTGCCCGATGTGATGGGCGTGCGTGAGATAAAGCCAGTCTTCCAGCAGGCAGGTGCCCTAATCGGTCGCCGTGACTGCCTCACCATACCCGTCTCAGCGTTAACCGGTGAGGGTGTGGACGAGGGCATCAAATGGCTAGTGGAGGCCATCAAGCGGCATGCCTTAGTACGGCCGCCGCGAGAGAACGATTGAACGATGCAACGAAAACAACGCCGGCTGCAATAGTAATAGCCGGTCAGCAGCAGCCTTATATACTAGTAGCTTTAACGTTTGTATATTCTAATATTTAAGGCCTAAGGTACACATTTTTTAGTTATAGAAAGCAGAAAGAGAGTGGAGTGCAGTGCAGTGTGTGTGGGTTCCACTGCGCTCTAGATAATGTTGTTATAAATGCCCCGAAAAACCCCAAGAGCGACTCTGACACTGCTTTGAATTCTTTATCTTCCCCCCCTTGCTCGCAACAGTTCTACAGACATCTGCTCCAGTCCCTCAATGGCAGTTGTCAATGACGACTTTGCTTATCCGAAAAAAGAAACAACAACAACAGAGAAATACCCAAAGCAGATTGTTATATGTTCTCACGGCGTGGTGTTATCAGCACCCGATAGATAAGTGTGTGTAGTTTTCGCCTCTATCGGACTGTGCCACCAATATAATACTGCAAACACTTGCAGTCGTGAAGGGGCAGAGGGGAGCTGGGGCCCAATCCCCCATGCGGCAGTCCATGTCAGTCTTCTGCAGAAGTTTCATCGGCTCGGGCCAGCCAGTCCGTTCTGTTCATTTCGTTTACAACGCTTACGTTACGTTCAGTTTCCGCCAACAAAATAATGGAATGATCTCGCCCATAAACTAGTACATGTCGTGCCTTAAACCTTCTCCGGCTCTGTGGCTAACAACCAAATAAAAGAATAAGAGCAAGAAACTATACTTACTCGCGTTTCTATAGAGTGTATAGAGTATAAAAAGAAAAGAGCGGCGTACGGAATTACTTACCTGTTAATGTACATTAGATAACACGGACAGTGTGTGCCTATGTGGAGCATTGTGGTGGGGCGTGCTTATCATTATTCCAGTGTCAGTGGAGCACCAGAGAACCAGAGTGTGTGGCGTCCGACAGTTTATACATACGTGCGTGTGTTTTTTGTTGTGTGTGCAAGTTAGTTAATGCTTCCTGCCAGCTACCCCCACTCCCACACCCAGAGTCATACCCACTCTAGCCGCTGTTGCTGCTGCTACTGCTACTGATACTCCATCCAAAGAATCAGATCTCAGAGTCATGTATCCGTATTATGAGCAGGATTGGAGCGTGCTGCCACCGGAAAACAATCGCAGGTAAGCGGGGATATTTGGAAATGATTTTGGGATTTTCAAAAATGACGTTATGGCTGGTCAGTGGGACCGCATTCACATTTTGCACGCTCATGGATCCTCGCTTTGGTATTTTTTTTTGGAGCAAAACGTTGAGTCACTCGGAATTTGATGCTTGCAATTTAAATATTAATTTCATATTAATATCATTTTATTTAAGTCGAAGTAGTATGATTTTATTAGAGTACCCAATTAGGATATTTTTTTACACCAACGCGTTAGTGAATTTTGTCGCTGCTTGTAAAGATAGCCCTCTCACTCGCTCTCACTACTACTGTTGCGCTCATCATCAAACTTGGTTGACCAGCAACAATGACGTCACATTTACGTTTTATGCTTTGGCCGTTTTTGTTTGAACCTTTTTATGTAAACAATGCAATAAAAAGGACTTATGAAAACTAGCCAATCTTGTAGAAAATTGATGTATCCATCGGATGAAATTATTTGTTTAGAGCTGAAAGAGCCAACTAGCTAGTAATATTAAACTGAATATCAAAATTATGGAATACGATTGCAGTCAATAAAATAGAACGTTATCCCTTTGTCGACCTGGGGGGTATTTAATATTTCCGCGAAATTTATGTAACTTTAACATATTTTACGCATTACATGTGAGAGATATCGGTGGTAATTTTGGTTTGGTAAGTAAAGAGGAGGATGGAGCTACAAGGAGCCTTTATAAACAGTATTATTTTCGGAGGTTTAACAAAGGGTGCTCAAGTTTTTAAATAGATGGGTGTTAAGTGGGCTAAGTCTCGTTTGATCGCCGGATTGCCCTGGTTTTTTTATGGCACGGTATTTAAATGGTATTTCTCGAAACTGAAATGGTATTTAATGGTATTTAAATTTTGGCCGGATGGTATTTTTTATCATCAACATATTCTCGACGAACATTTTTTTTACTTGTTACGTTGATTTTGTGGCATTAAAATTCAAAAATAGCATAAACTAATGCAGTGAGAACATGTGTTGAGCGTAGCCCACCAAGTTGTCGCTAAATTGAAATCATTCCAGCCAATAAAAAGCCCACCAGTGTGTGTCGTGTCCCCTTGTGTTGAAATTTTTTGTCGCGTTGTAAAATTTCGCATTGTTGGTTGACGCGGAGGCGGAGGGCAGGTGGTTAACCTAACACTAAATGAAACCGAATGACGCGCTTAGCCAATAAGAGCGTGCTAAACAGTAGCTTAAATGCATTCAACCGACAAAAGTGACGGATTTTCTTCTCCAAAAAGGAGCATACGCTAGGCCATAGGGCCTGCATGCATATGCGTGTGTGTGTGTGTGTTGGCTGGTTAGCTGGTTGTATCTGTGTGTGGGCTTTCCAATGAATGGCATAAATTAGCAAGAGAAAAACGGAAAGAAAACATGGGAAAACTCAAAGTCCCCCCAAACAATACGTGTTAAAATTCGTTAAATATTCGCATATAGTATACAAATGTGCCTCCAGTGACTTATTAATTCCACTGTCAATCGATATATTAATGTTGGTTTTGGTGGTTGTCTATCGATGACGGCAGCTGTTTTGGCCATTTGTATGGGTTTCTGGCCATTCATTAGTTGTGTTCTGACAAACATTAGATCGAGTGATAGCCATTTAGTGCACAGATCTCTTTGCTAAACACTCGACATTTTGCACATCCTTTGTGTTCTGTGTGCGGGTTTTCAAGCATTCCAATTGGAATTTTGCCCCTTTGTGTGAGAGTGTGGAGTGTGCGTGCGATTTGGTGTCAATGCTTCAAGTGCGGTTTCAGGCATTAATCACTTAATCAATTTGCATTCCCCCCCCCTGTCCGTTCGTCGTATGTGTCTTCTCGGCCCAGTTAACACCTGATAGCCCTCGATCGAGGGGAAGGCTAGTACTACCGTTTCATGTTGCTTGTTTTGCCTTGGCCAGATCATGTGTACATTTGTTTGAGCCAACACACACACACACACACACAGAGAGAGAAGCACACTCACCCGCGCGCGGTTGAGAGATGTCAAGTTTCATAACAACCGTTGATCCACTGGCGTCAGCAGTAATTGCTAGTGCTCGCACTCACTTACCCAGTGGTCTTTTCCAGTAGATTAGTAACACGGGTGAAGAGAGAAGAAGATCGAGCTAGCGAGTGAGTAACCAGAGTGTGCCGCTCCATTATAGCAGACGAGCAAGGAGAGCCGAGCGAAACAAAAGTACATATAACGGAATAGCGGCCGGCTGTTTCTTGTGCATGTGCATGTGTGTATGTGCTGGTGTGTGAGATCGCGTGAAGATCTGCATAAAAAAACTGTTGTTATTGTTGCCGTCGCGGCCGCCGCCGCCTCCTCGCCGACACGCCCACGCAGTCCAGCAGTCAAGAATAACGCGTAGGCCGGCAAAAACAGCAAAATCAAAGAGAGAAAAAACAAACACAACGACAACAAAAGAGAGAGCAGGCAAGCTGCAGGCAAAAAGCTCCAAAAGTGATTCAACGTTTTTGCCTCCACAATGAATTCCGAGCATGGGTAGGCCTTACAACCGGCTTCAGTTACCTCATACTCCTCTCGCTAACATCCCATTCTCTCCTTCTCCTCCCTCTATCCACCCGAAAACAGATTCAATCCAGCCTTCAATATGGCCACCATACGGCAGGCATTTACAGAGGCGGTCGAGAGAGGTAAGTGAAGAGAAGGCGGACGAATGTGCATTCGATTAATTAACTTGATGATCATCCTACCAACACACAGTCAGAATGCCCACGCCCACACGCCTGCGCGATCTCATCCGGCAGATACGCGCCGCCCGCACTGCCGCCGAGGAGCGTGCCGTTGTCAACAAAGAGTGCGCCTACATACGGAGCACATTCCGGGAGGAGGATTCTGTCTGGCGGTAAGTCGGGAGTGCTGGCCTAGGCCTGGCTTAAAGTACAATGTATACCCTCTAATAATTGCTTTAATTGTGCATTTTCAGCTGTCGCAACATTGCCAAGCTGCTGTACATACACATGCTCGGCTATCCGGCTCACTTTGGACAACTGGAGTGCCTTAAGCTGACGGCCAGCACGCGATTTACAGACAAGCGGATCGGCTATCTAGGGGCCATGCTGCTGCTGGATGAGCGGCAAGATGTACACTTGCTGATCACGAACTGTCTGAAGAAGTAAATCCCAAAACTAACTAACTAAAACATTGGAAGTAATTTTAATTTATCCCATGTCATGTCACATCTTTCAGTGACTTGAACAGCTCGACACAGTTTGTGGTCGGCCTGGCGCTGTGCACTTTGGGTGCGATTGCCTCGCCAGAGATGGCACGAGATTTGGCCAGCGAAGTGGAGCGTCTGATGAAATCCCCGAATACGTACATCAGAAAGAAGGCAACGCTGTGCGCCTTTCGTGTGATTCGTCGCGTGCCCGAGCTGATGGAGATATTCCTGCCGGCGACGCGTTCACTGCTCAGCGAAAAGAATCATGGTGAAGTCCCCAAAATCAAACCCAAATCAGTTTGTACTCTCGATGCTAACCATAACCCCCATCCATCTATCCATTCCCCCGTGTTTCTTGCAGGCATTTTGATCACTGGCGTAACGCTCATTACGGAAATGTGCGAGAACAGCTCGGACACGCTGATGCACTTCAAGAAGGTAAGCACCAGGTGTGCCCCCAGGAATAATGTGTGTTAACCCACCGCTCCGCCCCGCCCCGCCCCACAGCAGAGGCTGCATCTACTAATACTACTACTACTTATGCTGCAGTTGCAGCTGCAGCTGCTGCTGCTGCTCGTGGTATCTCTCATATGTCTCGTATTCTGTTTTTACATACTTATTCTTTTCCTCTTTTGTTTTTGTGGCGCTCGAAAATAGAAGCCTTGCACACAGGCTGCCGTCGAAACGTTTTGTGTGGCCCGTCGGCGCGGCCTTCTAGCTGTAGTTATATCAAGCCAAGCTCTAACACTATATATATTGCCCCCTCCCCCCCCCCCCTGCCACCCTCATAACGATATCGTTATTCTTTAATTTGCAAATTACACACACATTGTTTTCTTTTTCTTTTTCTTTTCTTTCCTGGATCTTGTGTTTTTTTTCGTTTTTTTCTTTTTTTTCTTTCGAATCAAACAACCTGTATACTTACAATTTTAATGCTTGTTTGTTTTTGATCGAATACCGCGCAAAACACAAAATGAAATTTGTTGTAATTTGCTTGCCAGGATAGCGGAAATCGAGAGGTATGATCGTTTTGTGCCTACTAGAAATATTCCTCCTATATAAAACGCCTCCCTCTCTCTATGTGTTTCTCTCTATATACATACACCTGTTACCATATATGTACATATATTGTATGCAATATGTCTGTTTTATTTTCATTTTGTTTGAACCAGTTTTTGTCTGTCGCCTATGTATATGTCTTGATGAATGTCGCGGTAAATGTAAAGTCAAAATTTAATTGCGCTTTAAACGAATATATAACTCATGCTTTGGTACTGCTTTGTGGCTGCGATAGGACTTACGGAGTGTATAACGTACAGGGTTTAGCATTGCCCTGCCCAGAAGTGCAGGACAGCTGCAGAGGAAGTGCTAAAGACTCTGCCAATAGTCTATTTAACTGTCGTGGCTGGTTAACGTTCTATCACAGGCACATCATTGCTCCGCCATGCTCTTGGTGCTCTACTCGAGACACACGAGCGAATGCTGCAAAAGAGAATGCCTGAGAATTGTAAAATCAAAAATCCTGACCCACCGCTGGTCTGCTTGTTCGTAACTTTGATAACAATCCTTATTGCCAGGACGTAAGCGATAGAAAGACATATACATATCCAACGGAATTCCACTGTTGGAGCGAGTGTTTTTTGTAGATCCACTATTGTTTTGTTGTTTTGGTAGGAAATCTCTCTACCGACCTCTACACACCTGTAGCCTGTAGCCCCTGTACATAGACTTCCGAGAGGTTTTGTTTTTCTCTCTGTTTTTCCCTTTAAGCACACACACCCACCCACAAAGACCCACGCACACACACCACACCACACGCTCTATATATCGCTCTCTCTCTCTCGCTGTTTGCACACTGTACAGTACGAATACTTTCCGCCTTTTTTACCTTTTTACCCGTACCAAATCTGGAAAGTCTTTGAACCACCAAACCAAACTAATGCTTTCTACTCCCCACACACACACACGCGGGCAGATTGTGCCGAATTTAGTGCGCATACTGAAGAATCTGATACTGGGCGGCTATTCGCCGGAGCACGATGTGAGCGGTGTGAGTGATCCCTTCCTGCAGGTGAAGATATTGCGCTTGCTGCGCATACTCGGCCACAATGATCCGGATGCTTCGGAGGCGATGAACGATATACTGGCACAGGTGGCGACCAATACGGAGACGAGCAAAAATGTCGGCAACACCATACTCTACGAGACAGTGCTGTCCATCATGGATATTCGGTGAGAGACTGCCCATTGATTCTTTTAATTGATTCCTTAATATGACTTATGCATCTTTCGCTTTGTGGGCAGCTCGGAGGGTGGCCTGCGTGTCTTGGCTGTGAATATACTGGGACGATTCCTACTCAATTCGGACAAGAACATTCGCTATGTGGCACTGAATACGCTGCTGCGCACCGTCCATGCGGACACATCGGCTGTGCAGCGGCATCGCACCACCATACTGGAGTGCCTCAAGGATCCGGATGTCTCGATTCGTCGTCGGGCAATGGAACTATCGTTCGCCCTGATCAATGCACAAAATATACGTACAATGACCAAGGAGCTGTTGCTGTTCCTCGAGAAGGCCGATGCCGAGTTCAAGGCCCAGTGCAGTTCTGGCATGATATTGGCCGCCGAACGCTATTCGCCCAATACGCGCTGGCATTTGGACACACAGCTGAGTGTCCTGATTGCCGCCGGCAATTATGTGCGCGACGATGTGGTATCCTCTACCATACAGCTGGTGTCCAGCAGCCCTGTGTCCGAGCAAACATACATCACGAATCGGTTCTGGGAGTCGCTGCAGGTGGCAAACCATTGCGAAGATAAGCAGCCATTGTTGCAGGTTGCCGTCTGGGCCATAGGCGAGTACGGGGATCTCTTCATGTATGGCTCAAATGAGGATGGTGAGTGGATGGTGGATGGTGGATAGTGCCATTCAATTGCTGTAACGAAACGAAACGTTTGTCTCTTCTTTCAGAGTTTGAACGTCCCTCTGAGAGCGATCTGATCGCCATGTATCATAAGTTTTTAACCTCTGCTCAAGTCTCGACCACAAGCAAGCAATATGCCCTGGTCTCCCTAGCCAAGCTAAGCACGCGTCTGCAGCAATGTGTGGAGTGAGTCTAAAGCCCTCTGCCCTCTAATTAACGATCTCCTCTCTAATGCAATCGCCTCTCTAATCGCCTTCCTGCTCTTAGGGAAGTCCAAGCTCTCATCACGTCCTTTGGCAGCCATCTGAATGTGGATCTGCAGCAGCGAGGCGTCGAATTCACGCAACTCTTTGGCCATTATAAGCATCTGCGTCCGGCGCTGCTCGAAAAGATGCCGGCCATGCAGATCAGTCGCATAAGCTCGCAGAATGGCGAAAGTGGCGGCTCCTTTGATGACAATAGTCCAGATGTCATCGAGAATGGTGTGGAGGGAGGCGGCGGCAATGTCGGTGTCGGAGTCGGACATTCACTTATCGAAAGCAATATGAATATGCTGGGCGACAATACGGTAGGTGGATGTGCCTATCCCCCATATATTTCAGATTTTAATTCGGAAAATGCTCTCACATTTTTCAGAACATTCTGCTGGATCTATTGGGCAGCACAGATCTGTCGGCGGGAGCCAGTGACCTGGTGACGGCCACCGATCTGTCGAATGCCGTGCATAAAAAGAACTCGCGGAATGCCAACGATGTTGGCGTGGCCGTGTCCAATAATCAGGATCTGTTGGATTTACTGGACCTGGATATGACGGCGCCTGCGGCTGTCACAGCGACGGCGCCCGGTGTGGGCGGCATCATGCTGGATCAGCACCATTCCAGTGCAACCAATATGAATAACATGCTGGGCGGCCTGGATCTGGGTGGCTTTGGGGGTCTCGATGGCTCTGGCAGCATACCCACCAATGGCAATGATCTGGTGGCCAGCATGCTGGGCGGCCTGGCTGGTACTGTTTCCGCCGCCGTCGCAGCACCACCACCAGCAGCAGCAGTAGCAGCAGCAGCAGCAGCGGATGGCAACAGCAGCAATCTGCTGGGTGATCTGAATCCCACAGCAGCCTCCAACAATGTTACAGTGGTGCGCTATTTGTTATTCAATATAAATTTAATGCTAATTAATTGTTTCGAATAGCCACCGCAGGGACCCAAGCTGACGGCGCTGGATAAGAACGGTCTGTTGGTGCAACTGGTGCCGGTTACGGGCAATGATTGCATGAGGATCTATATGACGACCACAAATGGCTCAGACAATACATTAGAGCAATATTTGCTAAAGGTACAATCGCTGTCTAATCTCCCTCTCTCTCTCTCTCTCTCTCTGACTCATGCCTGCTGTTTATTTTGTTGGTTAACGTTAACAGGCGGCCGTTCAAAAGAGTTTCCAGCTGCAAATGCTGACGCCCTCGGGTAACCTGCTGCCGCCTGGCGGTGTTATCACGCAGGAGATGCGCGTAGTGGCCACATCAAATGTGAGTCTCTTCAAGATCTCTATAATAAAACTGATTGATTTCTACTCTGATTTCTAGGCGGTATTGCGTATGCGTTTGCGTATTCAGTACGCGCTCGATGGCCAGCAGCTGGTGGAGCAGACGGAGGTCAGTGGCTTTCCAGAGCAGCAGCCAGGACAAGCAGAATAAAAGAGTGTAACTTGTATTAAAGCAAAATTAGCCTAATATATCTAAAAAAAAAAAAAAAAAACAAAAAACAAAAAACATAAGAAAAGAAAAAACTCAAAAAAGGATAAGGAACATCAGTAACCGAAAACAACAAAAACAACAACAACAACCAGCTGCAGCAGAAAGAGCTGGAAACGGGAGGAAAAATGAGCAACAATTCTAAAAGCTAACAAACACAAACACACACTGTGGTTGTCACACATTTATTGTAAATTAAGTTAACACACACAATCGCAACTAGAATTCGGATTGGCGGCTGGCGGCTGGCAGCGCTGCCAGACTGTCTTTTGTCTCCTCCAGTCAGCGCTCAAGCAAAAAACGGGCCCCACTTCGTATTTGTTTTTTTCTAATTTATTTATATATATATACTGTACTCTACATAGATATCCTGTCAGATTACGGCAACACACACAGATTCTTTGTCCATTATATTGTCCTATATCTTTATGTTGCATTTTTTGCATTTTGTATCCGTGTGTAATTCGTTTTTTGTGTGTGTGTGTGTAAAAGACAACTTTCAGTTTTAATTTATAAGACAATAAAAGTCAAAACCTTATAAATAGCCCCCCAAAAACTAACCTAAACTGGCAACTAAACAGAAACTGTATTAAAAAGCATAAAACAGACAACAACAACAAACAACAAACACACCGTATCGTATGCGAAATTGTTTAGCAAAAAGGCATTTAAGGGAAAAGCTTAGCATTTGAAACGAATCGAAAAATGGAAAAGAAATGAACAGCAATGGATGGCCGGCCATTTGATAAAAGATCCATAGAAGCACACTCTGTTTGTTAATTCTATTTGTAATGCAATTTGTGCCCCACAAATGGTTTTTAGTTGGTTTTTTTGTTTGTTTTTTTTTTTTTTGGATAGATCAATGTCGGAAAGGAACAGCGAAAGATCAGGTTCTGGCAGGGAAAGAGCTCCAGCTACAGCTACAGCTACAGCCTCAGCAGCAGCACATCCATCGAGTGGATAAGGCCTCTGATATATATATATATTATATATATATTTATATATTGTTATTTCCTGCGACAACGTACTTAAAGTCGATAAAAGGAGCTGAAACGGAGCCAAGCAGGAGGGAGATAGCAAAGAGAGAAACGAGAAGAGCACTGTGGAAAAACTAGATAATATCTATAATAAATATGATTACAACAGAGGAACACACACAACACTTAAACCCACATACATACATACATACATACATGCATATATATGAATATAACTGAATAGTTTGGCTGGCTGGAGGCGAGCTGAGCAATGAGAATGAGTGGATTTGAGCATGATTGGGGTGGTCATCGGAAAGCAAAGAAAATCCATTAACTATTATTATTATTATTATTATGATTATAAATGAATTATGCGGTCGAAATAAACAAAACAATTTTGTTTTATCGAAGGACACGAAATCCCCTCTCTATCATCTGGTCGGTAGCAACGGTTCTCATTGCAAATTGGAAACGCGAGGCACTGCAGTATTTCTGGTGGAGAATTCAGTGCTGCTCAAGCCCAAACATACATTCCGTGGATGAGCGCGCAGCCGAGAGACTGAGACTCTGCTTCATGAATTAAATAGCAACGGAATTCAGCCGTGGATGAATGATACAATGCGACGCTCAAAGGCTGCTACTTGAAATGCTACCAATACTACCAATTATATTCATATTTTTATTGCAACAGCTGCACCGATACGAATGCTGCCAGGCTGCTGCTCTTCTTAGGGTACCTAAACCTGATGCCAGGGACTTTCTTTCTGGGCATATTCCCTTTGTCCCTATTGATGAAAATCATCTTCAGTAAAGAGCCAGCCATCATACGAGCATTGCATAAATATAAGGCACGGGCAACACATTGGAGCATTGGAGCTAGTGCTACTGTTTGGTGTAGAGCACCCTGTATGATTGCCTGTACTTTTCCAACACTGTCAAATGACTGTACAATTCGAGGCATACGACAGGCATAGATTTATTCAGTTGGAAAAAGCATTCCCCTCAGTTGGGTCAAGTCGAAAAACGTAATTTTACCGAAATTTGTTTTGTCTTGGTTTGTAAATTATTAATTGTGTATTTATATTGTACCTATTGTAAATTAAACAACTTTTTATCGTTTCAACGCTCTTAGTTAGCCATGTCAATAGTACGCAGAATTCCTGGTTTCTACGATCGCCCCGGGCCAGAGTTACCGGCGCCGTTCTACGAAGGTTTTGTCCGCTTCTATCTAGCTGGGAACGAAGTGCATTTAGTGGCCAGCGCACTCGTTGTGGCATGGGTGGCAGTGTTCATCGTCCAGCTGATTAAAGGTGATGTCCGTGGGGTATTGGGCGTGAGCTATTGGCTGGACTCGGAGCCGAAGTTCTACTGTACTCAGCCCCTCAATATGGAGCGAATCTTCAGCCAGATTGGCGAGCAGGTGGTGCGCCAGGAGCGAGCCCTTGCCCGCATGCAGCAGGAATTGAGTCGCGATGGATTCGTCCGCTCGGTGGCATTGGTCGGCCCACCCGGCGTCGGTAAGACCCTGACCACTGACATCCTACGCCAGCAATTCCCCTGGCAGAGCAACATCTTTGTGTTTTTCTGGCGTGGCAGCGTGCAATCCCCGACCTGGCGATACCACGTGTTGCAGCAGATCACTGACCAAATTTCATGCTGCGGCATGAATCTGATCGTATTGGATATGCTGAACGTGCAAGACTACGATGTGGCAGACGCCTACACCAATGAGTTACGCAGTCGCTTCCATCGACAGATCGGCAGAAGGTCTAAGAAAACGGTTTTGGTTGTGTACATCTTTGACCTGGACACCGCCGATTGGAATCTCGAGCGACAGATACAAACCCTGCAGAAAAACATCTCCCCCCACACGCCCGTAGTTGCCTATCGTCCGTTTGGCATTGAGGATCTACCGATTTGCCTGGAAAATGAGCTAAAGCTGGAGAGCACGCGTACCCCAAACTCCGGCCCGTATTACTACGCCCTCAGCGAGGAGGCAAAGATGAAAGTTCTCGACAAGGCGCTCACTGACATCGCTGATATCGGATGCTACAAGCTGAAGGGACTCATTCGAGAGTACGGCGAGGCTGTGCAGTTCACCTGATGCAACTGATGCAACTGATGCCACAAACAGACCCACAAACACACAAATTCTAGCACTGATTTGAGGCTAAAAAAACATCCACAAGACACAAGTAATACGATGCATGGGCACAAATATATATTAATGCGTTATAATGTTATGAATGTGCGCGTTTTTCTGTCTTTTGTCTGCCGTTTCTAGCGACTAATTTCCACTACCGCTACTGCTGCCCGTGAATGCACGATATAGGCACCGATAGCCGGGTAACTAGTTGCACAACTTCTTTTGTATATCCCTCAAATGCTTATTTAGTATAGGGAATATTTATTTAAGTCGCACAGCCTGCTTATCTCCAAAAAGTTTTTAAAACTGGTCTCACCAACATTTCAGTATGTTCAGGGGACAGAATTATTTTCGGCAGATCTGCGCTGGCCAACCGCTTTTGGCCCTGACTGTACATACACATGAATACATATTTATTAGATGCATGGACTAGTGGTGGAAGGGATAAATAGAGCAAAAAAATACTACACTAGTGACACACAATTAAAATTAAATTAAAATGAATATATTTTATATCATATGTACAGCCTAAAAACGCTCGCAAACATCCACTTCTGCGATAGCTTAGAATCCTCTGGCCCGTGGAGCAAACGATTTAAGCTCGCTGAAACGAAAAGTGAAGAAAGTGGAGCCATAATTTGTACGTAGGTAGGTTTTGTAAATTATGATGCTGTAATTTCAAAATTTTTATATTTGGTTTGAATGGTTTTTTTCATCGCATGTTGTTACTCGCATGCAAGCGATCCGATTAATCCGCTCTCTGTCTCTCTTTCTCGCTGTCTCTCTGAAGGAGGGCTCCTGGAAAGTAGACTATGAAAAAAAAGCGAAAGCCATGGTCCCAAATGGCGTGTAAATCACTGCCACAAGTCGCTCAGGCTGTCAGTCACTCAGATAGACGAATAAATACTTGGAACTCCCAGCGTCATCGTACACCGTGCCGATGCCGCGCCGCACCCACCCCCCCCCCCACGCTAGACGTAATCGTAATCCTAATCCTTGGCCAAATCCCCACATCAGCAGCAGCAGCAGCAAAAGTGTAACACAATGCGAATAATGGAAATCATCGCTGGATATCGGGATGTCTCACGGCTGTCAATTGCAGGACTAGTGGCACACAGCTGTGTCTAGGATTTTTTGTTGTTGTTGGTGGGGAGGGAGGGGGGCCCTGCGAGAGCTTGATTGCTCCCTACCACTCTCTCTTTTTGTGGGTGTATGGTAACCTTTGGTAAGGTTAAATGTGAACAGCGGAGCCCGCGAATTGTGCCACGCCAAAACAGAGATGCGACGCCCCAGCAGCAGCAGCAGCAGCAGCAGCAGCTCGTTTCCTGCCCTTTGTCTCTCCCTGTGTGTGTGTGTGTTTGTGTTTGTGTGTGTTTGTGTGGGGCGAGGCGGGACAACGTGTAGAGGCGCCGACGCATTGAGGGATATGGATATGGATACGCTTTTATCCTTTGCATCCAACTCGACCACGAACCGAACGCTTCGAGCACAAGTTCGCTTCGAACATGTTGGCTTGCAGCCGGGCTCGATTGCTGGCTGTCGGCTGTCAGTGGTGCTCCTGCTCCCTGCATCCGCGCGTGGGTGTGTGGGTGTGTGGGTGTGTGTTGTGTGGCTATAAACAGCATAAGCATCCATGTATATCTATGCCACTGCTGCTGCTGTTGCTGTTGCCACTGCCCCCCCCCCCCGTCCCCATCCACCATGCCGTCCGTCCCTCCGTTCAGCAGCTGCTGTCAAGGGCGTAGTACAAATACTTGACTCGGTGCGGGCCCTGCCCTGAAGGGGTGGTCTGTTATGGAATGATTGAGATTAGTTTCCATTTCTTAATTGAAAAGTTTCTCTAATCTTTTGATATTTGTGGAAAATTTGTTTCAATATTGATATGAATTTTGTGCTGCAAGTCCGAGGCTGCCTGCTGCCTGCTGCTGTTGCTGTTGCTGCCACCCCCCCCGTGGCACTACGCCCCCGCATGACTGCTCTCCATGGTACGGTACATCAATCGCCCTTCGGGCTGCTGCTGCTGCTGCTGTTGCTGTGGCCTCTGCCGTTGTATTCCCTGGGCCTGCTCACTCCCACTTTCCCACTCCATTCTCTTGTTTGCGCCTCCTGGCACTTTGGGAGGAAAAAAGTAATTTTGTGCAACGATGCGACGACCCTTGGCCAAAAACGACACAAAAAACAACAACGGGCCAGCAGCAGTGGCTACAGCAAGAACAACACGAATAAGCAGGGCCATCCAAAGCGACGAAGATTAAAATACCCTTTGCATATCCATAGATCTATGTATATCTAAATTAACGATAATGATATTGCAAGCAAAACTCCACAAGTTTTGATTATTCAAATTTACTTTCGATTGATATTTGCTCTGAATCTGATCTTATTTGATTGAGCTAGAAAAGTCGCTAAATGAAATCTGCAATTTGTGAGAGTTATTGCTTTAATATCGGGAGATATCTGGCCCAGATCAGCATCACATGTTTGAATTGGACTATTCTCGAAAATACTTAAAAGTTTTGCTGACTTGGATTGATTTTTCCATCTGCCGTATGATAGTGCCATTTGATTTCCATGCAATTTTTCACAATTATAAAATCCATTAATGTTCCCTTCCATCCTATGCTATGATATATGCATTTATCGTATACCTGATCTTGGTATTTCCGATTTGTATAGTACTGATGCTGTGATGATGCTGTGCAAAAGTTTCAGACAAAAAAAAAAGAGAAGTAAACCAGGGGAATGCTATGTGCACATGGACCTGTCTTTGATCTATTAACCTCATCCAGCAGATGTGTATTCTAGGATCGTAAATTCTTTGATTCGCTGCAGGGCAAACATCTGTTGAAAGTCGTGATACCCTACCCTCTCTATCTCTCCCGCTTCAGCCAGCTCTCGTGCAAGGGTACTGTATTGAGAACGTAATGAGAAACCTTTTATGGCACAAACACATGCTCGCTTTTCATGCTCCCCATTCCCCCAATCCCAATCCCACCCCCACCCCCACTCCCACTTCCACTCCCCCCCCCAGTTTTATGGGTAGGATGGGTGGGGAGGGGCCAAAGTTATCTTCTCTCGTTTTGCCTTTTAGTCGTAGTCTAATTTTATTTTGTTTGTCGCTTCATCTGCTTCTTACTCTTCCTCCATCTCCAACTTCTTCCTCTACTCCATTTCCATTTTCATTTCCATCTCGCATCTTCTCGTTTTCTTCTTTTGTCTACTTAGAATTAATAATTTTTGTTTTGTTTTTGTTTTGTTTTTTTTTTTTTTGTTTTTAGCTTTTCCTCTTTTGCCGCTTCATCGTATCATCCATCCACTGGGCACTTCTTCGCCGTTTCCACTTCTTATTCCTTTTTCTTCTTCTCTGCTTCCACTTATTATTCATTTTCTTGTAATACAATATGTTTATTTTTTTTTTGTAGGTACTCTATATATATTTTTTTTTCATCTCTTTTGTTTTCTTTGCTTTTTTACGCTTTTTTTTTGTTGGTTGTTGTTTTTGATAATTTATATTACAAAATAAAAATCAAAAAGCCAGGGGCATGGATGGGCAGGGTAGTGGTAGGGGGTAGGGGGGGGGGAATAAGGGTTTGGCTGGGTGGCCCTTTATTTATATATCTTCTTTTTTTTTTTTTGGAATTTGGCAAATGATTTGGCAGGTGGGCGACCGACCCCCGACCTGCTCACTCCCACACTCCCACACTCCTCACTCGTTTCTCTTTGTCGTTCCCCCCCACCTCTCTATCTGGGTGTGTGTGTGTGTGTGTGTGGGGGGCGTGTCCATTGGGAGCATTGGAGCATCTTTATCGAAATAACATTGTAATTGCTTTTTGATAAATGAAGCACGCGCTGCACAACTGACAGCCAACAAAAGCAACTAAAACAAACAGCCCGAGAGGGGAAAGTGAGGGGGGGGGGGGGTGGGGAAATCCCAGGGAGAGGCATAAAAAACAAAACCAACGAAAACAAACCTATAAGAATGCCAGCCCCCTAAGAGCGCGATAAGCGTACCGTACCAGAGATCACCCTGGAACAGTGAGCAACAGTTCACCGTGGTATTGGAAGACTCGATTGGAAGCTGATTGGAAGCGGCATTCCAAGGGGGCTGCAAATCCCGGTTGGATATTGGAAGACACGACTGGAAGCTGATTGGAATCTGATTGCATGGCTTGGAAAGTGCATTGGAGGTCCCAACTGGAGATCTATTGCAATCGGGCACACTACAAGGAATAGTTGCGATCAGAATACAGTGTGTATTGGAAGACACGATTGGAAGCAATTAATATACATATCTCTCTTGGAATCCTCACAGCACTCGTAGTCATTCAGTGCAGGGTATTTAAGGGGTCCATCCGCTTTGATTGGTTTTGTTTTGTTTTGTTTTGTGCATCGTTTATGCCCTTGTCCCGTAATGGGTATTGGGGTTATAAAAGCAAAATCGCTTGGACGTCTTACTCAAGTGATGGCAATGCACCAATCCCATCCCCCCTTCCCAATCCACTCCTAATTCCCATTCTCCTACACAAGCACCACCCACCCCACATCCCATCTGGGTGCTGCAGCAAGGGGGCGGGGGACTGGGCTGCAGAGGGGCACACGCACTCGCTGGGAAGACAATTTAAAATGTTGAAAAATGCTCAGCTAATTGGCAGTTGACAGCGTCGAGAGCCTGGGATTGGCTTGCCCCACAAAACCAAGAGGACAGGGTGGCACAGCAGTGGGACACTGGAGAGTGGCACGAATGGGGTGGGGTGGGGTGGGGCAGGCTGATGGTTGTAGGGGCATATAAATTTAATTTGGTTTATAAAAAGTGCTTGAGAATGTGGAATGGGACGACGGACGACGGAGAACATGGACCAGACCAACAACGAGAGCTGAAGCGGCCTGAAGTGGCCCAAGCGAACAACAGCTGAAAGGGGGGAAGGGGGCGGCGGTGTGTGTGTGTGTGTGTGGGATGGATTGATGGTTGGCTGAATGCTGTTGTTGCAGGGGCAAGTGGCAAGTGGCAAGCGGCAAGCGGCAGCGGCAAGAGGTGGAGCGGGTGCAGATTGAAGCCGGGGCTAATGGCAGCCAAGTGGCCGCCAAATCCATCTGAGGTGGACCCAAACCCCGTTCGGCCTTTCGGCTAATCCAACCCCCCCCCCCCAACACCTCCCCCCCATAAAAAGTCAAATTGAATTAAAAAAATATTTAAAGAAATTTTCAAAAAACAAAAAAAAATAATGAAAAATAATAAAAGAAAAACGAAAAAGTTTTGGTACAAAATTTTGTAAAGGGCAAAGCACAGCAGCTAAAGGGTGCGAGGGAGAGGGCTGCCGCAAAATGAAGAAAAAAACGAAAAAAGTTTAGTCGGAAATTCTTTAGAGAATACTTTTCCGGGGCCGCGCCACTCCACTCCGCTCCATCGTATCGCATCCCCCGTCAGTTCCTCTTCCCAAGGAATTTTTCCATTTCATCTATTCAAAGAAGTTTCTCATAATCGACACGACATCCCCCCCTGCCATTGCCCCTGCCACTGCCCTACTCTGCTCGCCTGCGCTCAATCCCTTGTAGGAATCATCCCCCCCGTTTCTTGTCTTGAATGCATTTGCATATCCCAACTCTAATTTATATGATAAGTGGAGGACAAAAGGGACGACTTCCAGAGTACCAAAGAGAACAGGACCAGAAGAGGGGGGAGGGCATGAAAATCGATGACTTAGTTTTTCTGATTATTCCAATTTCTTCCCCACCCATTCCCCCCACCACACCACCCTTTGGTGTATTAGTATTCCCATGCCAACCCGTAGTAACAAATAAAAGTAGCCAAAAATGAGCTGCAATAACAAATCAAATTATATTTACATAATAAACAAATAAGGGATAGAAAGTCTTCGGCTAGAAGGGTTTCGCGTTCGCGTCGCCTCTTTCCATTATTCAACGGTTTTTTCTTCTTCTTCTACATTGTTATATATCTAGAAATATTATTGGCATTTCGAATTAGTCTTAAATTCATATACAAAAAAAATATAAAAAAATGGGAACCTGGAAGAGATTTTGCTCTTTGACAGAATGCATTGGTTTAACTACAATACAAACTAAAATTAAAACTATAACTAAAGCTAGAAAATTAATCATATTTATATATGGCAATGGGTTCTCAGACTCAACAAACTTGTATCCTAAATGCAGCGGTATGCAGGCTTCTTGAATTGGGGAGCAGTGAAACTTGAGTCGCCGCATCATGCACACAACATGTATGTTGTTTTTTGTTTGCACTTCTCGGGCATTCTTTTTGGAGACGAGCATCAATGGGCCGCGTTCCAATATGTATGGGAAGGGAAAGAGCAGATATTTCGGTCAGCTTATAGCATGATTTCTTGAAGGAAAAAGGGTTTCCAGTTTGGATGATTGGAACGGTATTTCTCCTTTAGTTTACTTCAGGGGGTTCTCACTTTACTTCAATACGAGTATATATGTATTTTTATATATAATATAAAGTATGTATGCACGAGTATGTATAATTATTTATCAACCATTTTGAGTTGGGTTGAGCTGAAATTTCATTTCATTTCTAGTAAAAGTAACTTCCAGTTGAATCATTTTTAAAGGAGATTTTTCGTTAGTTGGGAGCAGAAATGAAACCGAAAGAAACTCCATTTAAAATTAAGATTTTGATAAATAAACTATGAAGAGCTTAAACAGAATTAGTGGGAAAATCTGAATCTATCTAATATCTGGACCTTCTCTTTTTCCCACTAAGATCCAAACATGATAAGGAAAAGTAGAGTCCCAATGCTTTCATTATGCGAAAAATGTAAGGGGAAATTTACAGAGCAGGATGCACCAGAGATCATTACCTTAGAGGGCTTTTCGGGGGTGTTTTTAGGGGCAATAATAATTAAAAAATAATAAATTAATAACAATTAAATGTACAAATAAATTAGGGCTTAAATATGTACAGGCATTTTGCGTAGCGAAGCTTCCTCTCTTCTCTCTCTCTCTTCCTCTTTGCTTTTGACCTTTGATTAACCATTTAGTTTAGTGTTTTGTTTAGTTTAGTTTAGTTTAGTTTAGTTAGTGGCTGCTCTAACGCCTTCTCCATTCTCTTTGCTTATGCTCTCAAGTACAGTGTAAGTCAGTTAATTAATAGTTTACTTTGTTGTTACATTTTGTTTGTTAAATGTTTTCTTGTTTTTGTATTTTTTTCTTTTCTTTTCTTTTGTTTTTTAATTAAATTGAGTGTTGTTTGTTTTCCTCTAGGTATAAACATTTAAAAATTTTGAAAAATATTTCGTTTTTTTTGATTTTAGGTTTTGGAATTGTTTTTGTTTTGTTTTTGTTTTGTTTTTGTTTTTACGACAAAAATTTAGAAAAAAATTCTTTAGCTTTTGATGATTTTTGTTTGTTTAAACTTGTTTTTTGTTTGCTTAAATTTATTAACAAATTATTTGTTTGTTTATTTGCAAGCGAGAGAGACACGACGATTGACAAAAATTTGTAGCAATTTGTTGCATTTTAGTTTGGTGTATGTAGTGGTTGGCCATCGGCCCCTAGGACTATCATTATAGTATATATATAGTATATGTATGTATGTCTAATATAGTTGTATATTCCGTATTCAGTATTCAGTATCTGCTGTATAACTATGATATATGATATATGTAAGTGTATATGTATATATATGTATGTAGGTATGTTTGTATATGGTATATTTATAGTATATGGCATATAATGTATGTATATGGTATCTGTAGGTATGTATGTATAGCTACATACATATTTATGTTTTATTTTATTTGTTTTGAATGCATGAACGATATATGGGTCTACCTATATATACTATATACTATATACTATATATGTATGTGTATATATATAGTAGCATATACTATATACTACTCGTATGACTTGCGCTTGATTTTGGCATTAGGATCTAAGAAAGGTAAGTGGTAAAATTGGTAAAACTTAAACTTAATTGAGCGAACACGTTGCTTGACTTTCGATCTCTGGATCTGGTTTTGATATAATTAAATGCATGACACAATGCTGGGAGGGATGCCCATAATGCCTATAGCAGTCTGGCAGTATGTACAGTTTTTAGTGGAGGCAGGAGGGGGTTTGTATATATGCGTGTGTGTGTGTGTGTGTGTGTGTGTGTGCAGAATATCACATAGTCAGACATATACCATTATATACGACTACAAGTTCTCAATTTTCGGCACTCCTACTCCACCTGGTCTCCCATTCCCATGCACGCCTTAAACATGCAGCGTCGAGGAGTCGAGCGAATTTCTCGACGCACTCCGATGTCCTCCAATCAGCGTGGCCGTGTCCGCTTCCGTGGCATCTGCATCAAGAAGGAAGCGCTTGCGTTGCGGACGCAAAAACAGGAACATCACCAACAGCGACAGGAAAAATGCCAGTGCCCCAAAGGCCGGATAGACAACGCCACTCAGTTGGCTCGTTGTTGGCAAAGCACTGATGATATACACCCGATCCGTGGGATGCACATGGGCATGCATCTTGGGCTGTCCACGCTCAGCTGTTGCTGTTGCTGTTGCTGCTGTTGCTGTTGTTGTTGTGGAGGTGTTGCCCTCTGTGGTGCTGGTGGTTCCCACCAACTGACGCGTGTCCACATTGAGCTTCTTCGAGCGACGCATCATGCCAGTTAGCTGTGGAAAAATGTGGCAAAAGAAAAACAAATGCACAATGCCAGGGGGGGGATTAGTGATCTTTCAGATCGGAGCACAGAGCTGCAACGAGGGTGGACTGGAGGGTGAGGGGTGGGGGCACTCACCTTATGCTTGCACGTGACCTGTATATTGTAGACCGTATCCGGCCACAGGGAGAGCTCGGCACGGGATGTGTCCGTGAGGAGATTGCCTATCAGGCCGCCCCCAGACACCTCCCAGGTGATCAGGCACTGGCGCGAAGCATTGGCTATCATCTCGTCCCAGCCAATGTCCGTGAGCACGAGTGCTCCCTGCCGCTGCGCCCTGTGTATCCTCAGCTCGAAGGGCGACAATTGCTTTTGACAGTTTTCCCAGCACTGTGGAGGCCCGAGGCAAGGAAGGGACAAAAACAGGGGGAAAAACAGTGGAAAGTTAGCTATTTGTCAATTAGTTTTTGTAATTATGTCGCGCGCCCTCAGGTAGGCAATGAAATTTTACATTTTGCTCATCTTTCATTCTCCTACCCCCGCACTTAACCCATTATGGCCCACTGGACAATTCCGCTCACTTTCTTGATTGGTATGTTAAATTTTTGAAACCAGTTTTAGATGTCGAGATTTTGACATATATTGAAAATAATTCTACGTTTAAAAACCAATGTAGATCATATTTCTAAAGAGTTTTCTTCTACAAAAAAAATTAGTTTAGGTCATCTTTCGCCTCAGTTATAGCCTTTAATTGGAAACTTGTTTTGCATTAAATTGAAGGACATGCATTTATCTTTTAATTCGGTGCTGTAGATACCGAATTAAAAATTATTATTAAAATAATCTAAGCGCGCTTTTGAAAGGAATTTTACAGATTTAAAAGAAACTTACATTACCAACAGTACGTACGCATTCGTCTCTAATACCTTCAGTCATTATAGGATTCATGAAAAATGCAGTTCATTAAAACTTATTAAAACCAAACTCCCAGCTTGAAAAATGTTAATAAAATATTTAGGACCCGGAGCTCTACATCTATGCCACATCTAACAAAACCCATAAAAAACACACACACAAAAAACAAAACAAAAATGTGACATTTTGCAAGTAGAAGATTTTCAAGAGCCAGCATTAATGGGTTAATGACATCGTTAGGAGGCTGTCGCATGCCGCTCAGAAGGAGCCAGAGGCGTAGAGCGTAGATACTTACATTTCTGCAATCAGTGGAATCCGTACAATAATGCCAGTCCCTGGAAAACTGTAAAGAGAGGAGAGAGAGGAGACGAAAGTTAGTTAGTGGGCGTGGCCTAATCGAATTTTAAGTAAGCTACGAGAAGAAAAAGTAATCAGGCACAAGACCCGAGGCGTGCTGCCTCTGCCTCTGCCTGCCTCCCAGCCTGCCAGGACAAACACAACAAGGAGTCATCCTCCTCATCTCGTTGTGTCCTATCCGTTGACTTGGTCCCTGCCTCACAGCACAGCCATGGCTGTGTCCTGCTGTCCTTTACTTTCCCTCAACAATAGACGCAAATTTGTAACTTGTAATAAAAGGCAAAGCAGGCTGGCTGGCAGTCAGGCAGTCAGGCAGCACAAGAAAAAAAATCCAAAAGTCTGTGTACGTAAAGGGATATATATAAATGACCACAAACGTTGGCCTGTGAAGAATTGAAAATTTCACGCTCCTGGCAATGAGGATAATGAGGGGGATTGCCATGGCAAATGGATAAGGATGGATAAAGGAAGAAGGAACGGCACGGCACGGAACAGATCGGGATCAAAACTGGACTGCCTGCTTAGCCTTTGTCAACTGTCGCCTTACGCACCAGGCAGGGCAGGGCAGGGCAGGGCAGGAAAAATACAGAACACAGCTGAACAGAACAGCGGGAGGGGACGCTCTGCTCTGTCTTTCTCTCTCTCCTCCTCACTCTGATTCCCATTGCTGTTTCTAGTTCTATTCCTGTCCTGTCTGTTCCTTGCTTTATGAATGAGCAGGCAGAATGGAGGGACACGACAGACAGACAGACAGACAGACAGACAGACAGACAAAGACACAATTGAATGGCAAAAACTGCGACAGAAAAACGATTAGAGATGGTTGCGTGACAAATTGTTATTGCTTCGAAATTTTACATTATTAAAAAAAAAATATATATATACTTTGTATATGTATCTAAATTCTTTGTGTATTCAATGTCATTTCGCAGTCCAGCCCAGTCCTCCCCTGTGCGTCGCTGTCTGTCTTTCTGTCTGCCTGTCTGCGTATGCGAGGGTTAAATAACCTCCCCCCACCACCACCCCAAACAACACAAAAATAATAATAAAAAACCCATCATTGATCTTTGTGCTTGATATATGTTTATTGCCTTTATGGGTATCATGGGGATTTTATGCAATCTTTTGCCCTGACTTTTCAACTTAATTCGTTGCACTGACTAAATGGTTTATCGATCAAAAAACAACCCTAAAAGCTGCGTTTGAATGAAATTTGATTCGCTGTACAAATTACCCAAAAGCGAAAGGACTCAGGAGAAACATTCGCCATGATTGCTTGGGGATTTTTGAGCAAGAATGTAAACAAGAATGAATATTTCTTGCGCCAGCTTTTGAGTAAGACGCATTCGATTGTTTCATTCAAGAGTTCACCAAGCTCCTTCTCGGGGTAGCCAGTCACACATTCAGAATAAGGCAGATGTCTGCACATGAATGGAAAGAACAAATGTCAGGCAAGGAAGTGCACCCTCAGGTATGTATATATTTTGTTGAATTAAATATAATTAACATACTCGCTGCAGCACATATTTCCTAACGATTTTTCCGGTTTGAATATTTAAAAATTTCTTAGGGTGGTTTTTCTTTCACTTTCCACTGTCGGAATGACTTTGATTTGCTGTACAAATTTACCAAGCGAAAGGACACCATCGACACCATGCTGTAACTCTTTTGGCCTATCTCTTGGGTATCTCTCATTTCATTTAAATACCCCGCATATGTGTATATAGAAAGCAGTAAATGTGCAGCTCTCATTTGTGTACACAAATAAAACTGCCAACATTTAGGGGAATAATTCCAATTTCTTTTGCAAAAAGTCTTTGCTCAAATATTTGGACGAACGTAAATTGCCATTGATTGTCTTATACGATAATCCCATAGCACTGGAAATCCTTTAAGTACTTCCTGGTACCCATGCCTCGATCATCCATCAAGGAGGACCATCTCTAAGGAATGCCATCCTTCCACAGGGGACAATGGCTGCCATCACCTTTTGGCCCAACATTGACGGCGGCGACGGGCGGCGGCACTTTGTCATCATTACACAATAAGGAGGCGGGGCAGGACAGGACAGGGCAGGGCAGGGCAGGGCAGAGCAGTCCAGAAACCCAACAGTTGTGGCAGATAAAAGCGGAACGGGAGTGGCTGGGGTAGGAGAAGGGGCAGGAGGCAAATGCCAGCAAAGGAAAATCGCAAAGACAACATATTTTCCGCTCAATTGAATTTTTGGCCTCTCTTTGCAAAAAAAAAAAAACGAAAAAAAAAAAAATAATAATAAGAAAGGGAGACGCAAAAGTTGAAGATGCAGGAGGAGAGAGCAGGAGAGTGCCAGGAGACGACGGGCGAACTGAAACAACTTGGGCGATAAGTAACAACAATAAGGCGTTCAAATGAATGAATGACTGAATGCCAGAATGAATGAACCGAGTACGGGGAAGATTGAGGCATGAAAGACGGCTTCGACTCAATGAAAATGCTGAACTGGCAAATCATTCGATGCCGCCGCCGCTGCCGCTGCCGCTTTTCCCACTTCTACCTGAGCCATGGGTCGTCTCTTCTGTTTTGGGCCAGATATAAATTAAACGCAGGCCAGCCAGCCAGCCAGCCAGCCAGCCAGCTAGCCAGCCAGCCAGAAGCGACAACTTTTACATGCAATTGCCCCAGTAATTTTCACACCCAGAGTGCCACTGCCACTGCCACAGCCACAGCCAGTGCCAGTGCCCCCTCCCTCCACTGACCACATAAATTACCCCAAAAAAAGTTACGGGGCGGAGGGTCACTTACTCATTTTTGCCCCCGGTTTTTCCCAACATTTCTTGCTCTCTATTTCTCTTATTTTCTTCTCTTTTTTTGTTGTTGTTGTTGTTTGTTTGAGGAGAAGCGATTTTTATGAGACACGTACGCATACGTAGATATTCGATAATTCCACCACCAGCAGCAGCAGCAGCAGCCAAAAAGAATACGTGCCTCGCATATCACATCAAGATCGCTAGAGTCGTCTCCCACAACCACCTCCAACAGTCCAAATACATACATATGTACGTATATCCCACCCACCCATCTATACTATCCACCCAGTGTGGGGTGGGGCAGAAAAGTCTTTCATGGTGTTAATTTGGCGCTGATTGAGCAACGCATTCGGCTTTCGACGGGGGTTTCATGGGGTTTCAGGGGTTGGCTTCATAAAGGATGGAACGGATGCTACGGATGCTACGGATGCTACGGATGGTATGGTCTCCTGCCTGCCTGGATGGGTGGATTAGTTCCAGTATATTCCTCCGCCTGGGCATGAAATTAGCTTCGCACACGGCTCGAGTTGAGTTGAGTCGAGTCCGAGTCCGAGTCCGATGGGCTTTGTCACCATTCAACCCTTAAGAACTTTTTGACTTTCAACGAATAGACTTCAAAGGGCAAATGCTCATGACGATGATGATGATGAGAATTCTTTGCTCCCATTTGCACCCATCACTCTCACTCTCACATGACGCGGCACAATTTAATGCTCGCACTCGAGACGCACAAGCGAATGCTCGCACAAGAGAACCCCCCCAAATGCATTGCGATAAACAATATTCATGGCGTGTGCATGATGCGGCACATTGATATTAAATTCAGGTCTCGCTGATAAAGGTTTTTTTTTTCCAAAAAGCCTTACCACCGCTGCGATAATAATTGCTTGGGTTCTTCGCAACGCCAAGAATCAAGTTTCTTGAATCTAGTTTATATAAATCTATATTCTTATACCTGTAAACATATATATATTTATATGCAGAATTCCATTTGGATGAACTTCTCTGGGTCACTTCGAGTGATTGGCTAGTTGCTCCCATTTGCTTCATAGAACACTGCTCTGCACTCCCCGTACTCTGTTGTCTATTCTAGTTCAGTTCATTGTGTTCAGACATCCTCTCAAATTTCATTGAATTTTCTTTGTAAATGCCACAACACTCTCCTGCTCAAGTGATTCATGCACTTCTCATGTCAATTGGTCGAGAGCTCACCTTAACGCTCGAGCTACAGCTGGAGCCTACTCGGATTTACTTGGAAATCGGAGATGATATTTACACGACTCTTGATTTATGCACCGCTAGCAGGTCGTACGGGAATTGATATAAACATTTTTTGAGTTTGAGTTTGAGTTGATTTTATTTGATACCGAAATGAAATTTATTAACATTTGTGTTGAGGTGTCAGCACAATGGAGGGTGCGCGCGCTCTCTGGGGGTTTTTATCCACAGTTCCAGGAAGTCACGCCATAGCCACACACGACAATCACAATTCGAAATCTTTCCTAGAGGGGAGGAAAACTTTTCTAAAAGAGATCTTTTCGTCTTGATTTCAAGACGGCCCCCCCTTTGGGGCATTCAAAAATGCTGTTTCTTTTCCGATGGGGTTTCAGTTACATTTGTCCATAAATTGTACAAAAGATTGAATCGACCGCTGGGGTGGGTCACACGAAGGAATCAACTTTCTCGAATTTTGTTTATGGATATCTATATTTTTAAATCTTCAAAGTAGAATTTTGTTCAACTTGAGAAACAAGAGCTTGCATCTTGAAGCTATTCTAACGTTTTCATATGCAAATAATCATATTTATAGATGGGATAATACAATTGAGATTAAATTGAATATTTGATGGTTACAGAAAGTCTTTCCTTGTGGAGGTACATACATACTAGAATTTCTACTGGAGTTATATATTTTATTCTGTCTTTTCTTTTCTTTTCTTTAGTTTTGTTGTCTGTTCTCTTGCATCACCTTTTTGGCAGCCGTTTACCCTTTCAACTCTTTAATTTTTTCCATTGTTTTCCCTCACGTTCTGCTGCTCTGCTCCTTCCAGCTTCTTTCCCATTCGTATGCTCTTCCAGTACATCCATCCAACTGTTCCAGCTGTCACTCTTGCTCTCCTCTCCCCTCTCCCCACTCACAAAACAAAATCCCTCTCCCGAAAAAGCTTGGCTTTTGTCTACCCTCTCTCTCTCTCTCTCACTCTTTCTATGCCGATTCAAATTCAATCCCCGATCGCTGCCGATCTCTATTAGCAGCACTATGACACTGGCCGACCACCCGGATGACATCTTTTCAGCGGCGGCTACCTGAGCAGCAGCAGCAACAACAACAGAGACAGCGGCAACAGAAGCAGCAACAGCGACAACGACAAACGACAGGGCGATGTCAATCCAAAGATAAAGAAAGGCACAGCAAGAGCAGGGCAGGGCAGGGCAGGGCATAAAAAATTACGTCGCTTTACCTTTTGGAACCGAAGAACCATTGTCATCATCATCGATGTCTAACCTTGAAGGCCCTGCCCCTACTCCTACCCCTCCCTTGACCCATGTCCCATGCGGCTGGCTGCTGCTCAGTTGAGCATACAACTGTCCATCAAATGTTTTGGCTTTGGCTTTGGCTTGGATCGGATCGGATCGGTGTCTTATCTCCCCGGCCCAAAAAGTCTGATCCGAGTTTGAGTTTCGAGGTTCGAGCCTCACTCGGTGTCTGTCGTCTGCGACTTACCTGCTGATAACAGCTTTGACGGCATCTGCTCAATTGCTTGCTGGTGCTGGTGCTGCTGGTACTGCTCCCAGGTCCCGTCGCAAACGGCATTGATGCCGATGCGGATGGGGAGGGAGATGGAGATGATGATGATGATGATGATGAGGATGAGGATGAGCTCAGTTCTGTGGCTGTTCCCGTTCCATCTGCAGTCGATCCTCCATCCTTGTGGGCGAGACAGAGGGCGGCAAGTGCGCAGCAGGCGAGCATCAGAGCAAGTGAATTGAACATGTTTGCTCTTGTTGTTACTGTTGTTTTTGTTGCTGTTGCTCTCTCCCACTCTCACTTTGTTGGCTCCTTTTTTTTTGCTTGCTTGCTTGCTTGCTCTTCTCTGCCTCCTCCCACCACCGCCACTCCAATCAATGGGTGTGGACGTGTGGGCGTTGACTCGTGTGTGAGCGCGCGTGAGTGCGAGTGTGTGTGTGTGTGTGTGTGTGTGTTTGGGTTTGTGTGTATAGGTATGTTTTGGGCTGTGTGGGCGTGGAGCAATCTGTTCAATCAGATTGATTAATTGATTGATTTTGTTTGTTTATTTTTGGTATCAAGTGGAGACATAATCGTCCCGTGCTTTTGGATGCATTTAGTGGAGCAGAGCAGTTCCCCTCACTGTACGCCTCTGCTTTCGCTCTCACACTCTCTTTCTCTCACTCCTTCCACGTTTTACCGTTTATTTGCCTTGGCGATTGTCACACAGCAACAACAAGAGTATGTTTGTGGAATGGGGAGGGGTACAGCAACAACAACTACTTGAGGCTGTAACTGTAACTGTAAACGTAAGTGTAACTGTAACTCCACATGCGGCGGAGAGCGAAACAACACACGACCCACGAGGATGGGATGATGATACACAGAGAAACAGCGCGACACCAACAAAAATTGCCTCGTTACTGTTACTGTTACGTTTTGTTTTTGTCTTTGTTGTTGTTATATTTGCTGTTATTGTTGTTGTTGTTTTTGTTGCCTGTGCTTTTGGTTCGACTTTGGTTTTGAGGCTTGGATTTGTTTTGGGGCGTGGAGACGTTGCGGCCTAATGGCGGGCCGGGCGGTCCGGGTCGGTCGTGCAGAGTTTTGGTTTGTTTGACTTTGTTATTTGAGCACCTTCCTTCCTTCCTTCTTCGTTTTTTTGATTTTTTGGCTGCTGCTGCTGCTCGCCTTTTGCTCCTGGTTTGTTCTCAGGTAAGTTGGCACCAAATAAAACACAATAACTCACACGCAGACACGTGAAAAAAAAATAGACAACCACAACAAGAACAATATATGTATGTATGTATGTAGCTCGGTTACACTTCAATAAATAACAACTATAACAAACAGCAAAAAAGACTTCGTCGTCGAACACGAGAGACCAAAAAGTGTCTTTCTCTAAAAAAAATGTGCGCTAGGATAAAGCAGTCAAAGAGCGTGCGAGTTCCGTTGGTTCGTTCGCGCGGGAGTGGAACAACCGTCGTCGTTGAGTGTAAAATGAAAACAACGCGAGACGATAGAGCGGGCGCAAGGTCGAAAGCAGAACGAACTGACTGGCGGGGCGGCTGCGAGATAACACACCAACGGGAAACCAGAGCTGGCGACAGTACTGGCCAAATGGCTATAGCTGAAAATGCTACAAAATGTTATTTAGTCGCAATAATTGATATTTAGCTACAAAACATTGTGCTACATTTCTTTTACATTTGGTTGAAATATCAATTTTTGATAAGACCATTTCCCCTCTATCCTTCAATTTCACTTAAAGTTATCAAACATATTCTTATATAGCTTTTTAGTAGCCATTTTTCAGCAAGGCCACCAGCCAAATCTTCACCGAACATCGCTGACACAACACACCGTTGCTTGGTTGCATCCAAAAGTGGCGTCATGTTCGAACATGCTCGAAGCAAACTTACATTTGGATGCCCTGCAGTGTTGCCGGCTTAGCCTTTTTAGCTGAAATCTACTATTGGCTCTAAACTATAAGTGGCCTCTAACTTGTATCTGTTGAAAGTTTTTGCAGATGTTTGAGCTGGTTTTTCAAATCTTTGGGGTGCAGATTGAATATACAATCAATCTGTACCGTTTGAGATTTCGCTCTCTCGATGTCTTCGCCTTCCCACCCTATCATTATTTCCTTGTAAATTGGGACTATCTCGGGATTATCCCAGTGAGGTCGTCTGAAGATTCATGCCGCAACCGTAGAGCTTCTCTCAACTTGTGGAATTTGGATATGGATACATCGACATACGCGACTCATTTGAGCTCCACGAGAAGATCGAAAGTTTTCGGGCCATGGGAATCTCTTCACCATGGTCTTTCCGACGCTGGGTGGATCGTCCGTTATGTTTTTTTTTGATCTGGCTTGTCTTCAGCCTCTCAGGACTGCACGGATGCAACCTGCCAGTTCGAAGTTCGAACGATGGGAGTTCGAAGTTGCGGAGTCTGCACTGGTTGGTATATATGTATGTTGGCTGCTTGGTTCGAGGGGTTAAGGTTGCAATCAGTTGAGGTTGGGTTGGGTTGGGTTAGCTTCGTCTCTTTGATGATAATAGGGTGGCAAACGGGAAAACGGGCAAGGGCAGCAAGGCACCAAGCAGGCTTTGGCTTTGACTTCGTATTTGCTGCTCTCCTCATTTTGCTACTGCTGCTGCCACTGCTGCTGGTGGTTGGTGCGAGGCAGGCATGCAGATGAATCAAAGCGGGCCGCTGATTATAGCAACAATATGGAAATGCTGCTCCTGCCCCTGCTCCCTCTCCTACCTCCTGCCATTCCTCTTCTGTGTCCAGGGCTCTTTCGACTTTCCCTTCACCACCCCACCCCTTCCCTTCTGCCCTACCCCCCCGCTAACATAGGGACATTGTTTATTTATATGCCAGGCACATGTGTGTGTATGAGTATGTGGTGTGTTCCACATAGTATGGTGTGTGTGTGTGTGTGTGTGTGTGTGTGCCTTTTTATAACCTCCATTTTGCCAAAGTATAGTAAATTCTTTCAAAGCGTGTACTACATTTATTATTTAAGCCATGCTGCTGCAGGGGGAACACTGGACTGAGGCCCGTACCCCCGTACCTCGTACCCCTATGCGCATTGTTTCAGTCGTCCCAGTCTCTATGTCCTTTTTCCTATACATATCTGTTTTACCGTATTAGCCGCTGCCGCTGCCTCAATGCATAAAGCTGCCTGCCCCTCCCCCCCCATCCATCCACGACGCTCCCTCCCCACACTCATACCCTGTGAATCTCCGCTATTCGGAAGGTTTATTTGCATATTTTGACTTTTATGCGGCAAAAATATTACAGACTGCGCTGCCAGCGAACAATATCCCAAACGCCGTATAACCTATCCCCCATCTCCCCATCGCCCATCAAAACGTTAATAAAGCTAGAGAAGAGCAAGAGAGAGCAAGAGAGGGGGCAGCCTACAAAAAAAAAAACACCGCTACAGCAGAGAAGTGGAGCGGGTAAAAGCGGGAGGGGGTTGGGTGGAAAAAAAAACATTTTTTCTCATTTCGCGTCCGTGTCTGAAAAGTTTGAATTTTTCGGGGCTTGGTTTATAACTCCATTGCAACATGTTGCATGTTTGAAATTGCCAAAAAAAAAACCAACACACAAAATATGAAAAGAAATGCGAACAAACAACAACAAAAGCAAGCAAAATAAAAGAAAAGGCAAGAAGAAAAAAAATAGACAACTAACGGACAAGGTGGCTTGGTGCAAGGTGCATTCAATGGCAGGTTAGGCATAGCCAGAGGGCGGCCTGTGCGCTGTACCTAACCTTCCCTTAAATATATGTAACTTGAAATAGGGAAAAGGCATCCTGGGACTAGGATTTATTTATACAATGTGTGGGGCTTACCATATGTATATCCATTCTCCCATTCTCATGTATGTATGTACAAAATAGGCGACTAGCGTAAGAGAGCTCTCGGGAAATGCCTCCACACCTTTATGTAAATACACCATGGCTGCGAAATTTATGCGCCCATGGCGAGCCATTTGCCAGTGCTTCAACTTTTTTCTGAACAAGTCTCGTTTACCTACCCCACACCTTCCCCCCCCTGGCCCACATGCCATCATACCGCACCACATACCACAGCGGCCCCTACGGCCCCTACCACTACCCAACACCACCTACCCCATTCTGTGCTCAGAGCCCAAAAGCCCTTTTCCATTTCATTCCGCTGCTCTTTGAATTTCCATTTTCATTTTGCGGCTGCCGCAATTGACTTTGTCGTTTGCGTGTGGCGGCCAGGCCATCCAATAAATAAACGGGATGCAAAAGAAAGCGGGTTCGGGAGGGGAAAGAGCGGGCGCAAAAAACCAATTCGGAAGTATGCCGAACCGAACATAACGGTGAACCCAAATGATCGTGCGAGCGAGAGAGAGCGAGCGCAACTACTTCTGGTTCCGTGCACTTGCCAGCGCTCAGAGGCAACGAGTGAAAGAGAGCAGAGAGCAGGGCCAAATGAAAACGGGGAAGTGACGCAGAAAACTTAGCTCAGGGCCCTCCTCCTCTCTCTCCACTAGGAATCATTTCTAATGAGTTTCTTCTGCACTTTGAGGTGCATTTTTCTCAGTGTGCTGTGCCGCAGAAGGATAGAACTGATTTTGCAAGGGGAGGGGCAGGCAAAGGAACAGAGAAAAATGAACAGCTGGATGATCAGGCAAAAATAATTAGCACAAAAACAACAAAAAGTTTGACATACATTTGTACGTATATACATATATATTTTGATTTAATTTGTTCTCTAGCGTGGAGGCGACCAACACGAACTACAACTTGTTTTTGTCCAGTGTAAAAGCAACCTTGTAATTTGCCGCAATGCACTCTGCTTTAGTTTTAGCTTCAGTTTTGATTTACGCACTGCGTAACGCACTTTTGAAAACATGACCAAACTAACTGGGGAAAAACTTCACCGTGCGACCCATCATCGGTGGCTCGCCAGCAGAGCAGAGGAGTACCCCCCGACCGCGAGCCCATTCCACACATTATTCCCCCCACCCTGGCTACCCTGTCCAGTTCGTAGTGGAAAGTCCAGCAGCACCACCAGCAGCTGGTGGGCAATGGGTGCTTCCGGCGCAGCATTACGGCTGAGCAGAGCAGAGCAGAGCAGAGAGCGGTTTGAAAAGGGGAGATATGTAAGTAGAAATGAAAATGAAGCACAATGAGCACATCCGGCCAAAGCTGCGGAGGATGGAGGATGAGATGGGATTGGATTGGATTGGATGGGATTGGAGGAGGAGAAGTTCGTTCGTTCGTTCGTTCGCTAGCAAAATGAACGACTGAATAGGTCTGGAATCGCCTGAAAAGGCTTGAAAATTACTAATATTAACTAAAAAAAAAAAGGAATTCATGTAAAATAAGTCTGGATTGCCTGTCGATATACCATCTTTTTCCGTAATTGGAAGTCGAAGTCTGGGCGCTGCTCTTCTTGCTGCTCAACTTCCTGGCGGCCACGCAGGACATCGCTGCGTACCAAACCGAACCAAACCAAACCGAACCGAACCACCGGATCCGCGCCACCGTTCCATTGCAACAGCCGAGAGCAGCCCATTAAGAAATTTCAAATTCTTGAAAAATTAGCAACCCAAAAAAGAAACGAGTAGAACAAAAGCGAAAGGCGAACGGGGAACGGGGAACGGCGAACGGCGAACGGAGGGGAAGAGGGTGAAAGAAGAAAGCGAAATAAGGCGAACCAAACTCCACATCTTGAGAATAATTAATGGAATTTTTGAACTTTTAGTGCAAATGCCTCGGAGACAACTGCTTAAACAGCATTTTCATTTTCATTGATGCTTCTGCAGCATCAGGGCACACCCTGCCCTCCTGCCCCCCTGCCCCTTATCTTTGAGACTCTGGTCTGTGTATGTTTTCTGCCACTGTTGCAACTTGCAAGTAGCAGCATGCATGCGCCACAAATAAATTTGTCGTCGACTCAAGCAGATTGTTGCAATTGCTGTCGGAGTTGGTGTCGTGTCCCCCCACCCCCCATAGCCACCAGCCACCAGCCAGTCGCCGTCACCCCCCACCCCCCATTCAACGTGAATGAAAATAGAGCAATTTGCATTATTCGCATTCGAGCAGATTTCGCTTTAATGAATTGCACACAACTTGCCAAGAAATATTTCGAGCAAACAAACCAGAGAAGACAACAACAACAGCAACAACAACAACAGCAGCAGCAAAAAGCGACACACCAAAAAAATATCAAGCTATAGTGTTCTAGAATCTAGATGATAATCCCGACTAAGGGATACCTGTTGAGATTTACCACAAGAGAAGTAAGCATCGCGCTCTTCATTATTATAGCTTCAGTTATTAAGTTTAAATTTAAATGATTTTGGGGCACCTAATTAGAGCCCATATATACTATATTGCATACTAGAAATTGGGAATACATAAATCGAATGTAAGTAAGTGCACTTCCATTCCACTCCACTCCCAGATGCACAAGCGAAAAATGCAAAAGAGAATTCCAGCGAATGCAAAAACAAAATACATACATTATAAATTTAATTGAAATAAATCAAAGAAAATAAAACCAGTCCACTGCAAGAACAAAAACAAACAATGTTTCAGATGGCCATCAGAACATATCAAATTTGATTGCTTCAGCTTCTATTTTCACCGAAATCCCTACGGCTACACAGACGAAAAATTGAACAAAACTTCAGCTGTGGATACTGAAATGCCAAGCGACCTATAAGATCTTTTCATCCAATCCAAGCCTAAAGCATTGCTTATTACAGAGCTCCTGCCGTAACTACAGCGCCTGCAATCCCATCCAAACTGCTGCTACGTAGATGCAGATGCAGATACATTAATACGTATTAATGGAGGGGGGGGCGGCTGTTGCATTTATCTACAAGAACACAACATACCCCTGTTGTGTGGCACACGGTGAGTGGCGGTAGGCCATAAAAAGATGAGCACAAAATATAGAATAGTAAATGAGATACGTCTGCATTTGTCTGACTTGGCACTTTGTCTAAAACACAACGAAATGAACCCCTCTGGCCACTCGAATCTCTCTCTGATCTGATGTGATATTGGGCACCGGCTGGCTGAACCATGCGAACCGGGAAACAGTACCAGGAATTGCGAATCGCTATTGCGGCAGTGGCAGGGACAGTGGCAGGAGGGTGTCGTATCGTGTCGTGTCGTTGGTGTCGCCCCATTCTGTCTGTCATTTCGAGTCTGTTTCAGTAATCGGAATTCGCTCATCTTCATCATTACGCGAGCTGCCAGCCATCGCATCCCACATCCCCCCAGCCCCTCCCATCCAACATTTTCCCAAGGGCTCTTCAAAGTTAATGCAGAATATCATTTGCATTCATGTTGCAGCAGCAGCAGCAGATCGCAAAATTAAAACCTCAACAGCTGGGCTGTGGATTCGCAATATTTCGATGTCAGAAATGAACAAAAACAAAAAAAAAAAAAAAAAAAACAAGAAAAGATTGAAAAAAGGAAAAACAGCAGAGAAATATGAGAAAACGAGCCATAACTCATGTCAGCATGTTCATTAAATGTGCGACCGTTTGTCCAGTTACTGCCACTCTGTCTACTGCCTACTGCCACTGCCACTGCCACTGCCTACCGCCACTGCCACTGCCACTGCCACTGCCACTGCCTACCGCCACTCCTGTCAGATGCACCAGCTCTTTGGGCATCAGAGTTTTGGGTGGCTCTACGTTGTGGCGTGGTGTGGCGGGGCTTTACAGTATTTTATTGTCTATGTGCGCATATGGTCAGCTCATTGTGAAGTCGCTTGTATTGCCATTACCATTATAGTCATGCCCATCGTCAGGCATCGTGTAGCGATTAATGCGGCTCTTCATCCAGTTACAGATACGTGTTACATCTATCACAGAGAGGACACGTCCAAATGGCAGAGGGGGGTGGGTGGCTTGGCAGGCTGGCAGGCAGGCGAGCTGGCTGATGGAGAGGGTGGGAGAGGGTGGTTGCGCGGCACAAATTGTTTTGGGAATGCGTTCCGTTTGCTGACATTTGTCCTCGGTGACTGCACATGTGGTCGGCCTCGAGGGTCCCCCGTGATATTAATGCCATTGCCCGACACAGCACCAACAACAACGAAAAAATCAAGCCAGGGATTGATTTAAGCCACCGCCAGAGGGAGAGAGACAGAGAGAGAGCTGGAGGGAGAGCGGGTGGAGTGGAGTGCATTAAAAACACATTTATCGTAACACTTGGCTTGCGTTGAGCCGCCATAAAACACATCATTTCAAACAGCCACCAGCACAGCACAGCACATGACCAATTTACAGCCAGCATTTATGCATTTCGGGTGGTGGGCTGGTGTGCTTTTAATTCCCATCGGACACACCAAAAAAAGCAAAAATTGAAAACAAAGGTATCCAGTTTTTAAAAATTCAAATATTTCGCGGGTCTTTTGCTGTTGCCAAAACATAGAGCTAGCCTTATGGGAAATGCCTGCAGTCAGAGGGAGAAAATATATGCGTCCAGTTGGCAGTTGAGCTGGAAGCAACGCTGCGGCAGAAACTATCGATTGTTGTACCTTTCAAAAATATTTTTCCTGACTTGGTGGCTGTGTGTGCTGGAAAACATATTTTTGGCGCACGTAGTGCCTCAGCTGTTGCATTATGTCATAAAACCATTAAAAAATTCATTCAATGAATTATTTTTAGATAAACTTATTCCACCAAGAGTAATTTAAAATATTGCATGGAATAACATTATTTTCAAATATTACGCCAACCAATATGAGCTGCTCATTATTGTGTTTTAAATTCTAGTTCCGCTTATCGCACAAAAATATCGATATCTACGCTGTGCATCGCTGCAGAATCAATCGAATCTGAATCAAACAATTAAACCAACACATAAGTAGTGTAAACTTTCTATGAATTCAGATAAAAGCAGAACTATAGAGATATCTCCCACAAACATAATCATATTATTCATATATATATATTAGTAGCTCAGCCAATATGAATGCATTTCGATAGGCAAATATATCGCGGCAATATATCTATGACATCCCTAGCTGCATCTGAAGTTTTGCGCCAAAAATCTTTTTCAGAAGCAAGTGATTGGAAAAAAGAAAAGTAGTTGAACAAATTTTTGGGCAATAATGGCGGCACCAGGACCGAAGCGCGTGCTGACGCCCAGCAAGGAAAACGGATCTGTGTCACCCGTCCAACAGCCGGTCAAGAAGGCAAAGACCAACTTGGACGCTGCCTTGACTGAGGATATGGAGAATTATAGCTGGAACGAAGAATTTGATATAGATGAGATCGATTTGGAGGCGGCGATGGATGCGGCTGCATCACCGCACCAACTGAACCTGACCACATGGCAGCGCTGCATTATCGAGGAATTTGAAATGGACCTGAAGACGTTGCACGTCAAAATGGTAGTTAGGAAGAGCCCCAGCCAGACTCGCGAGACGGCCGAGTGTCTGGTACTCCCGCCGTGGAGTGTTTGCAACATGAAGCAGGGCGATTTGGTTTCGCTGCTGGCCAAGTGGCAGCCCTCGCAGAACGTCTATGTGGTCGACAAGGAGCACGGCTTCTGTGTGACCAATCCCGATTTTCTGGTGTCGGGCACCACCGTCGTGGGTTCCCTCTTCTGCCGCCGCAAGACGGTGCTGCAGGAACGTTTCCGCGGCCTCCAGTGGAACAACCGTGTGGTGAGTACCGCAAAAACCGCAGAAACGTCTCCCTAACCGACGGAATACTCAGTGGAAACTCTCTCTCTCGCTGCCCCCAGATGATCCTTGGCACGCTGGTGCACGAGCTGTTCCAGCGCGTGGTCTCCGGGCGGGACTACACGCGCTCGCATGTGCAGACCATCCTGAAATATATGCTGCAGAGCCCCTACCTGGCCCAGTTCCTCTATGCGGGCGGCATCACCGAGAACGAGATATTTGAGGATATGCAGCGGTTCGTCGATCCCATCGTTAGGTTCACCAAGCAGTACGTGCTGGGCGAGAAGCCAGCGGTGCCGACTCCAGCGAATTTTCGCGGACGCATTCAGCAGATCGAGATCACCGAGGAGAACCTGTGGGTGCCCCAGCTGGGGCTCAAGGGCAAAGTGGACGTCTCTGTGTCCGTGACCACGGCCAATGATCCCATTCCGCTGGAGCTGAAGACGGGCCGCTCCACCTTCTCGCTGGAGCACACGGGCCAGCTGATGCTCTACCAGATGATGCACTCGGCTCTGGGCGTTGAGACGCGCTCCGGGCTGCTGCTCTACCTGCGCGAGAACATGATGCGCGAGGTGGTCGGCAAACGGAACGAGATGCGCGATCTGATCATGATGCGCAACGATCTGGCCAAGTATCTGGTCAAAGAGGTGAAGACGCCAGCCAGCGCAGAGGAGGACATCGAGGATCTGTACCTGCCGGAGCCCATACACCATCACAGCGCATGCCAGACCTGCCAATACAAGACGCTGTGCGGCAGCTACGCCAAGCGGGACACCAAACTGAATATGGGGCCCAGGCATTCGATGGCGATCATGCTGCCGGATATTCTGGATCACCTGACCGATGAGGATCAGGAGTTCTTCCACCACTGGTGCGGCATACTGGCCCTCGAGGATAAGCACTCGCGCGCCAGCTATAAGCAGCCCACCATCTGGACGGAGGATCCCGTCGCGCGCCAACAGCAGGGACGCGCCATTATCCAGCTGCGTCTCTATCCTGGCCAGCTGGCACTCAAAACAGACGGCCGCTTTGAGCAGAACATGGAGCTGCCGCGCCACGCCGATCCCAGCATTAACTTGCATCTCTGTGGGGTAGGATCCATCTCTCATTTCCCGTAGCATTGGCTCTAATCTGATCGATCTCTCTTTGCAGTTCGATGTGGGCGAGTACGTGGTCGTGAGCACCGCCTCGCGCATGGCCGTTGCCGCTGGGAACATCGTTTCGTTGGAGTGCCGCCGCCTGTCAATCGCCCTGGATCGCGACCTCAAGCCGCAGTACGAGGACGAGACCTTCATCGTGGACAAGCACGACTCGCAGACATTCAGCACCTTCAACTACACCAATCTGGCCATGCTGCTCTCCTCCACATTGCGTGCCCAGCAGCTGCGCTCGATTATTGTGGGCATGGCGATGCCAGTTCCGGCAGACAGCTTGCCGGACACCCTTCTCACCGAGGGCCTCCACATTCTGATGAGTCTGAACAAGCAGCAGAACGAGGCCATCATGCGCTGCCTCAGCAGCAACACGCACTTTCTGATCAAGGGTCTGCCTGGGACCGGCAAGACCCAGACCCTGGTCGCCCTCGTGCGTCTGCTGCATCTGCTCGGTCTCAGCGTTCTGATCACAGCCCACACCCACTCGGCGGTGGATAACCTGATGCGCCGTCTGATGGGCTATGGCCTGCCCATGGTCCGGCTGGGCCAGAGCTCCCGCATAGCCCACCACCTGGAGGAGATCAGCGAGGCCAATATAACCAGACGCTGTCGCACTGTCGAGCAGCTGTCCGCCGCCCTGGAGACGCCCTCGATTGTGGGCGTCACCTGCCTGGGCATGGGCCATCCCGTCTTCCGGAACCGCCACTTTGACTTCTGCATCGTCGACGAGGCCACCCAGGTGCTGCTGCCGACCATTTTGCGGCCCCTGTTCTACAGCCAGCGCTTCGTTCTGGTCGGCGACCCAGATCAGCTGCCGCCGGTCGTCAAGTCGCGCGAGGCCCGCAAGCGAGGCGCCGACGAGTCGCTCTTCGAGCGCCTGGACTCGCCCGACTGCACGGCCGAGCTGTCCGTGCAGTACCGCATGAACAGCACAATCAATCGGCTGGCCAACCGGCTCACCTACGACGATCACCTCAGGTGCGCCAATGAGTCCGTGGCCAATGCCCATCTGCAGCTGAATTCGATGCGCAACTCGCCCGTGTGGGTGCAGCGCGTGCTGCAGACTCATCTGGACAACGCCGTGGTGGTGGTGGACACCGGCGACTGCTCCCTGCAGTGCCAGGCAGTGTCCAAGGGCTTGCAGTGGCTGGGGAAGGCCGACTCGAACATCGATCTGAAGTACGGCGAACAGGATCCCGAAGTGGAGCACTCGGATGTGGCACAGCGTGTGGATGGTCGCCGCATCTCACAGTACACGAATACCTGCGAGGTGGGCGTTGTGATGAACCTGCTGCTCCAGCTGCAGATGGCTGAATATGATCTATCGACCGTTGGCGTCATTGCGCCCTACCGCGCCCAAGTGGAGCTGCTGCGGCGACTGGGCGAGCGGCTGGACGGCCGAGTTGAGTTCAACACGGTGGACCAGTACCAGGGCCGCGACAAGAACATCATCATCTACAGCTGCACCAAGACCGGACGCGATCCCCTGGAGAAGAAGCGCTGCCGCGCCGCTGAGATACTCGAGGATAGGCGCCGCCTCACGGTGGCCATCACGCGCGCCAAACAGAAGCTCATCATCCTGGGCGACGTCGCCTGCCTCAAGAAGTACAACCCCTTCGACAGCCTGTTCCGCAACATACCAGAGAAGTGTGTTCTGCCGCTGATCGAGGGCCGCTTGGAGTTTGCATGGAAGTGTCTGCACACGGACCTCAATCGCCTCATCGACCCAATGGTTCTTTAGGTCTTTAGGTCTTTAGTCAATTAGTTTTTAAGAGTTTTGCACGTTATTTGACGAGTTAAAGGATGGGCAAAAAAAACACACACACACATACAGAAGATACACAAGTGCCAAAGCAACGAATCGATGGAGAGGAGGGATCCTTGAAGGAAACCTATCCTACAGGAACGATCGTCAATACAAATTGTATGCTGGGATACGCAGGACTCCTCAAAGGAACACTGAACACACGCTCAAGAAAGAGAAACGATCGCAAAAAGAAGCAGCGAATCGTGCAACAAAAACACACACAGAGGAAAGACACGTTTTTTTTCCACTTTGAAACTGTCGCAGAAGAATGTTGAATGTTTTTTTTGTTTTTTGTTTTTGATAAATCGACGAGGAAATGTAACATTTGAGCGTAACTTTTATTCGCACGGGGAACACTCGAGCCCTTGGGGGGGGCCACCATCTTCAACTGCAGAGCGCCCGTAAAGTGTACTTGTAAATTATCTAAGTGTATCCGCCCTCCGCCTGTCCAAGTTTCGGTTAAATTTCGTTGAAAATGTGACCTGCCCGGCCCCCTACCCTTCGTCATAATTCGCACGACATTGTCGTGCTTGCATAACGGTGCTTCTTGCTTCTTGCCGCGTGCTGCATGCTGCACACTCCTCTTTCTCTTTGTGCCGGTCCTCGCACACACTTCCTTTGGCCAACCGGAAGCTGGGGCACCTTCGAGTCTGTTCCGTTCTCCTGAACGCATGCCACACGTGCCCCGAATGCATATTAGCGGGAGAGATACAAGTGGAAGTGGAGTGGAGTGGGGGAGGAGCTGTGCGGGGGGCCATATATGCAGCGGATGCACTTAACAGCCACGAGCAAGGGGCGTGAGTCATTCCCATGATTATCGACATCATTATCGTTCTACCATCCCATCCCATTCCGCCCATTCCATGCCATTCCACCTATTCCCATGCCATGCCATGCCATGCCATCCATTCCTATGTTTGATGTTTTGTATCCCAAATGTGAGATTGATTGGCCTCAAAAACAGGAGAAAACCAAACCAAAGCAAGGCGAAAGGAAGTGTGAAGATGGTAGGGTCGATATAGTCGACTCTGGCATACCTCTCATTCGAAGCCCAATAAGCACACACACACAGTAAGAGTAGAGAGAGGACATGAATTGGTGGCCCAGTGCGCACTTTTTGTCTACATATTATGCTACATACACGATATCTACATGCAATGTTCATGGCATCTACATACATGTGTCTTCAGGTAGAGTAAATCAAGTGGAGCATGTTCAACTATGTCGCATATGCCCCTCTCTAGGCCCTACGCCTACAGGGTATTAAAACCAAATTAAAATTGGACAGCAGCAAGCTGGCATGCTGATCGGAGAGAGCGTGAGAGAGAGGGGAGGAGAGGTAGGTAAGCTGGTACGCGGGAGAAAGACCCAGAGACACCAATAACAGTTACAGAGTAGCAACGGGCAACGGGCAACGGGCAACGGCCACAATGGACATAAGCAAATCGCTTGATAAAATATTTGAAATTCATTTCGCGCCGCCTCTTGGCAGCCGTTGGCATTTCGATGACAGCATTTAATGCTCATTATGTAATCTCTTTAGGTCTTCGGCTCGAGCAGAGTGGGAGAGGGAGAGGGAGAGGGAGAGAGGGCGAGCGGGAGGGAGTCCATCACCATTCAACAAAGGTCAACCACAAAACTATTAAGCCCTGTCGCACACACACACACACACACACACACACTGTCACTGGTGCATACCCTCGAATATTGAATTGATTTCGAGTTCCGGCCAAACCCAAGTTTGGAGTTTTTATTTGAAATACCCAATAGACACACACACACACACACACAGGTATTCATCTCTTTTGCACACACTCTCTCTCTCCACCCTCCACTCTTCACCCTCCTTTTCTGTTCCCTCTGCTGTTTGGGTGCGCGCAACAAATTAAGCCCATTAAGAGCATCTTCCCCCCATTCACCTGTTGCAATATTGAACACTCTCCACACAGCAGATGATCCATCCACAAGCACAAGGCCTGCCTTGGGGCCTTGGGGCCTTGGGGCATTATCAATACACTGTGCTGAAGGGGGCTCAACAAATATTTTCACTTTCATTCGGAAGGTTTTCTTTAAGCCAAACTAATAAGAATAATATGAGTAGAAATCTTGAGAGATTCAGAATACATTTAAAAGGATTCCATTGTCTCCATAGCTGGGGTATACTTAGGCGTATACCCCACCCCCCACTGATATTAACTTAGTTCAAACTAAAATTTCAATTGCATTCCTCTTCACTCTACTTACTGATGGGTATTGGTAGATAATAAATATTAAATTTACCTTTGTCTCCGCTCGTTTCGAATGACTTTCAATTTTCGCGACAGAACTTCCCCCCATCGCCAGTATTATACAATCCCTTTGAGCACAATTTGCGATAATTTGACGATCTGTGCAACGATTTCTCCGCGATTCGCCAGTCAAGCGTTGAATGGAGACCAAATGTCCAGTGGCCATTAATCGCTGAAGCCGCAAAAGTGTGGCCATAATTGATCAGTTTTGGCTGCCGTGAAACTTCATTAGTGTTAGCAGTACTTCATTATAGCCATCTCTCTGAAGAACATCGCTCCCCCAAGACCCCCCCTCCCAACCAAGCAGCAGCAGCCGCAGCAGCACAGGCTTTCGCTGTTAACGGCTAACAGTGGTGCATAACAGCCGCTGTTAAGGGGCCGCTTTGCGGCTGCGCACTGCTACGGTAGCAGCTCCAACAAGTTATGGGTACGGCACTCCACTCCACTCCAGTGGTGCCCCATGGCAGCAGCAGCTATTATGAATTTGGCTAGCAGTTTGTGAAGGTACTAGATATAAAATTCTAAACTAAATCGTCTCGATTTTAAATTAATTGTACTTGCAGAAATAATTCTGTTTAAATGTAAAGTTTTCAGGAATTGTAATCTATGGAAAACCTTTAGATGACTCAAAGCTATGTACATATTTCAGCAAAAAATCTACTAATATAGATTGCAGGGTATCCATTGGCTCGTAACTCTATGAGCCATTTATTTCTTACTGGTTTCTTGTTACTGTCTGCTAACCGTTGTCTGTTGCTGCTGTTGCTGCTGCTGTTGCTGCCGCTGTTGTCTGCTGCTGCGGTTGCTGGCTGATGTTGGTTGGTTTTTGATGGCTTCTGTTAAGGCCTGCTGGGACTGTTGCGACTGTTGGCCACGCTTTTTGGCCACAAAACGAATTCAGTGCAACGGCGACTCTCGAACGGTATTGTTGGCTTAGCGGTAACTCGCCTCTGGCCGTGCATACTAATAATAAATAAATAAATACATTCCATATACAATTTCCTCTTCCATGGTGCATTTTGTTATTCGTATCGCAGCGAAGTTTGTTTGAATTTTTTCTTTATTTTTTGCGTGCATCGAGTGAATGTGGAACAAAACAAAAAACTGTGCAGCTAGATTTCTATGGATATTATATGCGAGCATACATACATACATACATATGTATGTACATATGTGTGGCCAAAATGAGACGCCGCCGCGCCTGGCCGAAAGTGAAAAACTGAATGCGCAGACGTGTGTAACAGTTTTTACTTTCGGCCTCGTTTCTGGCTTCATCTCTGGCTAGTTGCTGCTGCTGCTGCTGCTGGCTTTGGTGGTCAGTGGAGCATACTATAGACGAGATCTGTGCATATTGCATAAAAAAAAAAAAAAAAAACATGCACTCAGCATCAGCTGCAGCAGCAGCATTTAGCCCACTTTTTGAGCAAATATTTTTTCAAAATCTAACGACAACAACAACAACAAAATCTCACACTAAATCGTAGCGTTATTTTTTTGTACGTCGCCGCCGCCGCGTTGAGTTTTACTTAGACAGCAACTAGAGCAGCGACTAAGTACAATAACAACAACAGCAACTGCAACAACTGAACACTGAAATAATAGCAACAACAACAACAAACAACAAACAAGAAGAAGCAGTGCAAAGGAGCGCCGCCGCCACTGCCTTCCTTGCCACCTCGACCAGCAGCAAAACGCCGCCAAAATGCTTCCGGTAAGTTGGTGTTGGGCTGCCCAAATGGAGCAAAAAAAATAAAATACATACGTACTGAAAAAAACTGGAAAATATCTGTGCAAAAACCTGAGAAAACTGAGAAATCATTTTGATATCGGTATTTTGTTTGCTTTTTTTTTTTTTGTGTTTGCTGGCACTGGCACGACTGACGACCGTATTTTGTACGCAATTAGCGCAAAGCTGGCCGAGAGTCGTAAATATTTAGTCCAGGCCAAGTAGCAACAGTTTCCTGCCTCGACGGGGAGCTAAATGGCGAACGAAATTGGAGGGTTTAAGCCAAGAGGGAGGGAAGTAGGTATGACAGGCAGACAACCTTGGGCAGGAGCCGAGTAGCCGAATAGCCGAAAGTTGTTTCCACATCCAGAAAGAGGCTCCTTGCCCTTGCCCAGGTACCACGTACCTATGTACATAGTACGCATGCATGTACATATGTACAGCTGATCGTAGATGCCGCATTTTTATTGCCCCAGCCCATAAAGATCGCCTCTCGATCTGGCATTAAACGGGTTCTGCGAGATTCTCGCATCTTCATTCTTGAATAATTGAATTATTCATTTGGGGCCCCAGTTGGGACTCTAGCTGCCTCGCTTAGACACTTTTGTGTCTCTCTGCTGTTATTTAAATGCCTCTCAGACGATTGCATAATTAATGCCCCACGAAGGCTGACAAAAACTTCCGACTTTAGTCGCCAGAATCTGCAGCCATAGAAAGTAAAAGTAACGGCAATGCGTGCAGGATATACGGGAGGATTTCTTTGCCCCAAAACGCCTTTCATTGTTTAATGTGAATAAATGTTTGATTAGTTATCACCCAAGTGCGGAATGCAGCTTCGGTTTTTGTTTTTTTTATTGCTGCTTTTTGGGGCTTATGTAATGCTGAAAACTTTTACCCGATTAACACCTCGATGCCGAAGACGACGGACGACTGACGACGGACGACTGACGATTGCAATTCCCATGCTAATCGAAGCGAAGGAGTGCAAAACTTTCAAACACGATTCGAGAAATCATCGAAAATCGGACAGGCAGACATATCCATCCATGTACATTGCATGCATATTAAAGATACTGAATGCTGCACAGATACAGCCACAAGATACCAGATAAATCCCAAGCCAAGAGACATGCAATGCATAAGCAGCTCAATCAAAGATACCTTTCAGAGATATCTTTTGCGAGTGGCTCCCCCCCGAGGCAGACAAATGAAATCGACAAATCTCGAAATGAAATCAAATGAAATTAAATTAAATTTCGTTTCATTTTTGGGCATTTGTTTTACATCCGCCTGGGTGTATGGGTATGGGGCATACATATGTATGTCTGTATGTATGCGCTAAAATGTGCCCCGAATCGGGGCAGAGTTACTACGGGCTAAGGCTGATATTTGCTGGCTGGGCTCTCATGCAAATTTCATTGTGACTGTGGCTGCGTATGCGCAGAAAACTTGTTTAGGAATTTTGTTTTTGTTTTTGTTGTTTTTTTGACAATTTTCGGCTTGAACTTATTTTTGGCTTTTCGGTTTGACGGGCACGCGGGGGCGAAACACGTTTGGCGACAAGTGCTGCGCGATACAAACTAGCCAACAGATAGATTCCTCATCCTCCTCATTCGCATCCTCATCAGCCTCATCATCATTATTGTGATGATAAGCTCCCCCCCCCCACCACCACCCCACCCATGCCGTGCGAGTGCTTGACGTCAGGCCACAAAAATGCGTGTGAAGAGGAAATCTGCCTGAGGCTTTTGTCTCCGTTTGTCTCAGCGCCAAAGCGGAAATCGGCGAGCCCAGCCCGAAAAGAAGGCAGACCAAATTTGCACATTCATGCAACCAGCAGGGGTATGAGATGAGTGCCACACTGCAGTGCAACAGTGCAGCAGTGCAACAGTGCAACAGTGCAACGCCAACGCTTTGCCGATTCTCCGCACCCAAAGACAAAGACAATGACAATGAACTGAACCCAGCCCATGCCCATGCCCATGCCCGTGCCAATGCGATGCGATGCCATCCAATCAGCCATCCATCTATAGCTGCATCTGGCCTGTCTCTGCCTCTGTCTCTGCCTCTGCCTCTGTCTGATAATCAAAAAAGTTGCATCTTGAATACACTTCCTTTTCTCTCCCTTGAGATATCTGCAACTGCATGTTAAGTATTCTTATATGGGGATGCTCCGCCCGCTATGACAGCAGACAGCTCTCAGTCGCTTGCACTCGCAATAAATGGCTGATAAATAAATAGGCCCCGCTGTGGCGAAGGTTAACTTACTTCTCCTGCCTTCTGCGGCACATGGCACCCGCGTATCCGCGTATCCGCGTATCGGTATGGAAAGGTTTTCAGATTGGCAAATCGGAATTCGAATTCGAATTCGCATTCGCATTCAGCGGAAAGTGAAACCAGTCGACACTCACGACAGTGGGACAGGGACAGGGACAGCAGCAGGAGGGAGCAGCAAGGGAAAAGTGAATGGAGGAAGGCTGAGTGGCTGAATGATGGAGGGGAGTGGGGTATGAGTGGGGGGGGAATTGATGCGTTTTGCTATCTGTTTTTCCGCCTTTTTTTTTCTTAAATATTATTATTTAAAAAGATTGTAGCAGAGAAGAGAAGAGTCTGCCGAGGGAGGCCTGGAGGGGTCTGCCCATGGAGGCTACCGGTTTTTGGGCTATTAAACCGCATTTGGCTGAAATTCCAGCATTCCCGCTCCCAGTCGCATCCACTGCAATCGCTTTGGTAATTGTATCTGACAGATACACAGCAGATACACAGCAGATACACGTGGCGTGGCGTGGTGTGTGCCCGCAACCTCATTGCGAAATTTGCTACATTTTTGTTGCTGCTACTGTTGTTGTTTCTTCCTCTGCTGCTGCTGCTATTGTTACGTTGCATACGACAGAGCAGACAGACGGAGCAGAGCAGAGCAGAGCAGACAGGCTACAGGCCACAGCAGCCACATCAGAGGAGCAGCTGCAGCGGCGGTGGAGGCTCTGTATGGCATGGCTCACTTACACAGACATTGAGAGAGCGAGAGACACCGCCGGGATGATTCAATTCCATGACAACGACAGCCCACAGCAGATGTGGGGGGTTTTAGCTTTGATTTTGATTTTGGGGACATGCAAATCATTAACCCTCCATCGTGCGAGACAGACTTTGCTTTGATATTCGAGTGCAGTTTGACAGACTGAGATTTGAGCTCTAGCTGCCCAGCCCCCCCCAGAAAAGGCCTGGACGCTGGTCAGTTCGGGGCAGACAAAGGATTGCTAGGGGTGCCATGCTGATTGCTTTAGATAATTGATAAATGGATTACATTGGCTCGCCTCGCTCCACTCCTTCCACGGGCAACTTCCCTCGGAAGTACCTCCATGGCTAGTTGTATCCCTGAGGCGAAAGCTCACACTTATGTGGTGGCTCCAATCAAGGCACACCTCTACCCCTCAGTGCTGTCAGTGCCCTCGATTGGCTGCGATCCGAGGCACCTTTCGAGCACCCAAAATATCTGTTTCCCACCCTTGGGGCCAGCCTCTGGAGGTTGTCACTCCACCACAGCACGTAACTGTAAGTCCGCCGTGGAGATATCAATATATAAATGTATCAAGAAATGAAAAATATGCACACATATATACATATGTAGATATGTATGTTTATTCATGTATCGGCTGTGCGGCCTGAAGGTCAACTTGTTTTGCAGCCAGCAACGGACTGACTAACGGACTGACTGACTGACTGAATGAGTGAATGAGTGAAAAAAAAGCAAAAGTTATAAATTAATTTATTAAGCCAGATCGGAGCCCAGAGACACAGCACCAGAGCAGAGACAGAGCACAGTCCAGTCTCAAAGTCAGGCCAAGTTCCACTCTGGTCGCTTGTCTAAACTCGTTTTGGGGGAGCAACAAAAGCACTTGCCTGAAAATTCCAGACTCAACTGACCCCCAATTGGTATTTAAAAGAATGTGACTGCACTGGGCACTGGCCACTGGCCACTAGCAACACTGCCAACAAAGACCCACAACGAAACAGAAACCGAAACCGAAACGAATAACGAACAAGAAATAAATCAGTATGATGTATGCTGAATGCTGAATGCTGACTGCTAAATCGGGGGTGAATGATTGAACAATGTTCGCTTTAATTGCCACAAGGATGGCGACTCTCAAGAGTCAGGGGCAGTGCCACTTCTGGGCCATCGAATCCTGCCTCTAACTCACCTCTGCCCCAAATCCATTTCGTACCTTTCGTACCCTTTAGCTTATTTGGATTTTACATAATTTCTGTGTCAAAATAGAATCCAAAACATTTGCATATTGATGAGCCGAAAATGTTTGCTGTGATGCAAAGGCCAAGTCATGCTACGATCTGTTTGAGTTTGGGGCCAACTTGAGTGGCATCTAATCGGCTTAAACAATGGGCATTATCTGTTTGGGCCACAAAGCCCATAAGCATCTCTCGCCCCTGGCCCCTGGCCCCTGGATGGACTTCTCTGCCCCTCTTGTCGCAGCAGCAGTTCAGGCCACAGTTCAGCTTCAGCTGCTTCACAGCATCCCAATTAGCCACTGCCCAGCTCCATCTCCCATCTCCCATCTCCATCTCCCTGTTCCATCTGCCACTCGCTCAACTTGAACCTGAATGTGCATCACGATTAATTTTTCTTTCTTTCTGGCGTGTATCTTTTTCTTTTTCTTTTCTTTTCTTCTGTTGTTTTTTTTCTTGGTTTTTTTTTGGTTTTTGGGGTTTGTTTTGTTGCCGGATGCGCGGCGGCACAGCTTAATAATTTCCACCGAAAACCGAAACAAAATTGAAAGTGAGCAAAACCACCGACAACGCGGCAGCTCAGCTCTGCTCTGCACAGCTGGGCCAGCGGTTGGTTACGCTTAATACGAATACGAATACGAATGAAAGCAGCAACAACTATGCATCAATAAATTGTATACTAAAATTGTGCTTAAAAGGGCATAAAAGTTACATAAGAAATGGTCTCTCTCTCTCTC